TTCTTTTGAAAAGAATAATACAGAAGAGGGAAGATTCTATTTGACATTGTTTCAAATACAATTATACCGTCGCTGACCAATGTGGAGAGAAAGACGAGAGTGCAAAGAGAGGAAACAGAACTTAAACTATAATTTAAAGATGACAGTGAGATTATACGTAAGTATTTTCAAGAAAACAATGTATAGTGGATCCATTGTGTAACAAAAGGAACATTTTGTTATATAACAATTTTATATATATATTATGTCAAAAAGTGTTCTCATTAAAGTAATGATTGTTTAGCAGAAAATATAATGAACAGGTAATAACAATCTATTGAATTTCATTTACAATTTATATCTACACAGCAATTTTTTTTATTATAATTACATATATACCCTAACAAAAAAGAAATATTATTTAATATTACAGGTCAATCAATGAAAATGAATTAATGACTACTAAACAACGAAAAATTTGTTTGTATTTTTTATCTTAGTTTTATGAATTCAATACAGGCTTCATGATTTGTCATAATCAACCACCCACTGAGAATAAACAATCGATCTCTCAATAAAAAGCAATGGTCGTTCAAGATTCAACATCTTGAAGCTTCATTTTGTAGGTATATTAAATGATTAACACTTAAAAATAATAATTCTTACTCTTTTTAATTAAAAAAACACTTGTTTTAACAAAAAAATTATAGCTAAAACTAATTATAATATGCATATTTGAAATACATGAATAATTTAAAAGTAATTATATCAAAACAAATGAGTCTTAAAGATTTACAAAATGGTTTAAAAATTGGCACAAGAACAAAACAGGTTCTCTTTTTAATCTGCATGAGTAGACATTACTAGAAGCATGCATCTCATGGAATTTGTAACCTTTCGGCTACGGATTGGTTGGGTGGCCAAATGTGTCTTTGAATTGTGCCAAGTTGATGAGGTAAATGCACGATGCAGAACTCTTATCATCTCTATGATGCCATTCAGACCAACAACAAGTGAGATTCAATCGTTATCAGAATTTTGAATATTATGGGAGAATACCTTTTTCTTTCTCTCATTTTTCTTTTCTCATCTTACACATTTGCTTAAATATTTTGCTACATATCGTACTTAAATTATTTATGTTATATTTAGATTGATAGAAAGAGGTAAAGTAAAATGAGATGAATTAAAATGAAATATAATGGGGTAGATGTTATATTTTATTCTTTTGTTATGTTATAATAAAATGAAACAAAATTTTCATTCTATTGTTTCAATAATGAAGAAATAGAATGACTTATAATGTTTTTATTCTTGTATTCCCTTATAGAATATAAACAAGTAAAAATATAATATTATAACTTTTTTTATATTCAATAATATTAATACTTTATGAATATGAGTTAAAGACATATTGATCATTTAATAATTATAAAAATAAAATTGATTAGGATTCTGTTACATGTATACCCTCATATTGGAGAAGGAGCAATAAAAGTAAAAATTTTAAATAAAAAAGATAAAATTCATCCAATTAAATGTTATTTTATTCCCTTAATATTTTATTAATTGAAATAATAAAACCATTTAAAATATTGTTCTATTTACAGCAGAGCCTATAGGCAGCAGTCTTCATATATGATTTCTATGCAATAGGTTTAATTTGAATTGATTAATTTGGTCCATGTTAATATTATTTAAAGAATACTTTATTTTTAATCAGCAAACGAATAAAAATTTATTAACTATCAATATATAATTATATTAAAGATTGTTTGAGATATTCTATTAGCACAACACAAAATGCCCTTTAGGTTAGAGTTTATTTGAAGGTAAAATAAAAAAAAATCAATATAAATTTCCATTTATGTAATTTATTTTAGTTTAATTTTAAACATAAAAATTAAAAATCAAACTGAACTACATAAAAAAATATAGTTTATTTTTACTTTAATTTTGTTGTTAATAAATTGTTTTTTATTTATTAATTTAGCATTTCAGAATTAGTTTTGGTTGGTTTTCAAATGTGATATGTCCCTAGACTTACATTTGTTGATTCGTCAAATTTTATGAAATAAAATGAGTTTGAGTTGGAGGTTAGCAAACTGTCTCAGATTAATATTTATAAGTGAAGTTCAAGATTCAATTTAATTCATTTAAATAAAAGAGTAAATTTTAAGTAATTTTTAATTTTTCACAAATCAAATATAAATTGTTTTACTAGAATCACTTGTACCCTATAATAATATCATTATGCGACAAAAAAGTAAAATCAGTGGGGAAGATAATCTGTATGCATTTAATGTTATTCTAAGAACATGCAGTAATTTCTCTTCCCAAACATTCTTTTAATCCATAATATAAATGACATGCTTTTATTTTATTTTTTTTAAGCTCGTAACACAAATGATTATGCTAATAACTATTGGATTTTCTTTTAAGAGTGTTAATTATAAACGTATTTTTTAATATACTATTAATTATTACTAAAATTTAATAAAAATTTAAAAATATAAAAAATATTAAATTCAAACTGACAAAGAATAAAACACACATAACTTATATAGTTTTAAAAAAAAATTAATTAATGACTAAAAGTATATTAAAAAATTATTAAATAATGTGTTGTTAGTTTTTCTTTTTTTTTTATAAAAGTGTTTATATATATGGTCACTGTTAAAGAAGCATTTCACATTCTTTATTAATTGTTCCTAACTATTTAAAAAAAGAAAGTAAATGTTGTTTAAATTTTATGATATATTTCTTTCTTTTTTTACTTTTCATTTGATATTATATTTAGTTTCTTCGTCACTATTTTAAGGTGCGTGTCAGCAAAATTCTAAACCAAAGAGTAATTGAGTAGAGTTTCACTAACAAGTGCTCAAAAAAAATTTTCAATAAAATAATACAATATTATAGAGAAGTTAAAAACTCTTTTAATTTAATTTTTTTATTATTTAAAATTCTTAATAAGTATCTTGTTTAATAGTTTTTATTAAATAATTTAATTTTAAATATAAATTTTACATAAAAATTTAAATTATATAAATTATGTTTGAAAAATTCTCTATCAATTGTTTGATTCTTAATTCTTATTCATATATATATATATATATATATATATATTAAAATTTTAACTAATTATAATTTAAAAAAAATATAAGGCACCAAATTTAGTTGAAAAAAATGAGTTGTAACACATTGTCCTTTGTATATTTTACTTTTTATTCTATTTTAAAAATAAATAAAATATCAATATTAGTATTTTTATTATAATTTGTAACATGAAACTATATCAATTTATATATAATAATTTTTAATTAAATTTTTAGCCTCTAGAAAAGTTATACAATTTAAACTTGTATTTTAAGTAAGTGTTTGTATAATTTTTGTATGGACCAAATATTTAATTAAGCCTATATTTTTTTCTATACTATATTTTTTTCTATAATATTTTTGAAAAATACATTTTATATATAAAAAATGAAAGACTTTATTATATTTGATATTAAAAATTATATTACACGAATAGATTCATAAATTTTTTATCATAATATAAGTAAGTAATTCTTATTATATTAACTCAAAATATCATTAGTTGATTTTTTTGTTATTATCTTTATCAATTAGATTAAAAAAAATATCCAAATATGTTGAGTATTTTTTTATCATATTATATTGTTGTATTTTTTTTTATTACACGTGAATTACTCTTAGAATTTTGTTAACTATAGGTATTATTTTTATTAATTTATGTATTTATCAAATTAAAAAGTTTTATTAATAAATATATATGATCTTAAGTCATAAATTATCTTTGATTTAACGATATGAGTTTTTAGTATTTTTAAAATTTATAACTCTTTTATTTGAAAATTCATTTTAAATTTTTTTTAGACAAGTTCATTAAAAATATTTTTTTTTATTTTTAGTTAAAATATATATTTAATTTCTATAATTAATTCTTATTTATAAATTAGTCTCTATAATTAAAAAATTATATTTTAATTCTTTTATAAATATTTTGTTATGTTTTAATCTTCTACTGTTATAACATTGTTAATATTATTAATAATAGAGATTAAAATGTAAAAAATAAGAATCAAAATATAATAGAATATTTATATAAGAACTATTTTATAAATGAGTATAATTATAGAGACTAAATATATAATTTAATTTACATAATATATATGGAAAAAGATTACTCTTAGAACTTTTTATTTAATTTAAATCTCAGAACTAATGAAATAATAAATTATAATCTGTTAGATTTAAATTAAATGACTAAGTGTAAGAGTTTTTACGCTTATACTAATATAAAAAAATCCTGTCCATATATATATATATATTTTAGAAGAACTATTTTATTTGAAGTCTAATCATTATCCACTATTTATTGACTCTCAACTTGAATAGGCCAGTCTAAAAGCAGACATATTTATGGACGGGCAAAATGCTTTAGGCAGAGATAGATTCATTTTGGATTAGCTTCAAAAGCATGTGAGAGTTGGCATGCGAAGATATGTTGATAAGGGTATCTGATAGGTAACTTTTTAGGTTTATGTTGAAAATCCCACTACTAATATTGGAAGCAGATATTTTTTGCCATCATCATCCCCGTTGTCATAGTCATTTACATTAAATTGCCTATTTCCCATCATACTGACATATTAATTGATTCACATAGAAGCCAATCACACAAGATAAAATGGTTTTTGATCCCAATCGTTGACATCCTATATATAACTCTATTTACATTTGAATACCAACCAGTTCCAAATTGTTTGTGATCAAGATTTTACAAACATCACATTCAGATATGTTCATTTCATGGCTCCTGATGTGACTTAGCATGCCTTGATATTGTATAAACCAAACGAATAACAAAATCTGATTTTTTTTTTCAAAATATGCCATTCATATCTATTTAGGCTTGCAATGAAAGGACATTTTTGAAATCATATTCAAGACAATAGTAACTGTATTAAACGGGAATGAGCACCATATACATGCAAGTGGCACTAATAAAGCTCGTATTTTTTATTCACAAATTAAGCATAAGGTTCAGAATTAACAAACTCTCCCAGCGCCAAAAAGAAATTACGCTTCAAAAACAGGAAAAAGAACACCTCATGATACTACACATACTATTTAATAAATATTATACAATAATTCACCAATAAGGCAATAACAGCATCATCACAGAGATAATTATAGTAAATCTATAATTGAACTTTACTACAAGCTAGAAGATAATAGTTATATAAAGTTCAAGAAGACAAGAACAGTTACAATGATGTACCTATGCTGCTTCCATGTCCTCGGTTTCCCTCTCCTTAAATGACTTGGTGTGAAGATCACGTGTGATTTGAGTGGTTGTATCCAAGAAATACAAAATAAATGATGTCAAGCAGCAACAAGCAAACATGGGTATGGGCCCATAAATCCATAGGACAAGAGGAAATGACAAGTAGAAAGCCCGCAACCCAAGAGACCAAGAATAACTACCACGGTTCAAGGCTTTTGCAACATATTCAATAAAATCCTTTTTGCCTTTCAGTGCATGTGTAGTGATTAAGAAGCTCACATGAGCATAGTGTCTAATAGACTGCACATTGCATAGAAATGCAACAAGGAAGCATAAAGAGATAGAGAGGCGTTTGATGGAAGAATTAAGGGACGTTTTATTGCCATAAACTAATTTGGTGTCTGAGTCATTGGTTGCAAAAACGCCAATGAGTGAACTAAGCGTGATTGCTGTTGTGGCAAGAAGAGTAGATGCCATGATATTGTTGCGGATTGTTTGAACTGCCAAAACCCCATTTTTCAAGGGATCCTGAAAGCGATGCAAAAGAGAGTTTGTTATGGAAACAACTGTCTCAGTGAATAAAATCAAACTACAATTCCCATAATGTCCAAAAGTAGCTTCGAACCCCGATCATAAACAATCTAATACTTCTAACCTTAGATGGCACCAGCTTGATCAGATACATATAACATAAACAGCAATGATACTAAATCTTAGTAAACTCGATATCACAACAGTAAGGATAATAAATCTAAGTCACCTTGCAGAGAATGAGTATGTCTTTGTCAGGACTTGTCTTTTGAAAATGTAACATAAAGAACCTAGTATATAATACAACATAATAATTTTGCAGATATACATTGACTTCCCTATAAAATCCAAATTTTATAGAAGATCCTTCAAAGAGAATGATCACAACCAACTTTCAACTAGCTAAACTCTCAAGAGATGCATATGGGTTTTATATCTATTAAGTGGTACTAACACTGCACCATTTTTTCCCTTGCCTCATAAAAAATTCACAAAGCAACACCTATCTGTCTTTTTCATTGTTCAAATTTACTACCATCAACATTGTAAGTATTACCAATCAACATGGATGTTCAAAGAGGGCAGAAGATGGCAATAAGAACAATTGCAACATGTTAGGGATACATATAATGACTATATGTGTGAACCTATAGAAGTTCAATACCTACTTAGTAAATAACTTCAAAATATATTACTGAAACAATCTAGAATTGTATCTAAATAGTAGTTACAGTACATACTACATACTAAGGACCATATGCAGGGACTCAAGCAGCTGATCAATGAACCTATAGAAGTGGAACTAAGACCATTAGATGGTTGAATATCTACTTTAAATATCAATTAAAGAAGTAATCTATAGCTGTTTTTAAAAGTACAGGTCAGGCACTTGTCAAATTCCCTTCAGAAACAAGTATCAATGATTAACATCTCCTAGGGACCCACACAAAATAGACCTAAGTCCCACAGGATACTGTAGCAAGTATCTTTCTTAAATGACTAATAGCTCGCAGGCATTATTAATTAAATATTAAAGCAAACCCTCCAAAATGAAAAGTGCAAACTAAGATATAATTCTCAACTAACAAAAACGAAGCCGTTGGAAGTTGGAATTTTTTTATAACGTGAGAGAAAACAAAGGAAAAGGGAAACAGACAATGATTCTTTGCAAATGTTTTACGTAATTTCATACAGGGCAAGATACTCTCATGTTAGATTTTCACAACTTTTGATAAGATTTCACCTATTTGATGTCTATCAAATAGAGAAACAAAATTTTTTTAGAAACTTAAGGCAGGAAATTGTGAATTCAGTAATTTGTCAACCAGATTGAGGCTAAATAAACTAATTAATCCTGTAACAAAACCTATCAATCAAGACAGTATGAAACACCGACTTCAGCTTAAATTTTCCATTGTTTATATTATTATATATTTTAATAAGCTATTGAGGACTCAATCTTGGTGAAAGAAACCTTATCTAAAATTGCAAGAATTAGGATAAAATTTCGAAAACGGCGTGACAGTTGAATCCTTTATTGAAACAATAACAGAAATTCACAGCTTTTAACAACATTGTCATGAACTCCTAGATGTCTGAAGTGTACAAACTACAAAGTTATCAAACAAGCATGAAGCAATGAACTTCCTTTCTAAGGTAATTCAAATATGTCATTCACCAATATCCAATTAAACATTAATTTGATTTAAAGTTGAGTAGAATTGATTTTGAACCGTTGAATGTGATTAAGATGTGTGCCTAAATTAATCTACATATTTTTTTTAGAACATATGTATTGATTTTGAAACTTAAAAAAAAAAAAAAAAACAAGACATAAATTGCAAACACAAGTTTACTCTCACCAAAAAACTGGATACCAATATAGACACTAGTTTATTTTGAATACGAGTCTTATTACTGGATAATATTGCAAGAGAGAATGAAACAACCAGAAGCACACAGGACAAGGTCCAAGCCATGTGAAAAGGCATTAATAGAAGGGCTGAGGAATTAGCCCAAACAACAGTACCCAAAATGACAAGAAAGTACTAAACTAAAATTCTATCAACAGCAACAGATACCTAAAGACAAAAATCCAACACTGCTAAAGCACTCCCTTTATTGTACAAGATAAACAGTCTTTATGAATAAGAACAACACTTAACATCTCTGAGCAACGCAACAGTCAGTCCAAGAAACAATTATATGTCGGTAGTGTATCAACACAAAACCACAACCATATTTGGGCCGTTGTGTTTTGGTTTGTTTTTTACCAATTCCCTTAGAAAGGTACCACAACAAAATAGCTGAGAGTAAGAAACAAGAGCCAACTTATATCATCTATAAATAGAAAAAATGTAAAGAGAGAGAGAGAGAGAGTACTGACAGCCATGATGGTGAGAACCCATTGGTAACGAGACTGAGCATTCAAGCCAATGACAGTGCGAGAAGGGTGGTGGATTATAGTGTAGAGAAGCCAAAAGTGATATATTCCCAACACCAACAAACCCACAGGCACCACTATGTAGTCCAAATCCTGTTCTTGCATGCTGCTTCTTCAATTCTTCAATCTTCAAACTTTACCTTTCACCATTCACTGCTACCTCATAACATAACCAATAACGCCTCTCCACTTCAAAATTGTAATCTTGGGATATTATTGAAATTCAAATTAGTTCCCTTTCCTTTCACTCTTACCTACCTTTGTCTTTTACACCCCACTTCCACACACAAAAACTTGTCTTTTTTTTTCAAAACAAATAAAGATAAAGAGGCTCCGTTTCCTCTGTCAACTATTAAAGTTATCTGCAAAAACTGAAATTAGATCCACCTTTTATGACAGCGAAGAAAAAGTGGGAAACAGGTTTTATTGCTAATACTATTTGTATATATAATTCACAAACCACAGAGAAAAAGATATTGTTGTTTCCCATTTCCACCTCTCTCCACGTTGCTCAATTATGACACGATTGTGTCCTGTTTGGAATAGTCTCGGATCCGCATTTACTTCAACACTAATAAATGTCACTTTTCTGTTGCATCAATGTTTATAGGTTTTTCAATATATATCCAAACACGTGTTAAATTTGACTAAAGAAACAAAAAAGATATCGAAATTTAGAGATATGATGCTATTTCAGCAAGTTGTTCTCTTCATATTTGTCAGGTCTAATTCCAGAAATTCTTATACAAGAAGCCATTACAATCGAATCAAGTGTCCATATCCTGTAATTTTGTTTCACGGTAACATCACCGATGTGTTACTTATACTCTGGAAACGGCTGAAAACCATTTCTTGGCAAAAGACATTCTGCTAAAGTTGAATTCTCAAAAGATCAGTTTCATGCTTGAATAAGGCGTACAAGGAAGGTATGATGTTGATATCTCAAGATAATCCAGTTTTAACTAGTGTTTAAGAAACTTCAATGAGATTTAAGAGAATCCAGTTTTAACCAGTGTTTATAAAGAAAAATTGCGTAAATATCTCACATAATAACTAAGCCTTTTCTTTATACATTGGCCTTGTATATAGTATGGAGCGCAAGATTTAAAAAAAATAATGATAGGGATTGAGAAGCATCAAAACTTAATAGCCTCACATATCGAGTGCTGCTGATGTATGCACCATTTTTTAGTGTTCCCTTTAGACCAATTCAATTCCTGTCCAAGTATTAGTTTAATTATTTAAGAGGTTCCAAGTGTGTGGATCACACATTGCCATAGGTACCAATCCCTAAATGATGTATGCATGAAATGGTGCATGAATCATTGTGGATATAATATTACAATTATGTAATTAACAACCTTAGCAGAATAAACCACGAATCTTGTTTATGTAGCTATCCAAGCATGACAGTACAAGGCCCCTCATAAACCATGACTAAACAAATTGTTTCTGACCTTTTCACGATAAAGTTTATGCTAAAAAAGAGGGGAATTGAATTGTACAGCAAAAAATAATAGAGAAAATTGTAGGAAGGTTCATCCCAAAGAAGTGAAATGTAACTAATGCTAAGGCACCAAAAATTAAATCTACGACCACTAACAAGAAACAAAAATTACTAACTAGTACTTTAATTGGCACATATTCGTACTTCTCAATAGTAGCATACACCAAAATTGTTACATTTTATAATAAATTATACACAATCCACACCTGAGTTTTGATACTAATTGTTGTCAGGTAAAGGAAAATAATCAGGTTCCGCCGCAGACTCTACATCCTGAGTTCCCCTCTCCTTCTTGAAAGAGTTACTATGAAGATCCCGCGTGATTTTAGCTGTTGTATCCAAGAAGTACAGAATAAGTGATGTCAAACAGCAACAAGCAAACATGGGTATGGGCCCATAAATCCAGAGGAAGAGTGGAAATGACAAGTAAAATGCTCTAAGTCCAATGGACCAAGAAATACTCCCACGATTCAACGTCTTAGCAATGTATTCCATATACTCCCTTTTGTCTCTGAGTGTAGGTGCAGTGATTAAGAAGCTGACATGGGCATAGTATCTTATAGACTGCACATTGCATAAAAACGCAACAAGGAAGCAAATGGTGATTGAAATACGTTTCATTGGATAATCATTGTAAGGCATGAAAGCCGTGTCATCAGTACCCCATGTATTGCTAGCAAAAATACCAATAAGGGAACTTAGTGTGATTGCTGTTGTTGCTAGAAGAGTAGATGCCATGATGCTGTTGCGAATTGTTTGAACTGCCAAAACACCATTCTTCAAGGGATCCTGCAAATATAGCAATGGAAATTATTTTCACAGCTTGTCAATATGATTGAAAGGCCAAATATCTGTAGCAAATAAACAATAGCAGAGAGAGTTCATGATGACACAGTCAGAAAGGATATTCAATCAAACATAAGGCCTATCACACTCTAATGCGTTCCTTTTTAAGTTCTTTCTCTTCTAAGCTTTTCTTTTTCCTATACTACAGTTAATCTTTCTATATAATAAAATGGAAGCCAAAGGCAAGGCCTTATTATTGTTAGTAAGGCGTGCAGGTAAGAACGTTTGGTAGTAGTTGTTCGATGATTTTATTTCATCATCAACTTTTAGTCATCTCTTGGGAGTTTCATAACTGGGAGTTTGATCACTTCAACTTTCGAGTGAGTGGAGTCAAACAAGAAACTTTCTAACAAAAATAATAAGATAGAAAGATAGAAGGAGAACAAAAAAGAACCAAATGGGAAAAAACCCGGAAGATTCTCGATGGAGTTAAAGTAAAAAAAGGAAAAAGAAATGTATTTAGGCTTTATTTCTATAAATACATTATCATTTTGCCCTAGCTCAAAAACACTCCAACCAATCCTAGCCTCAGCTCAACTATGATTGTTTTGTGGAAATTGCAACTAGGCACATGCTGCAAAAACCTGCAAGTCTAAAGATTTGACAAGCCCAAACACCACCAAGTTGAATTACCTCTGATACTACAAATCTTATGTATGAACCTTAAGAGAGTATAATAAAAAATTTCAGGAAACTACACTTTTATAGGAAATATATTAAAATGTTCTCTTTTAGATAGACAGCAGAAAAACGCATCTGAAAACAAATTGCTGGAAAAACAGATCCTGTCCTCAATCAGTAATATAATAAACCAAGGCGAAACCATAAGTTTATTTAAAATTTTCATTTAAACTTTTGCCGCATATTTTATTAACACAATAAATTCCACTGACTCAAACACCAGGGGATATGAAACAGCAAAACATACAATTCGATTCAGTGAAAAAGTTTTCAATACTGTATCGTATTTATGGAAACCAGGAAGAACCATTTCCGTTAGCATTTACAGAAATCAACGGTCATTGCATTTACAGTTTTGGTATATACATCAAGCATTTCCGTTTGAAGTATATCTAATAGTAGGGTGTGTCGTGGGGGATTAATTGTTATTTGCAGTTTGTGGACAATGATTACTCTCTGCTATGTCTCTTTAGCAACAAGCAAATTGCTGTATTGTGTATCATTCGTGTTCAGTAATATATTTCATCAATTAATCTCTACTGCTCTATCACATATCAACAAGTACAGCCATGAATTTCATCACCCTATTGGTATATTTTATGTGTGTGAATTAACATAAATTATTGTTATTATAATTTTAATTTATTTTAAATTAATTAGATATTAAAATTATTGAGCCATGTTATTTAGCTTTTTTTTATTAATTATTATTATTATTGGATTTATTTGTAATAATTTTATTGTTAATGAATATAGGTTTAGATATTGTTATTAAATTGAGCCATAATAGATAGATTTAGCCTATTTTATTATTATTCAATAAATTTTATACTTCTAATTACTTCAAAATAATTATTTTAAAGTAACTGTTATTCCATTAAAACTGAATACATATTTAGAATTGGAAGAGTGATAGGAAGAGTTTCTCTTTGTATTTTATTTTTTGGTTGATTTTTTCTCAAAAAAAAAGGGAATCACTTGGTCATGAACTCATCAATCTGTTGTAAGTAATGATGATGTCTAACTCAGTAATGAACTTATCAATCTCTAACCTCCTGACTAATTGTCACATTGTCTAATCCTTTTATAACATGTAATTGTTATTTTTTGAATTAGATTGAAATTTATTTTTCCTTCACACACCACTTGTCTAACTAAAACAATAGAAGTTGTAATTTAGTTTGTGCAAACTAAAAAAGTGCCTTTCCTAACAGAATCAAAATCTGAACTGCCTATTATTACTCAGGTTATCAAATTAATCAGCCATGAAGATCACTCAAGGTTGTCATCTCTACAGGTTTAGTCAAAATACCCACTTTTGGTGTTGTAAATCCCCTTAATAGTCACCCGATAAAGTGTTCAGCCTAAGTGCATAATAAATAAAATAGCAGATTCAACAACTTAGATGTTGGCTTTACATGTTCATAAACATCATCATTCAATAGGCTGAAATTAATTCACACTCAATAGGCTATGCACTTGCCATTGAGGACCATAAAGAAAACATAACACTGTTATTCTGAACTTAGCACTCAACTTTTCATATCACAAGAAAATCAAAGGAAGTGCGAGAGAGAGCAAAACAGGCAGTCTCAGCTTGGTAAATAGTCAGTTCAGAAGCACATAACTGGAGACAATGATAACAGTTAGGATATCACTAATTTTATTAAAAAAAACAACTTTTTTTTTCTCTGCAAACTATCAATGACTCACCTGCGTGATAATCAAAATTTTCTAACCATATAATCAAAATATAAACATTTTGTTGTTATTAATTGAAAGAGATAAAAAGCTGATTGTAAAATCACTCACAGTCATCATGGAAAGAACCCACTGATGACGAGACTCTGCGTTTAAGCCAATGACAGTTCGAAGAGGATTGCAACGAATGGTGTAAACAAGCCAAACATGGTATATCAGGAACACCAATAGACCCAATGGCATCAACACATACTCTAAATGCTTCTTCTGTATATTCTCCATGCCACCAACACTCGCTTATCTATGACTATGATTGGTACGACAAGGAACTTGCAAAGTGAAAAAGCTTAATGATTCATTAAAGTATATCTATAGTCAAATTCATGATTCCATGATCAAACTCATTTTCACCAAACAAAAGGGTGAAGTAAAAAGTAACTGTCAAAAACCAATGTCTGAGTACCTATCACCCATTCATTGGTTAAAAATGGATATGAATCTAATATCTCAGATCAGATGTGAGAGAAAGTTTGAAGTGTGGTCACATGATGTTGTTGTTGTTGTTGCCACTTGCCATCTTGTTGATAATGGTATTCCCACGAAAGAATAAAATAAAAAACATTTCTTTATCAGTGCCAAACTATAATTATATAGTACATAAAAAAAAATTTAAGTTCATTGCCACGATTCAGTTAATGACCAAATATATTTTGTCGCCACATGTTCATATCAGAACCCATTCCGGTCTCAAAACTGACACACATTTTATAAATTATTTAATTCTTCATTAATGAAGAACTTCTAATAGCTTTCTTAATAAATTGTCAGAAAATCTTAATTTAACTAAATGTCGCTGATTCTGTTGGTGTTTGTTTTCTTAGGAGCTATCTTGTCTTTTAACAAGAAAAAACTAAATGTCATCCATCTTCCTTTTAAAATATTATTACGGTGCAAGTTAAATTGTTCCTCCAATTAGAATTAATTTTAAGTAATTAAAATTGGTAAATTTTTATAAAAATTATTTATTATACAAAAATATAGAAGTGAAATGAATATTTTTTTAGATGCTTAAAATCAATAATATAGACAAATATTAAGTAAACTGTTTTTAAAATGCAGATAATTTCACTTAAAATATTGTAGAATCTCTTTTATTTGTCCATATTTTATACAGTTATTCAGCTATAACTTTCTGGCAAAACTCGAGTGAAATCATTTTTAGTATCAACATCATTTACACAGGAGAGAACGATCAATAGAGTAAAAAAACACATGTGCAACTGATCTTTGCATGTTTATGATATATAAACATTTTTTTTAAAAAGGTAAATGTTAACCTATATTCTAAAGATATTAATTAAAAAAGTATTAATGTACTCTTATAATTTTTAATACATTTTAATATTTTAAAAAATTGTTTAACCAAAAGACACTAATTAGCAGCAAGATTGTTTTTTTAAATATGAATGTACTATAATCCAACTACTATAAAATATATAACTTTGTAAATAGTTGGGTAAATGAAAGATGATATATGGTATTAGTCACTGCTTGTTATTAATTTGATCCCTTGATTGAAATTAAAATAATTAGAGGAAGGCACAGTGATGGGTTGAGAGTGTCGTTTTCAGATTCCAATTGAACGATACAAAGCTAGCCACTCCATTTTTCCCATGTGGTATTATTCTTTGGCCTCACTTTCTTGTCTTTCATTTGTTTTCTTATTCTTTTAAGGCATACATAAGCATTCCATCCCTTTATGATTTGACATCGTAAACGATTCCTTGGGTCTTATCAAGATATTGTTAACAATCATTCTAATTTCAAGTACAGGCAAAAGGCTCCCCAAGCAAAATTGGTTTCAAACTCTCAATACAACATTGTAAATATGAATGATATCAATATAAGGTTTATTGGGTCTGATTTATAAATTTTTTATTTGGACCATTCTTTACCACTTTATTTTTAGGGTGGGTTATTTTTTTTATCCTTTTACAATTAAGGATCAAGGATTCATTAATAGTATTTCTTTTTGTAATTTTATTTTTTTAAAACCTCTACTTGGTCCTGAAAATATTAATGTTACAGATACTGTGGGATAAAATATATTTTTAATCCATATAAATATAGTTAAATTTGATCTTAATGTTTCAAAAAAAATTATTTTTAATCCTTTTAAATTCAAAATTTTCTAAAAATAGTCTCTATCACCACTTATTCATACATGTAATGCATTTAGACATGCCACCTTAAAATGATCATTATATGGCATATTAGATGCATGTAGAGAGGTTTTATCCTTGCAATTGCACATTTTGTTCTTGCTTCAAATTCATATATATATGCTTATAGTTGCTCTTCTAAATTGTTTGGATTCTCTTCACATATGATTCTGAAAAGTCACATGCTCGTTCTTTTTGCCATGTATTTCAAATTTAATTTAAATGTATTGAACAGATTGCATATTGTAAGTTTCTGCAATCTTGTGAAATTTCCTAAGAATATTTTTCCATGGCCTTTATTTTTTGTTTCAATATTCGTTTCTGACCTGTTTCTGCTCTTAAGACTAGTCAGTTCAAACTAAGTCTTAGCAAAATTGAAGTGTCCTTGCAGGCATAGCTTATTTTTGTGGTTATGTTCCTTTCTTTTGCTGTACAAACCTAATTGCACACAATAGGAATGCCCACCTCAAGTCTAAATCTTCATCTTTGTTTAAGTACAGATGTTCTTGGAACTACAGCAATTTGGGATTTCCTTCATGGACCCTTCTTTTTGAGCATCAGACAAGGCTTTAGACTAACCCTTGTAGTAATTTCATTCTATTTGTCCTTCTTTCTTAATTTTAAAAATATTTTCTCAAACTAATTACTTTCTTAATCATAAGCTATATCATATCAATAAGTTTCTATCCAAATTAGATATTTTATTATGCCACAAACATAAATATCTGGGATAGAATAGTTATATTGGGTGTTAAACCAAGCAATATTTGGATTAGATGGTTTGAGTAAATCTTCTGGTCAATGAATTGTTTTTTAACAAATTAGTGACCAGTTACAGCATATGCATAGAATTCACTGCTCTAAATGGTAACTAAACAGATATCCTTATTAGCAAATGGAGCGTGTACCGTGTCTTAAAGACTTAAACCCTTCATTTCCTTTTGTGATGTGATTTTCTATTCAGGCTACTAAAACTTTATTAAATGTCTATATATGGCTGCCACAATGTAGCATTGAGATATTAGGCCACTTCAATATTTTGCTGCAAAATACACATATGTCAAGGCCTTTATGATCCCAAACTCCAGACTTATGTGCTAGTTCTCGTCTCAAATTAACCTTTGTGGGGCCAAATGATCTTTGGTAGATTTAGGTCTCGTGTCCTGGTGACAGCTTCTTTGATGATTTCCCATTGGTCTTGTGGCAAAATTGCAATTTCAGGAAGAAAATCATATGTAAAGATCAATATTGCTAGTGCTTGTTTAACAAGTTTGATATGAACTTTATTTAATATAGCATTTATGCCATTTATTTGTTGAGTTTTCCAGCTGCATGGCTTTACCTAGTGACCCATTCTTTTAATTGGATCAATCGCTGGTGTGGATTTTACAACCATATATTTCTGGTTTATCACTAGACAGCACTTTCAATATCCATTGCCACACACATGGTCGTGGACACTCATGTCGTTGGAGATCCTATCAACATAGTTGAGGATATCAAAATTGATGACTGTGATGATGATGATTTTGAAGAGCCTGAAATTGGTTTCATTGAATTCAACCCAGGGCCAAGAATCATGCTGACTTGCTAATTAGGAAAAATTAGTAAATTTTAGTTCAAAATCGACAAGTTAGCTTTATAAATTAAAAGTATTTGGTAAAACTATTTATTAAATTAGTTAATAAAAATAAAATAATATACTAAGTCATAACTTAAAAATTAGTAATTATATATATTTTTTAATAATAAAATTATTCATTTATAACTTATTGTAACGCTCATTCAATATTATACTATTTATTTTATTTTTTAATAAAATATTTAATTTTAAACAAAAATTATAAAGGTTTTGTACTAAAATTTTGAAGAGTTTGAAATTAATTAAAAAAACATAAAGTTTCAATAACATAAAAATATATTTTTGCATGTTAAATAAAAATATAGAAAAACAAATAAATATATTTTATATTTATTAGCTAGTTTAATGATTAATTTTTATAAACATTTTTACTTAAGTCAATTTAACATCTAAGCACTGTTAGCTAAAAATTAGCTTGGTTTTTAGTTAATTTATTAGTTATCTTTGTCTGACATAACTTATGAGTGTATTTTACACGTTGAATAAAATAGTTTTTAGCTTTAATATAATAAATATACTTTTTAATAAAAATATTAATTTTAAATGTTTAAATTTCCTTTTAAAAACTAAAGTTAATAAAGTATTTTTAAGATATTTTATTATATTATTCTTTTCATCGCTTTCTATTATACCAACCATTTTATTATATCTCCTCTCTTCTCTTCCCATTTATCTTTTATTATAAAAATATATAAACACATTTACTCATAATAAATTGTCGTTTATAGTAAGAAATGCTGCACGCTTCGACTTTATTTCAAACGAAGTCGTAATTATGGTGCTTAAGCCAACAAATCACATCACAAACTAATCAGAAAAGAAGTCAAAGTTTTCAGCTATAATTTCTAAAAAATATGTGCAATAATAATTATTACTCTATAATTGCCTGAAAAATGAAATTACTCTATAGATTGAGTACATTATTTCTTACTTTCACATGATGGGACAAAATTAATTTAAGAAAAGAAAACTAAGAGATAGTGATAACAGGCCACAGCTCACAAGTTTCTGCTGAATTCAAAAAGACGCGTTGTTCCAATCCTGACCCAGAGCCTCCATACCCCTCTGAGCTGTATCCACATGGAATTTCTTTCTTCAGCCACCAATGAATCATACATTAATAAGAGAAACATTTTTAATTTATTTTTTCACTCTTTTCCATTACTTGCCACTCAATCAATCAATCATAGGTGCAAGAATTCTTGAGTGAAACTGGAACACTGATCTTTTTGGGATCCAAAGTGATGGAACATTCCACTCTTTTGTAGTACTTTGGCTTCACCAACCTCCCAAGCACGTAAGCTCTAGATCGAATCACAAAGCTCAATTTCAAAGGCACAGGCACCGTTGGCATACCCGTTGTGCTACTTAGGCTGGCACCACTTCCATACAATGGTATCTTGTTCCCCATCACTGCCACACTCACCAATCTCTGACTCTTCCTTGATTGATAAAACTTCTTCATCTGCATCCAATTCAATTCAAATCAAATCAAAACCACTACAACGTTACTTAAAAAAGAATAAAGGACATAAATGTGTGTGTTTCTTACATCACCGGTAGCAATTACGATTTCTGAAAAGGATAGATCCAATGGTGTAGATGTGACATGGACCCCAAAGAATGTGCCAGTGTTGCGGTACGTGAATTTCAAAGTGGAATTCATAGTGATCATATCAGTGGCCACACCCGTGGAATCAGAACCAGCTTGAACTCTCATATGATCAAACTTGATACTCTGCGAGACCCACAAAACAAAATTGAAAACTGACGAAGACCCATTTAAAAACAAGATCAAAGAATGAAACTTTGAGAGAAACCAAACCTTGATAACGATTTTGGGCTTCATGGGTCTACTGGCACCCCAGAGAATGAGGGAGAAGAGAGAGAAGAGAAGGAAGAAGCCAAGAACAAAGGCGAGGAAATAGTAACGACGAGAGAGAGAGTGGTCGCGTTCTTCGGATTGAAGAAGACCTTCTTCTTCGATGACGTCGATGTCCTTCCATGGCTTGTGGTTACGGTGGTTCATCTTGCGTGAACCTGAAAAACGACTTGAAGAAGAGTGAGAGTGAGGAGGAGAACCCATGGGGCTGAGAACAGGGGTTGAGTGCAACGACGTTGTCGTTTTCTCTCCATCGTGAGAAGGGCTCTGAACGTAGTACACTGCTCGCCGGGGGGAGCGTGTGGTGGACGACGCGTCCAGACTCGTTACCTCAGAGTCTGTCTTCGCATGCATTTTAATGAATCTAATATGATGGCGATGTTGGTGTTGCTGATGTTGCTGTGTTTATGATGTTGTGTTGTGTTTTTAGTTCCAAATCTAAGAGATCTTGGTCAGGTGTGTGATAGATGTCAAAGAGAGGCCCCAACAATGATGTATGAATATGAAGCACCAATGCAATTGCATTGGTTGGTGATTATTTGATGGGCCATTAATTGGCTTGGTTGGGGATGGAATGTGGTTCAAAAAAGAAGCACATTTATGCTTTCATGAAGATTAACGCTAATTAAAACAAAAAATAAGTTTATAGTTGTTAGTTGATAAATTAATTATAAATTTACAATTTATGTTAAATGATTAGAAAAAAGTGCTAAAGAGAATGGGAAATTAAAAAATAAATAATAAAAAATCTTAAACTAAAACTTATATTAGAGAGTCTGAGAGGGACAGCACAGGGGACACGGGAAAAGGAAGAATGGGAATGCTTGCTTTATTAGGGGTGGTTGTGTAATGTGTTGTGTGTGGTTTAATTAATAAACTTTGAGTGTGAGAAGAAGAGAGGAGGAAGGTGAATCCGAAGGTGACAAGTAATGACCCGACAGCTACATTACAGTTGTCACCGAAGAGAATAGAGTGTTGGGGTGAAGTAGGATTCAATCTTTGGAAATATATTAAAAGCAGAAGCACATGCACACTTGCACTAAGCAGAGAACAGCAAAGGCTCTTTCTTTCTTGGATTCATGTTTATATGTTCCTCATCGATCTTAATCCAACATTTGTTTATTAATTACTATTATTATTATTATAGTATTTTGTTCAAGAGAGCTCTTGTTTGCTTAACGATCATATTAATGTCGGTGCAGTGAGGATAGTCATCAGCTTCACATATTAAGCCATTGACTTATAAATTGTTGAATCTATGGACCAACCAAAATAATTAGTCACTTATAAATTGTTCAAGATATTTTTATATGATTTGTTGAGTGAATTTGTCTAATTTTAACATAATATTAGAATCTATTTAGTATGAATGTTGAGTCACTTATAAATAATTAGTCATGCAAACTTCATATATCAAATTTTTTCTTTTGTATGTGAGGGAGGTGCATTAAAATCATTTATATCGATTAAGAATAGAGTTAAAATAATTTTTATATGAAGTAATATTTTTCTAATGGACTAACTTTTAAATTAAGTCAATTATATTTTTATGTCGCGTGTCATGTCAGTGCTATGATGAAATACTTAACAATTAGATAATAATAGAAATTAAATTGTAACAATTGTAATAAAATTATGATCTTTTCTACAATTTGATAGCAACTACTGCTTAGAATTAAAACTCACTTGTACAGATGCTTTAAATGCTAACCATAATGTTGGGTATTTGAACAACATAAAATAATTATATTTATATATCCTACATGTATCTTAATTCAATGAGTAAAAGACTCATGATATGTATAATAATATTATATCTTTCTACAAAATAATCTTACTTATCGTGAATAAGGAAATAGTTAAATTGGCCCAATTGACGAAATTCATATTACATTTTTTATAAAATAAAAATCATAATAAATAGTTTAATAATAATAAATCCATATATAAATATCATACTTGAGTCTTTATTTTCAAAATATTTTAAAATAAACAAACTTAAAAAATAATCATTGACTAGTTCAAACCAATTTTTAACACGAGTACTTGTCCAATGTTACTTTATTCTTGATCAAATTTTTGCTCCACCAATTCTGTAGATGACCAAACCAATTACCTAACTAATTTCTAATTCAACCACTCAACCCAACTAACTCGATTCAATTTTAATAACTATGATAAAATAAATAAATAAATAAATACATTTAACATCATAAAAACATTAAAAAAAACTCGATTATTTGTTTAAGAAAAGACCTAAATCATCATTCTTTTTGTCTATAAACCCTCCTAGTTACAAATTGAAGAAAATATTTATCATTTTTATATTTTCCAAATAATTAATACTTATCCTTTTTCATTTAATACATACTTTAGAAATGTAGTAGTAAATTTTCTTTAATTAAAGAGTGCTTAAAATACTATTTTAAACACACTTTTAATTATTAATTAAAATTTATTAAAAACATAAAAAATAATAACTAAAAGTATAACAAAATAAAAAAGAATATAACCAATATAATTATTAAAAATTTTAATAAATTTTAACTAATAACTAAAAGTGTTTGAGTGAATATCTTATTAACAGTTCTCTTAATAGAAAGATCGTAAGATATAACAAAAGTATATTTATAAGCTAGAAAATTAACTCATTTTTTCTAATAAAAAACACATTCCAATAAAATTGTATAATTCAAATTAATTTATATACATATTTCGATTATATTAATGGTTCAAAATTAATTTTATCAAAATTAATTATACTCGACTTTAAATCACAGAGTCACGTTATAAGAGAATTTAGAATCATTTGATAAAACATATAGGCAGTAACTATTTTTGGATGAAAGAATCCAAGCGGTCGGTAAAGTTATCCCACTCCTTTGGTAATCATAGGCTCATTGGAATAAATAATTACGGCTACATTACTTTTCAACCATCCATTTCCACTGATCATCTGAACAAAACAGATTATGCAATTGTTTTGCCCTCCCTCCTGGACAGTGCCTGTAAATCATAAATTCTCATAGTTATATTCTGCAAAACATCAGACGTGCATTTTCTAATCTTATGTATGAGAAAGACCTTAATTTAGTAAGAACTTCTATTCAAGGGAAATACATCACAAATGATCTATGTAAACTTTTGAAATCACTTATTCTGTGGGTGACAAAACATAATTCAAAGTACTACAAACATACTATTGAACAGTCTTTTGTTTTTTTTACATATTCAACAGTGTTTTTATCACACTTGAGTATTTGTTAAAATTTATTAAAAATTACAAAATATGCGTGAGAATCATTAAATTAGAAGTGAAACTCACGTGCTTTTTATTGTATCCTATAAATTTTAATTAATAATAAAGAATGTGTTTGCAAGAATGAGTTACTGACATCAGAGAAACCAATGCAACAAAAAGCTTAAACCTTGAACTGTGGGCTATTCAAAACTTAAGCTTGCTGATGATGATATAATTTGCAACAGCCACATGATAATGACTTGCAAATGGACCAGCTACCCTAGCATTACCAATTTACCCCTCCATAATAACTTTTATCATTTATAGTGGAATTTTCTTAATTCCTAAAAAACTGAACTTCAATAGGTACTTATTACGGTGCTCATAAAGGTATTTTATTATTTTTTAAATTGACTGTTATGATTATTCAAATATTTTAAAAATTAAAAGATATTTATGTCTTTTTATGATGGACCACTAACCTTCACTGTCATAATATTAACAATGATGATTGTTCCATGTGTGAAAAAACATCGAATTCCCTCTTGTTCTTCAAGGCGCCATAAGAATTACCACTTCAATATCTGTTACAGCAACCCCCTCCCCCTACCCAAATATATATATATATACACTCAATTACAACTTTTTATTCAAGAGCATATTGTTCTTTTAATTTCCAGTTTTCCTTGCTATAGTTCTTAGGGTATGTTGTGTTTCACTTGATACGGGGTATACAATAATAATCAAGCTTTATTCCGCTGGGTAGGATATGCACTATATAAATGGATCAATCAATGCCACTAGGTCCTATTTGATTCTTTCAGCGCTTGTTGTACAAAGTTCCTCTGTCTTGCAACTGACGCAGAAAGCAATATCCCTAACTACCAGCAATTCGTCAATGCCGTCTATTATTGATCACAGGGTAGGACATGGAAACCATGTGACAACTACACGTTTGTGCCATACAGAATAATTGTTCTATCTTTCCTAGAATGTAATGCATGTGTGAATGAAGGATGCAGATCATTTACCAATCTGGTCTCATCAATTGACTCGAGCAGCCTGTTTTTCCTCTCTTGATAGCACACAGCACACCAGGTAGAGAAATCATTTTTATACCTTTTCATCTCTCTAAAAACAGAACTGCATAGAAATAATGCACCTTTCATCATTAATTTAATGATTACCAGAAAAACTGAATAGAGGACAACATAAATTTAAATTAATCAATCTAGTGAGGTAAAAAAATCAGACTGAAAACATAAGGAAAATAACATTCTTCGTTAATGCTACAGTCATGCTGTGACAATGAGACTTCTGCTGCTTTTCCCTTATAAATTTAATTTTGAAAAATTACTTAACAAATAAAGCATATGCCACATGGTAGAAAAGCAAAATGAGAATTAGGGTGGGTTAGGGAGGAAAACTATACAATTGGACTCCTTACTTCATGTTTATCCCTTTAATTGGTAATTTTTCACATCAATACATCCAGTAAGCATAGAACCAAATTCAATTATGTTAGACTGTAAAGAAGGCCAGTAGACAAGTCTATAATCAGAGTTACTATCTTTCTGTGAAGTTTGCTTTAAGGTGAGAAAATGCTAACTCCGCCCTAACTTCAGAAATTACACTGAATCAAAACTAACTTGAACACCCCATCCCCCTTATGTCACACATCCATACAACCTATCCATGAAGTTGATATATAATGAAAAGGTGTATGAAACAAATGGAAGTAGTAATGAAAGCAAGCAAAAAATGAAAGCACCTTCTGCACCATAGAAGTAGATTGATACGATAACCCGATGTTGTAGCTCTAGCACCATGGCGATGACGACCATGATGAAGCACAGCTTGTCCAGGGACATGGGAATAGTCAAAGACCTCCTGCTTTCAAATAATGGATAAAGTGTAAAAAAATGCAGAGTTGAAGTATATAAGAAAAACATTTTACTACTTCCATTTATTCTGGCATCAGATTGTATGAAATCATACAAAGATATTTTAGAGTACAATATGCTAATATATTTCCCTCACGTATCACATGCTCAAATCTTCTCTCAGCCAATTAAATGATTGCTCAGAAAAATCAAGACAAACACTTAAGCCAGCAGAATAAACTAGATATTCAACTGTGATTGCCATCCACATCAATATTCAAAGATCATATGGTCTAGTTTGAGAGTAAAGCAATGTACGCTTACCGTGAGAATTGAAAAACATTAAGCAACACATCTTCCTAATACCAATATATTTTAATGTTTTTCCATCTCCATTACTTACCTTTGAATAACTTTCTGTATGTGCATGCTGATCACATCGCATGCCCCGAAAAAACAATTCCCCTCCAGAAAATTGCCTACCCAAGCAAACATTTAAGCTTACCTCCGAGTCATCGACATGTAAACCTACAAATGTAAGACTATTTGTTAGACTTCCTTGCTTACAGTTACCAGACAATAAAATAAAAAGTCAAGTTCTACATCAAGAATGCAAGCGTAAAGGAATACTATATCATCTAAACATTTGTTTCCCAATAAAGGTTTTATGGCTCTCACTTAAAGCATAGGTTGAAACTACAACATATGCATAAAATAGAAGTTGTCAAAATTATTAGCAACCAAAAAGCCATTTATAAGTAATTATATAGTTATTACAAAATTCATGAATAAAGATGCTAGCCTTCTATAGCATGAATGTCCAGTTTCTATGCACACAGCCTGTAACAAATCTAGTTTTCCTTTTATAGGTAAATTAGCCTTTCAAATTTGAGAAGCATTTTCTAACACACTCTCACTTATTAGTTGAAATTTATTAAAAACTACAAAAGTATGAGTAAGAATAATAAAGAGTGTGTTAGAGAGTATGATATTGTTTCTTGTGCATAAAACTGTTAGAAGGAAACTTGGGGCAATGCATGCTACATTCTAAGACATACTAGAATATGCATTCAGTGTAAGATAGCTCCGCAGCAAAGATAAAGAAATTCTGATCAAGAATAACTCTTACCCAAGTCAACATCTCTATCTTTACCATATTCAACAATAAAGCCATGATGAGAATCTAGAGTTGATCCACCAATTTCTGCAAAAAATACTGTAAAACAAAGAATCAGTTGACCTAAATATATACAACTGAAGAGAATGAAAGACTTATAGGAGGCTGCCTGGCAGCTGGCTAATCTCTTTAGTCAATAAATACATAAATGCAATTGGTCAAATCACCACAAGCTAAACCAATACAGCAGACTTCATTCACCTTTTGACAAAGGACAGATAAAACCTTGCATAAGCTTGTCAAGCATGGTTTGAAGGCCAAAGTCATCAAGTACAGAACCATATTTATTCATAGTACTGGGACGCATAACCTGAAATTTTGCTGCTTTAACCCACTTCTCAAAATTTTCAACCTAGGGAAACCAAAAATAAATTTCAATATAGACAAAATATATGTGTAGGCATCCACCTGCAGATTCTAATTTATGGAAGAATGATGCATTGCTTAATTTATACTCCAGTAGTTAAAATGATAGAATACCTCAGATACCAATAACTCACAAAAGTGTGGCTGAAGCATCTCAAATGTAAAAATGCCTGGAGCGGGCTCAGACATTATACTTCTAAAGCTTTGTTCTGTATTATCATTAATTGCTTTCAGAAACTTTGGGACAAAGAATGTTGTAGGATCAATAGTGTACAACTCTTGATGCAGAGGCTGCAAAATTGTACATTTCCTGTAAGTATTACTAAAAGTAAAAAGGACCATAAAAGAGGAGGAGATGTGGGGAAGTTTGTCATTATACTTGGAATGCATAAAATTTGAGCATAAATCAAAATTTATATTTTCCAACTCTTGCTGATTTGAATAGAATATTAGCTCTTCTACATCAGCTTCATAGATGTTAAAACGTTAATAAACTAAAAAAAGAACCAAGTGCCCAACAAAATTGCATAATTTGAATTCATATTAATATCTAGCAATATGTGAGAGAGAAAAAACCAATAGAATGTGCAACATGCTATGAACTACTACACCTTTTTTTCATAAACCTATGAATTGATATGATTACAATGGCAAGAATAGAGCATCAATCAAAATTTTGAGCAAAAAAATCTTCTACATGTAACAAAAATATGAAATTTGAATTTTTTTTGTTTTTTTCACATCAATTAGCAAAGTCATACCAAATCAAGTGAATCCATCATTTTGCAAATTATTCATTTGAAAAATGAAAAAACTGAGAAAAAATGTTGTTAGAATAAATACTACAGAATGCATACTCTCGCATAAAAACCTACTTCATGTCATTATTATATCAGTTGAAAGACTGCTTTACTCATATTATAATCACATTCATAATACTTTGAGTGAGGGCAAGCCTTGGTGCAACAGTAAAGTTGCCGCCTTGTAGCTTGGAGGTCATGGGTTCAAATCATGGAAACAGCCTCTCCACTTGTGAAGGTAAGGCAGTGTACATCAACTCTCCCCAAGCCCCACTTGTGAGAACCAACCCCATGCATTAGGTCACCCCCTTTTATAATATATTTAGTACACGGATATCATTTTATTCCCTATCAATTATACAAACAACAACAAAAACCAAGTCTTATTCCACTAGGATTTACCATCAATTATATTAGTTGAAAAAAAAAAATTGTGTGACATTCTTTCCCTGAAATTATTCTTTAACAAAATCAGACAAGAATAGGCCAACAACTAACATTTGGAGACTGCATACCTGATAATTTGCTAATATCTTCTGTCTGTATTCTCTTTGTTTTTGATCCTACCAGAATCACATTCAACCCATCATTCAAGTATGCGCTAAAATAATAGCAATAACAAGAATGATAATAAATATAATAGAGTAAACTAAAATTGATATGAAGAAAAAGTTTTCTTTTACTATAAGTTATTAACACAAGTAAAAAAAAAGTTCAAATTTCACTTCACAACAAAAAACCAAAAGTTACAATAGAACTAAACGCAGGAATAATATTGTCATGACTTCTCATTCTCAGTGCTTTACTCTTCCCCCACATCATACCAATTTTCATAATTTTCCTTTCTATATCTCTGAATCCAAAAGTACCTAAACTATGAATCTTGGCTGGGTTTGAAACTAACTATTCCAAGAACAGCCCTTTCAAGTACCACCATGTTATTCGCACCACACAACCTAAAGTTGATGTCAAAGGAAAATATAAAAATCCACCACACACCTTAACACATCCCATAATGCTACTGAACAATAGCTAAAATATTCTGTTATGATTGCATCGACACTCAGTATATGTACGCATTACGCAAATATAATTGCCTTAAATCATCGAGTTCGATTAACAGTTAAAACCAATTTGTTTTAAATATGCAATCCGATATAAACAACGTTGCTTGAGACACAAGGTAAACATTTTCGGAAGCAATAACACACAATAATATTTTCCATCATTTTCTTCCATTTTCGGAGCAGACAAACGAATCACCAGCACAAGAAAATTCAAGAAATAAGAAAAAGGGAAATCGAAGCATACTCTGTTTCGCTCTCCCGGTGGCAGATAATCGAGCAGAATGTCGCGAATGTACTTGACCTTATCGTCACGGGACGCATCGAGCATTGTGGATGGGAGGTGCCTCTCCATCGAGCTGAAAATCGCGGGTGAGAAATCCAATTCCAAGTCATCGTACTCTTCCGGCTTGTGATTCTTGTGCGGATTCAGCACCAACCTCAAATTCTGGTTATCGTCAGTGTCAGAGTCCCCAACCGCGAAGCCGTCTCCGCCGCGGCGATCGGCGTTCCCGGTCGCCGGCAACGCTGCCTTCCCGCGGTCAGTGGAGCAACCGCGAAGCGACATGTCTTGAGCCCTGCATTTGGAAGAATTACGTTTTCTCGTAGGTCGAGGGTCCAAATGGGAAATTCGAATTTTGAGGGGGAAATTAGGGTTTTCAATTTTAAACTGTTTTATTTAACCTCTTTTGAGTTCTTCGGAGGTTTGTTACAAAGAAATTTAAAAATAATAATTCAAAGAGAGAGATGTGAATACGTAAATAGTAGTACCTCTCTGAAGCTCTTAGCCGCATGGTTAAATTTAGCAACCACTCAAATTACTCTTCAAATTTTTGAATCTGTTCGATTTCCATTGTTATAAACAAACCAACCTGTATTCATAATAAATTTTATTTTTTAATTATATTTTATATAAATTTTATTTTTTATCAACTTTTTCATTATTACTAAATATACGATGCATTATTTCTATTTAATTTAAAGTTTTTTCAATTAATTGTTTTTCCTTTTTTATCAATAATTTATCATTTTTTTCATAATTTTATCCTTTTCATTTATTTTCTTAACAAATTCATCTCAAATTTTGAGTTTCTGTTTAATCTAAATTTTAAAAAAAATCATATCATAATAAATTTTAAAAACAATGATAATAAATAAATAAAAATTCAAATAGAATCAAAAAATATTTATTGAATTTTATTTAATTGTCATATTATATTCAAACCAAATTGAATTATTTGTTATTTTCATGTTTAGTTCATGTGACTTTTTGAATAAAAATTGAACCAAATAACACTTTTATTCAGAATTATTCTTATTTAAGAATTTAATTTACAAGTTCTATACGTGAACAATATAAACTAACTTTAAATAAGATTTTAATGTTTTCTCAATTACAGTCTCTTAAGAGGAATTTACTAAATTAAATATATATTGATTATCTTGCAAATATATTTATTAATAAAAAAACAAGAATATATATATATATATATATATTATAATTTTAGTAAAATATTTGCATTGAAATTTAAAAAAGTGATAACATCATATTAATAAATTGTTATATTTTAGTACTTGAGATTAATTTTATAAAAATTAATAAAAATGTTAATTATAGAATACAAATAAATGATTAAAGTAAAAAAATTCAAAAATTATTTATTATGTGCATGTTAAATTGAAAGTAAAATTTTAACTAAAAAAAAGTAAAAATGTGACGTAAACATAAAAAATAAAATCTATAGTACATTTTCTAATTAAGAAGGTACGGTATTTTTTTTACGCATAAAATAATTCTTATTGTTAATCTTAAGGTGATAGATAATAAAATTAGTGATTTAGTTATAAAAGATGTTAATAATCTATAAATTTTAAAATAATAGATAAATTACAAATTACTATCTCAAGTTTACAAATATTATAACAAATAACAAATAAAAATATTAAGATAAATGAATAATCACAAAAAAAATGATAATATATTTAAAATTATTATCAAGTAAAAAATTTTAAAAATTATCTAAAATTATTTTATTACATATAAAGAATATTTTAGAGATATTAAAGAAAAGAGTAAATTCTATAACTTCTAACTTAATAAAGATAAGTTGATAGAACTAAAAAAAATTATTATTAAAAGTAATTTTTAATTTAATAATATTATATAATTTATGTAATCAACCTTATTTAGTAAAAATACACATAATTATTATTGACTAAAATATATCATGAATAAAAATATCATTGATAATATCATATTTTTTTAAATAAAAATTTGTTATAAAATAATGATTTATGAAATTGAAATATTAAAAATTTAAAATATAAAAGAAATAAATGTGTAAATTTTACACTATCACCTACGTCAATTCTATTGTTATAAGTTAAGTAACATGCTTCATGGGTAAATATTACATAAAAACAATGAATTACCGATAGAAAAATTGTATAAAAATAAAAATATTTTATGAAAAATTGTGTTTAAAAGAATTAAAGAATAAATAAGAAAGATAAATGGTGAATAAGTTATAATATACAGGGCTGAATTATATAAAGTAAAGTTTTTAAAAGACTAATGTTTTATGGGCTAATGTCTTATGTAATAAGTATAGATTATCTACAGGGAAAAGTCTTTTGTTAAATTTTGACAAAAAAATTATTTTTTATAGAAAAATATTGCCTTTGTTTGGGATTGTTTTTATTCTAATCTAGGCTAGATTTTAGGAAATGACTTAATAGCCAGATTTTAGAAGGATAGTTGGGTTTATAATTGTAATACCCTAAAATTTAAAGTCATACAAGGTATATCTCATTCTTTATAATTTAAGATAAAATACAAATTTTGTGTATAATGAGTTTTATTATAATAACATTTCAATGAAATTTTCTTTAAAATATATTTATTTATACAAAATTTCCATCATTTGTAATATTAATGGTACGACAATAATAATAATTAATAATAAATATCACAAAACAAGATTTATTAGTTTTTATTACAACAAGTTAATAAAAGTCACTTTATAGATAGATTTGGTGTAAATAAAATTTCCTATATACGTGCAATATAAGTGGAACAACAATACTTTTAAATAATGTAATAAAACAGTCAAATATTTAATTTAAGAAACTGAACATACATTTCTTCAATCAATTATAATAATTTACAGACTATTTGTCAAAATATATGAGACCTAAAATTATATTTATATCACCAAAATAATTATATCATATCTGCAAAATTAAGCCCCAGTAATGCTCTCTATCTCGGCCAAATCTTCCAAATCCAAATCATCATCTAATCTAAAGTAACGATCGCCTGAATCAGTTGTGACCTTTGTACCAGTAACGCGCTCAAAGGTCCATGTAGACTGTCTTATGAGATAGTCATGGTCATGATATGTAAATAAATAGGTGAGGGCTACCAAAATTCTAACAGTACCACTATACGTATAGATACACAGAGTCTGATGTATTTTATTCTTGGAAAAATTAAAAGGAATACTACAAAAGAAATCAATTTATAATATAACCTAGGTCCTAGGTACATCTTAAACAAGAACAGCAAACTTAAAGTAATACAATCTTTAATATTCATTAAATATATAATTAAGTCTATTATGTACTGAGCTATCTAATAATTTAACTCTTTCCTGAGGTTCTGTCATTCTATTTTCTTGAAAATATTAGCAAGGATGAGCGTCTATTCTATTAATTATAAGCATTTTATCACAAAATCATACTTTATAGTATAAATACAATATATCCATTTTCACACTAAATTCACATTGTAATCATATTCATACCCACACCATTCACAATTTGTTATCTAATACTCATTCTCTCATTCCAATACGCACTTCCAGTGCACTATAATCACAAATATCGATGCCTCAAGTATTTCTTAAGGTCTTACTCAACTAGGTAAACAATCGTCGGTTAGCCTATGCACACGGATACAACATATACAATAATCGGGCTCCTTAGCAAAAGCATCACTCTCAGAAAGAGTATGTACGCATACGCGAATGTCGCTCAGCACCATGCGCTTCTCCTAGATTTTCATCGTCTTTGGACTCTATACCCCCAATGTATATTTATAACTATTCACACTAAATTCAATCTATATTTGACTCTTAAAGTCATTCTCAAAGTTATCTTTTTTTCCCATTTATAAGATCATGCTTAGTAAAGCACTTCCAAATTAAATCAATTTCACCCAAACCTTGTTTTATCGTAGTTACAATTACTAAATCCTTCATATCAGTATTACACTACATCATATCATTTCACCCAAACATATTTCATAAAATCACATAATAATCACTTAGCAAGTTCAATAATATTTCACATTAAGTACTCATCATGTAATGCATATACTAATCATTTAGTCCAAATAACCAATCAGTTCAATCAATCAAACAAACATCTTTTCATCTATTATTCACACAACAGATATTTCAATCATATATTCTCATAAATATTCATATAACAATGCTCTAATGAGCACAAAGAAATATTGTAATATAACGATAAAATAGAGCTATCATTACCTCAAAGACGAGTTTATGAAGAGATGATGAATCCATATTTTTACTGATATTTTAGCATAATTCTAACTCATTTGATATGGAAAATATATGAAGAAAGTAGAAAAAACTCAGAAAAAAAGAATGATTTGAAGTTTTCTTTTAATTTGTAGTTATTTTAGCAATTGTGAAATTTTAGCTTAGAAATTAAATTTTTGATCTTGTTTTTGAAGGAACAATTCGAGCAAGGTTCATGAAAATGGAGGCTTGATGAAAAGGAAGAGGAAAATAGCAAGTCTGGGCTCCAAAACACAAGAACAAGGAAATGTAGGCTGGGCGAGATCATTATTGTCAGTGAAAGTGATCACTCCAGAGCTCAAAGAAAAAGTGAAGCTTGGGCGTTTCCACTTTTGCCAGGAAAAGTGAGAGTTCTAGTGATGCCTCAGACTTAGCATGTTCAGCGTTATCACTTTTATCATTAAAAGTGAGCGTTACAGAGAGGCAAAATATCAAGAAAGCTTCGCGTAACTACTATTGTCATAGAAAATGATCATTCCAGAGAGCCTTCAACTTGGAGAATTGCGCGTAGTCACTTTTATTCATAAGAGTGATCACGCACAACTACTTGAGCTCTGCAGTGACACTCTTATCAGCAAGAGTGATAGTTTCAGAGAGCTCTCAATTCAGCAAAGTTGCGCATGACTACTTTTTCTCATAAAAGTGTTAACGCACAAACAACTAACCTTCTGCGTAGCCATTATTTTTGAGAAAAGTGATAATGTGCAAATCTAAGAATTTCTATAAATACCAGAAGCGCTCAGATTTTTTGGATTCAGTTTTATTTTTTCGTTTTTCTATTAGATTGTCGTTGAGAGAGATTGAGAGAGAAGATTGGGGTCAAGTCTTGAAGCTTCCACAAAGAGGAATCGGATTGGAGCTTTTAGCCATGACTTGGAGTTTTTTTTTTTCTTCTTTTTCTTTTTCTTTCTCTTCTCCCATGTCTGAGTAGTTTCTTGTAGTTAGGGATTTATGGAACTCAAATTGATGTATTGATTTGATTCTTACTTCTGAAATTCGAGTATTTGGATTAATTGAGTTGTTAATTCTACACTTTTACATAATCTTTGAATGGAAATTCATTTGATGAACCTTAGAGGAACATTTGCCAATGGGAATTGGATTTGATTCTCTGATCTGAATGAACAACCAAAATTAGGGAATTTCTTAGGGATAAGGAGACTTAATTCTACAATCTTAAGGTTCTAAGTCTTAATGCAACTTGAAATTGAACTTCACCTAAAAGATTAGGGTGGTTTAGTTGCTTGTTAAGGTCAATGAGTTAAGGGATTAACCTTTGGCTATTGATATGAGAAACTGATTGTCAATTAACCAAGTTCTTGAATGTTCAGAAGTATAATTGAATCAATACGTCCATTCTTGTGAAGTAAATTCTTAACTATTCTTTATTCCTATCTTAATCCATCACAGCTTTTATATTCTGTTTTTACTGCAAGTTTAATTCTCTGTATTGTGCTGGTTTACTGCCATTATATGTTACAAATCTCATTCAAAATTCGTATGGCTCAAATGGTTACAATTTTGTGAATTGATACTTGAAATCTAAATTCCCTGTGGAGACGATATCTTGTTCTTAAAAATTACTCATTACTTGTTGCAATACTAGTGCACTTGCTAGTGTTTAGATTGCAAACAACAAGAGATATAGACGAAGATTAGAGTTTAACTATGAAAGTTCTCCTGAATACCAAAAGATATCCATAAAGAACAAAAACATGAAAAACGATCAAAGAAAACAAAGTTTAATTTGGAGAAACTTAGTTGGAGTTGTTTAGATTCAATGTCCATGCTTGAATTTGAAAAGAAATCAAAGTTTATGTGACTTTTATTTAGAAAAATGAAGAGAGAGTTCAGAGAAAACTGAGAGAGAAACGTAAGTTTGGAATGAAATGAAATTTTTATGCTGAAAATCTCTTAAATACCCTTCAGCCCACGCGCTCTCGCTTTAGTAAGGAACAGCTCGCTTAAGCGACGGATATCTCGCTTGAGCGAGATATGCAAACAGTGGTCTCACCCACTATTTTCTGATAAGTTCGCTTGAGCGAGCTCCATCTTGCCTGAGCGAGATGACGTCTAGAGAGCATGACATTTCTCCTATGAGTCCTCACATGAGCAACCCATCTCGTTTGAGTAAGATCTCAGCTCACCTAAGTGAGATCACTCTCGCTTGAGTGAGGTGACAGTTTGGCTGAATTTATCCTATCTCGTTTGAGCTAGAAGCATCTCGCTTAAGCGAGATAGTCCTGTAACATTATATTCTTGCACGCTCAGTCTCGCTAGGGTGAGATTTACCTCGCCTGAGCGAGATTTCCTACACAAAAATTCTTCCAAAAATTCTTTATACTTTCTTCTAAATACACTCTAATACTACTTAATATTAAATAAAATATAAATTACCGAAAAATAAAAAGAGGGTGTTACAATAATCATTAGGTATTGTCTGGCTGTGCCATTAATCCAATTTCTGAAGAAGAGCTAAATGACCTAGTTGCTACCTTTAACCATCAAGGTCATTCGGATTATAAGAGATTGTGGGATATCCTCCCCTAGTTTACTTGTAATATGCTTTCTCTCATTAGCCCCCTGCTTTAACTAATGATCAAGATAAGTTCTTCTAAAAATTTGTTAGTAATGGTTCTTTTTCAATCAAATATGCTTATGGTCTAATTTTTGATATAAATAAAGATAATTTTATTTATAATAATTCTTTTAAGTTGATTTGGGATTAGAATGGTCCTCCTCGATTACCACTTTTTTATGGAAAGTTGGTCGTGGTAAGCTTTTAACCAACAAAGAAAGGGTCTTCCACAAAATGGTTTTCTCTCCTCTTTGCCCTAGATGTATGGAGGCCCCTAAAACTATAATTCATGTCTTAGGGATTGTTGGGTGGCCAATAATATTTGAAATTAAATCCTTCCCTCTGGCAGGTGGATGGAGTTTTTCACTCTTGGTTTATCCAACTGGCTAGACTTTAATATTTCCAAACAAAATTTCCCTTTGTATCCTCATTGGAGTTTAGTTTTTGGGGTAGTTTCTTGGAATATGTGGAAAAACAGAAATAATTTTATTTTCAAGAATAACCTTTTAATTGATCAAGAGTTGTTTTACAAAATTTTCATTAATGTTGATTATTTTCTCTCTTGTTGTAGGCCAAATCAAAAGCAGATTGCTAGTAGTTGGGGAAATGATTTCATGGTGAAGTGACAGCCTCCTTTGGAAGGTCACCTAAAGCTTAATAACGATGGATCAATATTTTGTTCTTTGGGTGTTATTAGTTGTGGTGGCCTAATATGAGACTCTGTTGATGTCTTTATAGCTGGGTTATGCAAAAATATAGATGCTTGTCATCCAACTGTTGCTGAACTCTAAGGCCTCAATTTGGTCATTAAAAGAAACATTCAAGTTATTTGGATAGAATGTGATTTCAAAGTAGTTATATCCCTCTTAGTTAACCTTCAGAGTAATTTTCATCCTTTCTATTTTGTAATTAGCAAAATTAAGGTTTTGTTAAAAAAATATTAAATTTATTTGATTTAGTCATATTCTTTCGAGAAACAAACTAGAGTACTGATTGGTTGACTAAATTAGGTGCTTATCTTGGACAGCCATTTTCTTTTTTTGACATAACTCTTTTTTCTTTAAAACTTTTCATAAGATTGAATTTTTTAGGATTTCTATAGTCTAGATTTGCTGTCTAAGTTTTCTTTTTAGTTAGGTAGTTAGCCCCATTTATAAGAATAATATATATATTTATCTTTCTTTATTTAAAAATTTATATATAATATTAAAAAAACTAAATTAATATTACAAATTTTATATAAGTAAAAAAATAATATTAAAATTTAAATTAAAATAGACGTAATTATTGTTTTAATTGTATTTATTATTATTATCATTTAAAAAAATCTTCATTAGCATAAGATTAAAAATTTTTAAATTCAATTTCAACCTTTTTTTGAAGTAATAAATTATAAAATGAGTTAAATAAAAAGTTAATATGAATTTTTAGCCGGGAGGAGATCTGCCCATGTTATTATTCGGCGCCTTCATCTTTTCCAAACAATGTTGACGCAATCAAAACTCTTACGCCACCGGCAGCTACCGTCCACGCTTTCCATTCTGCGGCGCTGCCACAGCGATTCACCATCACATTCTTCTCACAACGACGCCGAATGGAGAGTGACCCAAGTCGTGGAGCTTCTGCAACATCCAACAAATCAATGGAACTACGATCAGCTTCATCCCTTTATCTTCGACGATTCGCCTCTCTCCTCTCACGAAATCCTCCAAATCACTCATCGCCTACATTCCATTCCCAAAATCCTCGATTTTCTCAATTACCTCAGAGACAAACCACAACTCCACGATCAAAACCTCGTATCTTCTGTGTTCCAGGGCGCTCTCGAGCTCGCTTCTCGCTACCCCAATTCGCAAACTGAGCTTCTCATGCTTCACAGTTACCGAAAATCTAACCTTTGTAGTATCCCTCTTACTCCCAAATCTGCTTCCCTTCTTTTGCAATGCTTGGACAAGGCTCAAATGTTGGAGGATTCGCTTCTTCTGTTCAATGGGCTCGACCCTTCTTCCAAAAATTCTCGACTTTGCAACGGGTTAATCGAAACGTTGTTCAATTCGGGTCGTGTCGAGGACGCGCTCCATGTTCTCGACGAAATGCTTGAACCGGATTCTGATTTTCCACCTGATAATTTCACGGGCGAAATTGTTTTTGGGGAGTTGGTGAAGAGAGAGTGCCATAGAAGAGTCATTGCTGATGAGGAAATTGTGGGGTTGGTTACCAAGCTATGTGAGCATAGGGTTTTCCCTGATGCATCTAAGCTTACTAATATGATCACTAAGTTGTGTAGGAAGTTGAAGAACAGTGTGGCGTGGGAGCTTTTGCACGGTGTGATGAAGTTGGGTGGTGCAGTTGAAGCTGCATCTTGCAATGCTTTGTTAATGGGGTTAGGCAGGGAGAGAGATATTCAGAGGATGAAGGAACTGATGGCAGAGATGGAAGAAATGAAGATACGACCAAGTGTTGTGACATTTGGGATTCTTGTTAATCATTTGTGTAAGGCTAGGAGGATTGATGAAGCATTGGAGGTTTTTGATAAGTTCAGAGGCAAAGGAGAAAGAAATAAGGTTGGAGTTGAGGTTGATGTGGTTTTGTTTGATACCTTGATTGATGGACTTTGTAACGTTGGGAGGGAAGAGCATGGTTTGAGTTTGTTGCAAGAGATGAAAACGGAGAATAAAATTAGGCCTAATTCTTTTACATATAATTGCTTGATTCATGGGTTCTGTAGAGCTGGTAACATCGATAAGGCTTGTGAGCTATTTAGTCAGATGATTGAGGAAGGAGTACAGCCAAATGTGGTCACTCTCAATACGTTGGTCCATGGTTTGTGCAAACATGGTAGGGTACAAGGTGCAGTGGAGTTTTTCAATGAGATGAAAGGGAAGGGCCTGAAAGGAAATGTTGCTACTTATGCTGTGCTGATATCTGCCTTATGTCGTGTGAACAAAAGTGATAAAGCGATGCAGTGTTTTGAAGAGATGTTGAGTTCTGGATGCTCTCCAGATGCAATTGTTTACAATAGATTGATATCTGGTTTAAGCATTGCTGGAAGGATGGATGATGCCAGTGATGTTGTGTCAAAGTTGAAACAGGCTGGGTTTGGTCTTGACAGGGCGTGCTATAATGTCCTCATCAGTGGATTCTGTAAGGAGAAGAAGCCAGAAAGAGTTTACGAAATGCTTAATAAATTGGAAGAGACTGAAGTTAAGCTTGATACCGTCACCTATAACACTTTGGTTTCCTACCTTTGTAAAATTGGAGATTTTGAAACTGCCAGTAAGATGATGAGAAGGATGATTAAACAGGGTCTTGCGCCCGCTGTTGTTACATATGAAGCACTTATACATGCATATTGTTTAAATGATAGTGTTGGTGAGGCCATGAAGTTTTTTGGAGAATTGTGTTCTACATCTAAGGTTCCTCCCAACACTGCGATTTACAACATCTTAATAGATGCTCTGTGCAAGAATAACAATGTAGAAAAGGCTGTTTCTTTGATGGATGACATGAAAGTAAAGGGGGTTCAACCAAATACAACCACGTATAATGCTATTCTCAAAGGGGTTCGGGATAAGAAAATGTTGCACAAAGCATTTGAAATCATGGACAAAATGATTGAAGATGCATGCAGACCTGATTATATAACCATGGAGATTCTTACCGAATGGCTTTCTTCAGTGGGTGAAATAGAAAAACTGGAATGTTTTATTCAAGGGCATCCGGTTTCCTCTCATCCAGCATCATCACAAACTTCAATTCGTTTGTAGTATTCTTAAGCAAAGTCCAAATGGAGGGCTTTTAACTGTCCAAGCTCTACATACAGTGTGATATTCCTTTTGAGCTCACTTTTTAAAACACCATATACTTGACAGGTTTTATGCCAAGCTTAAAATAACCAGTAACTCCTTAAAATTCTACTAGATTTTCACATAGTTTTACACTATGTTAATGTTTACTTGTTTTTAGCCATTTGGTCATTTTGTATTGCTGTTGCTGTTGCCGTTGCCAGTTTCAGAGACATAGCTTAAATTCTTTCATTAAATCGTGTATTTTAGTAAAAACTTATTATATTATATATCTTTATACACATTAAAAAAATGTCTCTCTCTCACACATACACACATATATATCACCTATTCTATCATGAGTGGACCAATATTTGTAATCCATGCCTTCGTTAATTCATATCATATTCTAGGAGTATTATATTCAAATTTCATCACAGGGTTATTGATGCAATTCTTATCTTGATTGATCTCTACCTAGTCCCATGGAGCAAAATCAAGGATGAAAAAAAAAGTGTAAATATTAACCCATGTTAATAATGCATTGATTAAGAAATTGAAAGTGGATTGTTTTTTATTGCAAAAAGTTATTTATAAGGCTTTTGGCACCGATTGACCAGACCAAAAATGAATTTGACTAACACAAAAGGCACCATTATTAAGGCTTTACTCAACGCTGAGGAAGGAAGAGAATAGAAGAGTTGATGCAGTGCATGGATGCATTTGCCCGTTGATAAGAGATACAATCTTGCAAATATCCGTTCTAGTAATAAGTATAGGCACAACTACCAATACATAACGCCGATTTGTTTGTCTGTTCGGACAACTGAATTAAGTAAATGAATGGTTAGATATGAGTTTAGCAAGATTTGCAATGGACGATAAACAGCACCAGGTTTTTTTAACTTCCACGTAAATCGAGTGATACTAAACAGGCCTATAATCCAGTTTATTAGCTGCATTTAGTTTAAGGATTAGGGCTTGTTTAAATGAAGGATAAAATAGATAAAAATTAATAAAAAAGTAAAAATAGAATGGAAAAAAGATCGATAGCTAAAAATTAAGAAATACTTTTAATTATTTGAATAAGTAGAAAAAATGTGATAAAATTATAATAGTTAAAAGAAAAAAGAAACTTTTTAGTATAAAAAATATATCATAAAAATTATTTAACGATTTTAAACGAAGAAAACCTGTCAACAACCCCCCGGCCCCCATTTCCGCCTGTATTGAGATAGTAAACAAATTAAAACGTGAATATAATAGGTATTAGGACTAATTCAGCTTAAATGGAATAGGAGTTCCCTATGTCACTAGTAGTGTCCCTTCTCTTTTTCAACAATCACTATTCCAAAGCAACGGATTCTCCAAAGAAAAAATATTCAGATTCTTCAGATATAACTTACGATGTTTCATCATTCCACAAACAATGAAAAGTTGTGTGATGCTTACAATAACAACCTAAGTATACATAACCCATCACAATTTCAAGATATTAAAATAATCAGCAAAGCACCCATTCAACAAAAAAGTCACATAAACAAGTATGGCTAAGGAAAGGAAAATACATGAACACAATCAATAGCAGTGGCAATCAGGAAAATTATCAACTGTTGATGAACTCTCAAAATACACATCAAGAAAGGTTTGAAGACTTCAGCAAGCATCACAATCCATGAGGACATTCAAAATTGTAAATAACAGAAGCAGCCAAAGTAAATCAAAATAACTTAACCAAAGTCACTAGAAAGAACATAAACTACCAACATATAATTAAAGCAAGAAAGAAATAAGATGATGGATAATTCAATTCCTCTCCAAATTTCTCACTTTTCAATCAACTCTACCTCACTGTTACAATATCATCAATCTTCAAGATCATCCGCACACACTCTGTCGCTAAGGTGATAGCACTCGTGCTCACTAGCAGTGGCTGCACCACATTCTCCTCCAAGATGTTTGTAATCTGACCCTTCCTCACATTGATTCCCGCATTAATCTCACCCTGCGCATGACGGTTCCTCAGCTCAGTAACAATTGCAATTGGATTCAAACCAGCATTCTCTGCTAAAGTGTAAGGAATGACTTCAAGTGCCTCAGCAAATGCTCGAACGCAGTAACCCTCCATCCCCTGCAACACCTTAGCCCAGGCACCCAGTTGCCTTGAAAGCTCAATCTCCGGGGCGCCACCACCAGCAATGAGAAACCTTTTGGCAACCAAACACCTCACAACACACAAAGCATCATGCAAACTCCTCTCTGCCTCATCAATCACCAACTGGTTAGATCCACGGACAAGCACAGTAGTAGTCTTTCCCATGTCCTTAATACCAGTAATCTTCACAATCTTGCCATCCCCAAGAGAAACCTCCTCCACAAGATCGGCGTAACCCAACTTCTCGGCGCGGAAATGCTCAATGTTAGCGATGGGCAAACAGTTCAAAGTCTTGGTAATAAACTCAATCTCATCCCTTTCCACATCTTTGATCACCAAAATTTTAGCTTTTGCAAGGTAATGCAAAGACAAATCAGTAACAGCATCCCTTAATATGCTCTTCTGAATTAACAACACATTACAACCCGTGGCCTTAATCTTCTTAATCATGCCAAGAATATAACTCCTCTCTTCCTTTAAAATCCTATCCATCTGAGAGTAATCACTCACCACAATACTCTGCTCGATGTCGGTTTTTGGAGGCGAAATCTGAAACTGAATCACCGCAATTTTGGCGTTCTCCATGCGCGTGGGGCCACCGGCAGCGTGGCTCACCTTCTTGTCAAACACCAGCCCCTTCACGAGCTCCGTGTCGTCGACGGTGCCGCCAAGCTTCTTCACGATCTTGATGTCACGGAGGTCGACCATATCGGAATTCTTGGCATCGACGACATAGAGGACAGCATCGACAGCGAGAGGCGCGAGGAGCGTGGAGTACTGGCTGACGACTTTGCTGTTGAGGGAAGTGCTCGCGGATTTGACAAGCGAGTCGCGGTCGGAGAGCTCGACGGGGACGGCCATGGCGGTGAGGACTTCGACGGCTTTGATGGAGGCTTTGTGGAGAGAGTCGGAGACGACAGTAGGGTGGATGCCGTGGGAGAGGAGGAGGAGGCACTGTTCGAGGAGTGCGCCGGCGATGACGACGACTGTGGTGGTGCCATCACCGGCAGCGGAGTCCTGAGACTTGGAAAGCTCAACAAGCATCTTGGCGGCGGGCTGAAGGACCTGCATCTTGTTGAGAATGGTGGCGCCGTCGTTGGTAATGATGACCTCATCGGAGGAGGTGGAGATCATCTTGTCCATGCCCTTGGGACCGAGGCTGGTGCGCACGGCGTTGGCGACGGCGCGTGCGGCCACGATGTTGGCATGACGAATGTCTTCCTTGCGCTTGTTGTCGACGTAGGACTCGGTCTTAGAGGATCGCTGTTGGGGAGCCGCGATTGCCGCCATTGGTGATTGCAGAGCGTTAATGCGAAACCCTAAACGAAAGGGGAAATGGGAAACCCTAGCTTTGTGAAATGAGTGTGAAGAGGAAGGGAGGAGAGTGATGTTTTGTTGTTCAGAGTGGAGTTTTTCGTTTCCAATATACGCTTTTCTAGCAAAGTCTAGGGACTAGGGGTTTTGCCTTTTTTATTTTATTGTTTAACTATTTTACCTTTTTTCTTTCTAAATAAATTTATATATTTATTTAGGATAAAATAAGTAAAACAATTTATAATTTATTTAATTATAATTACTTTATTTCAACAATAAATCATCGCAAAATTATTCATCACTTTTTAATAGATAATTTTACATTAGTTATTTTAATCCATTATACTTCTTGACAAAATTATTATAGTTTATTATATTAATTATTCATTAGAAAATTAAAAGAAAAATATAACTCTTTTATATAAGTCTATTTAAAACTAAACGACTTGAGAATTTTAATTCACTGAAACATTGACATTAAGTACACAATTAGTAATTATTTTCTTTTGGGACAAAAACTCAATTCTTTTGATGGGAAATTAAGTTATTTTATCCAAAATACATGAACATAAACACCCTAATTCTATACTAGAAAAATTATACACAGTTGTACATAATTAAGTGCTTATTTGCTTCATCATTGTTCATCTCTTTTAAATAAATAAAAATTAAATAATTTTAGAACATATTTGTGTTATTTTTAAAAAGAGTTATTTGTTTTAAACAAAAATATATATAATAATCTCTTCTGAAATTACGTTTCTGCATTTGAAATGCAAGACAACAGAAAAATAAGCAGGTCCTTTAATATTCATATCATGTACAATTTATTTTAATACAAACCAATAAAAAATTTTACAGTTTTAATTATGGTAGTAAAATTTGATTTAGAAATTTTTACATAAGGAAATAAAAATGTTATAACAGAAAAGAAAAAAATATATTTAAATAAGAAATAATGATATAAAAAAGATAACATATAAAGAGCATGGGGTTAGGGATGCAAAATTGTGTCTGCGCAGTGCATCCTCAACTCTGCAACAGCTGAGCCTTTCACCACTCACCACCATGCCTACGCCATATTCAGGCATATTCCAAGGCTCCATCAGATTCAGAGCCCTGTCGCGGTTCAACTGCACTTCTGTCAGACCTTCTCTTCCCTCCATTTTCACCACTCCTCTTTACCGCACTTCCATTCGCCCTCGCTTTACGTCCTTCTCTGCCTCGCTTCGCCTCCATTCAAACGGCACGCTTAAACAGAGGCCCGTTACTTTGCCGTTTTGGCACCAACACAGCTCCAGTTATGGTCGTTTTGCCTATCAGGACCCGTCCAGTGACGATTCCGATGCCGAATTCGGCCCTTCTCCCTCTCATCCTCATTATCAACAATTGGTTCGATACTTTCCATTCCATTCATGATTCATCTCTTCGCTATTATATGCATTCCTATTGTGCTGAGTAATGTTTTTGGTCGGTGTTGATTATTGTTAGGGGGAGTCAACACTTGAAAACATTGATGAGTGGAGATGGAAGCTGACTATGCTTCTTCGCAACAAAGACGAACAAGAAGTTGTGTCCAGAGAGAAAAAAGACCGTCGCGATTTTGAGCAACTTTCAACTTTAGCTACTAGGATGGGTTTGTATAGGTAGGTAACTGTGTTAATTTTAGCGTCTTTTTCGTGCATTTTGTTAATTTATTGCAATTTTGAATGAATGTTACTTTTGCAGCCGGCAGTATTCAAGAGTTGTTGTGTTTAGCAAGGCACCTTTGCCAAATTACCGCCCTGATCTCGATGATAAGCGTCCACAAAGAGAGGTATTTATTACTTTGCACTGAAGTTGTTTTATGTTATGGTATAAAGGAGAAGGAGCCTGCTCCTCTTCCTTAGATTTTTTTGCGTAACCTTAATTTACTAAATGAATCTGGAGGACCAACAGTTTTTGTCAAGAAAACTAGTTTTAGAGGATACCTTATCCACCAGCATATTTTGGAATTAAGCTTTAGAATTACATTTATGGATGCAATACCTTATTGGTGGTGCTGGTCGTAGGAGTTTGTGGTGGTTGGGGGTTGTGTTGGTGATGGCACAGGAGAGGGGGTTGGTGGCAGTGGCAGTAAAAAATAGTAATAGTGATGCAAATGGCTGTAGAGAGGTTGGAGACTAACATGGTGTTCAAGGTGTTGAACTTTGGTGGCTAAGACTGTTTTCTTTAATGCAGGTGATAATTCCAAAATTAAGCATGCAAAGTGAATATTTTTGCTTTTTTGGAATATGATAAGGAATTGGGATTCCGGGTCTGAATGAATAACAGACAGAAAATCAAGAATTTAGTGTCCCAATATCAATTCCAATTCCCATGTTAAATTTTGAGCACAATTCCAAGCACCAAACAATGTAATAGTTGTCAATAGATATTGTGATATTCTGAAATTTAGGATGCAAAGTGAATATTTTTGCTTTATGGTTTTAATACTATAAATAGGTGATGTTGGGTAAATTCTCTGTCCTCTATTGCAGTTATTCTGATTGACTGCTTTTTCTGTGCTCTTGCAGGTAATGTTACCATTTGGTGTTCATAAAGAAGTAGACACTTATCTCCTTGCCCACCTTTCACAAAAGGCTACAAACAGGTTGGGTTCTTTGGATGATTCCTTACATAGATCAATTGATGCTAGAAGCATTCCTGCCGATGAAGGAATTTATGAGCAGACTGAGCCCACAACCCAAAATAGTGTTGTCAAGGAGAAAATCCTTCTACGAAGAAGTTTGCAACTGCGTCATCAGCAACAGGATTGGCAGGTTTATTTACTTATCCAGTTTGAAGTGCATTCCTTTTGCTGTCTCAGCTGGGATTCAACAATTTTGTATTTTAATATTTTGACCTAGGCTACATTCGTAGTGTGGGTGTGAATTTATGACAGCATAAATTGTAAAAGTTTTATAGTGCAGCCATGTTTCTAGTACATATATATAGCGTTTGTAAGTTTTTAAAAATGGACATAGGGTTTGGCATGAGAACTCCTTGAGTATGAGAACACTTGGGGGTATGACTAAGGAATTTTCTATAATGATATATATGTTTACATAAAGTCTTAGCCTTGTGTCATTGAATTTAGTCTTGAAAATGCTTACTAAGGATGTACAAAAAATTATCCATAAATGTATGTTATTTGTGAGTGATATAGTTCTGATTGAAGAATCAAGGGAAGTGGTTAACTTGAGCTTTGGAAATAGACATTGGAATAAAAGATTTTTCACTTGCTAGATAGAGTATATTCATTGCAATTTTAGTAAAAGAAAAAAAAAAGTAATGATTTGGAGATATAAGTAGTCATATCATACCATAGATTTCTAAGTTCAAATATTGGGGATTAATTTTACAAATTGACTAATAATTAATAAAGATGTTATCGATAGAAATAGAATATAAGCTAAATGGTTGAAATAAAGAAATGTATTGGGTGTTATTTATAATTGCAGAGTATTTAACAAGTTTAAATTGAAGTTTTATCGAATTGTTATATGACTAAATATTTTCTATAGTAGTGAATGTTGAGTTTTGAAAGACACATAAAAAAGTAAGAATAACAAAAATAATAATGTTAATATGGATATGTGACTACATTAGAAAGGACATGATATGAAATGACAATATGAAGATAAATTGGTGTAACATCTACAAAGGAAATGATTTAATTAAGGTAGTTTGATCATATGCGAAATAGGCCATTGAAAGGGGTACAGAGAGACCAAGAAGAATTTTGGAATAAATTATTAAAAGAGATGTTATGGTGAACAATATCTCTGATAATTTGGTTGTTGACTGAGTTTAATGGCATGTATGATCCATGTAGTTGACACCTTATGGGATAAAGCTATTATTGTTGTTGGACATAAGGTTTGGCTGTGGATCTTTATCATGGCTCGTATATCTTTTAATTTGGTAATGCATTTTTAATGAATAACAAAGCTATTGACAAATTAAATCAATTATGGTAATATGATTATTTGATTGCAATTATTGGGAAATGATTGAATGTTCTAGATTGTTATATTTGTGATTCATGTTATCAGGTTTTACCTTGATAATTAATGATGGAAGCTGTGTATTGATCTTTTATATCAATGATTTTTTCTGTATTTACTTAGATTTCCTTTTTTATTGTTTTATCCTCTAAAAATGTTGTAACAGATGCTGGTTAATGTATAGGAGTCTCCTGAAGGGCAAAAGATGCTGGAATTTCGTAGAAGGCTTCCTGCATTCAAAGAGAAGGATGCATTTTTGAGAGTCATTTCAGAGAATCAGGTGAAATAGGAAAAATGGTTCCCTTTGTGATTTGTAATTTATTTCCCTTAGTGATTAGTTTTTTGCTTCTGCCACAGAAAAACAAAAACCACAAAATAAATAAATAAAGGATTTGGATACAATGCTCTTGTACAATCCTTTATATAAGACAAAAACAAGCAAGCAAGCCTTTATATAAGACACTACTGTTTAACTTATAATTTATTGTGATTAGAGTTAAGTTTTCTTATTCTTGAAAGATGTTGTTGATTGGGGACAAATCGGGATATTATTCTCTTAACAATGTCTGATATGCTCAACCAACATTGGTTATACCTCAACTGCAAAGTTTTTATCTCTATTTTCATAATGTGAGGATTGGGGTTGGTGCAATGATAAAATTTGCGCCTTGTAACTTGGCAGGTCACAAGTTCAGGTCTTGGAAGCAATCTCTCTGCTTGAGTGGGTTATGCTGTACACTTGTACTCTACCCCACTGTTTTCAAAATTGGATCGGTTGTTAAATCAGTGAAAGCACTAGTTCACTGTTTATTGGTTTAATTGTGAAAATAAATAAATGCATTGATTATATATATATATATATATATATATATATATATATTGTTATATAATATATTATGTAATAAATTAATATGAAAAACAATATTATATGTCTTGGAAAGCAAAAACAATAATAGTGCATTAGTGTGAGTTGAATTGAAAAATAAATGTAAATACCATTAAAATAAATAAATACATATTCAATTAAATATAATTCCAATGTAGTGTGATAATCATGCATAAAGTATTATTCAGAATGTTATGTTATAATAAATAAATTTTCGTATAATAATTCAAAGGACAACAGTGGTGCAGTGGTCTTCAACATCTCCATCATGAATGAAATAGCACGTTCAACTCCTGGTAGCAGCACTCTCAAATATGTTTTCAAAATGAAGAACTGAAGATGAACTGGTCAACATGTAAATTGCCCGGTTCATGTTGGCTTGTGTGGTCTTATCTCCAGTTCAATGGTTCTTTGACCAGTTCATGAATCACCAGGTTAATGGGAGTGGACTGTTGGTGGACTTTCCCGGCTGAACCTTTCATACTAGCCAGTCCAGTCGAATTTTTTAATTACCATACCCCCATTGGTGGGAGCCTTGTGGGCTGAATCACCCTTTTATTTTCAGTGTGCAGCACATCGCTGTTGTATGACACTACTTGTTGAAATATGTGGAGCTTTTGCATGGGAACAAACTAGATTAGATATTGAATCATGTGGGCATATGGAAGATTTGGGTGAAGGACAAATTGGAGGACACGGAGAGAGAGATTCTGGAATACAAATTTTTGAACAATTATAAAAAAACGTTAGGAATTTCAGCACAACTTATAAATTAAATAACAGATAGTGCATTATGCTTATGCTGTTGTAAAATTTACAAGAACATACTCCTATGAAGTATATAGTATTTTTATCGATGTAACATTTGAAAGCTAAAAAGTAAACAATATGTCAAAGACCAAATCAAAAGATATGAACTGTATTATTAACAAAGAAGAAAATACTGAAGAATCAATTCTGCAATACTCAGAGCAAAGCTCCTACAAAGGTTCACACCCTTGCCCACTACTCAGAAAAAAAATAAAAATAATTGACCCGTTCTCACTCTTCCCCCCACTATATGAAACATTACATGTCAATCTGCTCTTTATAATTAATTTCTCTCTCTAATTTACATTTTGCTCCTTCGTATTTCTCCTACTATATGTTTTTCAAAATCCAAGGCCCATGACTTGGTTGGACTGGACTTGTCCACTTAGGTTCATGGGACCTAACACAATAATTTATAAAGGGTAACATAAGTGGTAATATTCTTTTTTCTTTTGCATATTTATTTCTTGTTGAGACTATGAATCCCAATATGTTTGTGCTGAGTGTTGATTTATATTAAGTGGTATTATAAATGAAAATTTGCAGGTCGTTGTTGTCTCAGGTGAAACTGGTTGTGGTAAGACCACACAACTTCCTCAATACATATTAGAATCTGAGATTGAAGCTGCACGTGGAGCTGTATGTAACATAATTTGTACTCAGCCCAGAAGGATATCTGCTATGTCTGTTTCTGAAAGAGTTGCGGCAGAGCGTGGGGAGAAATTGGGAGAATCTGTTAGTTTGTGGACCTTTTCAGCTTATTAATGCTTGAAATTCTTTAGCTTATATGCATTACTGATTAACTTAAAATTTCTGGTTGTTTTTCCTTCTGAAAGGTTGGTTACAAAGTTCGTTTGGAGGGTTTGAAAGGGAGAGATACTCGTCTTCTTTTTTGCACCACAGGTGTATTATTACGGAGATTGCTTGTTGATAGGAAATTAAAAGGTGTAACTCATGTTATTGTTGATGAAATTCATGAACGTGGAATGAATGAAGGTAGTGACATAATTGTTTTATTCCAATGTTGTTCTATTTTTTTAATATGATACTTACCACTGGTTTTCACATGTCAGATTTTCTTCTCATTGTCCTGAAGGAACTTCTCCCTCGTCGTCCTGATTTGAGGTTGATTTTGATGAGTGCAACCTTAAATGCTGAGCTTTTTTCTTCATACTTTGATGGTGCTCCAACTATGCATATTCTGGTAAGTTCAGGTTTCTCATTTCAGTGCTCTGTGTTAATGTTCAGTTGCACCACCCTAGTGTGTCTAATTATACCATTGTATTTCAGCATTTATATTTGTTCTGATGCGATTTTATCATGAACCTGTCAATGATCAATGATACGCCATTTTTATGGATGAGGTGTTTTTTTTATCTCTTGATGAACGATTGTATATGCTTTTAATAAGAAAAACTGTACACTTTAGCAGTTCAACAATTTAGTTGTTGACAGAAAACCTCTTGCTGACATTCTTTGGCATATTAACCTTTTAGTGTAAGATAGTAAACTAACAGACAGCTTATAGTTATTTTTTTGAGCAATTGCACATTTTGCTGCTTTGGCAAATTGATATATATTTGCTAACAAATGATATGAAGGATGCTAAACTTATTTTCCTTTTGATCTTTTGGGGACCTGTGCACTTTCTAGGGTTTTACATTTCCAGTTCGAGCATATTTTCTTGAGAATATTTTGGAAAGGACTGGATATCGGTTGACACCTTATAATCAGATTGACGACTATGGTCAAGAAAAAACATGGAAAATGCAGAAACAAGCTCAAGCTTTCAAAAAAAGAAAGAGCCAGATTGCTTCTGCTGTTGAGGTACACAAGTTGAGCTGGAAAGCTTTGCATTGTTTAGGTCCATAATTTTTTGTTAATTCTGTTTGTTTCCCTGTGATTTTGCATAGGATGCTTTAGAAGTTGCAGATTTTAAGGGTTATAGTCCACGCACTCAAGATTCATTGTCCTGCTGGTGCCCTGACTCAGTTGGTTTTAACCTTATTGAACACGTGCTTTGTCACATTGTTAAGAATGAAAGGCCAGGTGCCGTTTTGGTTTTTATGACTGGTTGGGATGATATAAACTCTTTGAAGGATAAACTCCAAGGTCATCCTTTGTTGGGGGATCCGAGCCGAGTATTGCTTCTTGCATGCCATGGCTCCATGGCCAGCTCTGAGCAGGTGACCTTGCTAGAATAGACTGATTAGCAAACACAGTAGATAGTTCTTGTCATTGTCTAGTTTACAATTTAATATAAGGTGTCTAATAACTAGCTTTATCTTCCTCTGAAGTTATTGAAATTATATTGTACTAAAATGGGTGCTTCATTATTGGTTTCTGGAAACACTTCTTCAGTTTGTTTGAGAAAAGGTGAGACATTCCAATATCAAAAGTTGAAAACATGATTTCAGGAAGTCTTGTCAAGCATGAATTTAATTTCTCCAATTTGGTGATGAAATTTAATGCAGTTATTGATTGTTTCAGGAGTTAGTGCAATTTTTTTTGGGGGGAGGGGATTTCTTTTCATGTTGAAGCAATTAAATTATTGTGTTGATCTCACATCTCTATTTCACCACATATTTCTTCTAGTCACATTTATGCATTACAATGTGTTTTATAATAAACTTTGTTTTGTTCCCATTTTGCCTGTTCTTCTGCAGAGGTTGATATTTGAAAATCCTGAAGGAGGGGTGAGGAAAATTGTTTTGGCAACGAACATGGCTGAGACTAGCATTACCATCAATGATGTTGTCTTTGTGGTTGACTGTGGAAAAGCAAAAGAAACATCATATGATGCATTAAACAACACTCCTTGTTTGCTTCCATCTTGGATCTCAAAAGCTGCTGCCCGGCAGGTATTTGTGATTGCTCAACTTAGTTTTGTGGTTTGGATTATTTAAGAAATACTTTTTATATTTCCTTTCCAATGGAAGCTAGTTCAACTAAAGGGGTTAGAGGAATACCTAAGAAGTTTTCAGGATACACCATTAGAAAAGACCTTGCTCCAACTTGTTTTCCTGGAAATTCACTTTTTGATTGAGCCAAATGGGATTATGCCTGGCTTGGTTTAATTGTAAATGTAATTTTTCATCAAGGCTGAAGTTTTCTCCATGTCTAGAACCTAAGAGTTGATGACAAATGTGAAAGTTCAAATCATGGTTTGTCTTGTGTGATACACAAGATATGTCGTTTTTCTTTATCATATATGCTGGAGGGCAGAATTTTAACAATATTTGTGTCAATCTTTTCAGTCTTGTTAGGATATTTTCTTTAATAATTTTAGACTGTAGTACAACTGTGTCAATTGTCAGATGCTCATGCCCAATGTTTTGATGGATTTGTGAAGTTGGACTATAATGGTTGTTCACATGTAATTGTTGTTGCTCTTAAGTTGTCCTACATGTTTTGAGTAGTTAAGCTACAATACATGACTCCCTCGTCCATATACAGCTTCATAATGTTTTCTTTCCCAGATTATGCGTTTCTATTAAACATTTAGAGCTGGTTACTCAGAAATTTTTCATTTCTTTTCATAGAGAAGAGGAAGGGCTGGTCGTGTTCAGCCTGGTGAATGCTACCATCTTTATCCCAGATGTGTATATGATGCTTTTGCTGACTATCAATTGCCAGAGCTCTTAAGAACACCGTTGCAGTCCTTATGTCTACAAATCAAAAGTCTACAACTTGGAAGCATCTCTGAGTTTTTATCTAAAGCTCTGCAGCCACCAGAGCCTCTATCGGTAAAATTCATTGCACGTTTTGGGAACATGTTTTGAAATGTGATGGGTACTATTTGAATATATTTCCCAGGCATTGTATGTGTTGAATTTAATACATTATGCACAGTGTTCTTTTATTCAATTTCTTATGTTGTCAATTAATTTCATTCTGCAGGTTCAAAATGCTGTTGAATATTTGAAGATTATTGGAGCATTAGATGAGAACGAAAATTTAACAGTTTTAGGTAAAATAACTATTGCTTCATGTTCATGGTCTTTGTTTCTCCTGCCATTTTTTATCAAAAGAATTTTCTCCTATTATAGGTTTTCCCAAGCCTTTATAATTTAGTATTTGGTTGATTCCATTGAGTTACTGCTTATATTGAGTTGTTAATTTTCAGGGCACAAATTGTCAATGCTTCCTGTAGAGCCCAAACTTGGCAAAATGCTCATTTTGGGAGCTATCTTAAACTGTTTGGATCCTATAATGACTGTTGTTGCTGGTCTTAGTGTAAGAGATCCATTTGTGATGCCATCTGACAAGAAGGATGTGAGTTACTGTTATGACTACTGCTGATATTTCCTACTCCCTCCTCCTTGTCTTTTGAACTTGGATGTTCCTCATCATAGAAATGGTGGTGGATTTTATTAGTTTTGATGTTATCAAATGAGACCGGTTGTTTTCAAGAATATTATCATTTTAGCAAATTCATGGATTCATGCTGTTTTGTTTATTGATTAGGTTGATCCCATTGAGTAAATATGGCTTTATATTGAATTTTTTGGGGTTCTTGTAATGGTTCACTTTTCATTATGAAAATGTCATTGTGTCTTCATTATTAGCCTCCTAGTGGAATAAGGCTTGGTTGTTGCTGTTGTCTTCATTATTAGCCTGGATCACACTTATCATAATCAATGTGTTAAAAGTCTGTGTTAGGTAGAGAGGTGCCTGGCTTTGTATTTAATTGTTTTCTGTGTAAGTTTTATGCAGCTTGCTGAGTCTGCCAAGGCCCGATTTGCTGCTCGTGACTATAGTGATCATCTTGCACTTGTCCGGGCTTATGAGGGTTGGAAAGATGCTGAAGCACAACAAGCTGGTTATGAGTACTGTTGGCGAAATTTTCTTTCTTCTCAAACACTTAAGGCCATTGACTCTCTTCGAAAGCAATTCTTTTACTTGCTCAAAGATATTGGTCTGGTCAATAACAATTCTGAAACTTACAATACTTGGAGTCATGAAGAGCATCTTCTCCGTGCTGTCATCTGTGCGGGTTTGTTTCCTGGAATATCCTCTGTCATGGTAATCCACTCTACAAGTCCTTTCAATTTAGTTTTCACTTTTAATTTATTTTATTTTATATTTGGGGCAATGTGTGCTTGTATATGTATTGCTATGTCTGTAAAACCCATTTTCTATTTCCACTCATGGAATTTTCATGAAAGTAACATGTCTGTGTAACACACACAAGGGCATGTATGGACCATATGGGCTTACACTTATAACACCCCCCCCTAGTTTTCTCCAAGTTCAATTTTGTTTTGCATTTAATTTGCAACTATGCTCTCAGTTGTCGAAGTGATGCAATTAAGTTCTCTAAATGGTTTGTGTGATGATGACACTTTTCAATCATTGCCACATCATATCCTCATCAACAAAGTCACAAACAGCAAAAAAAATGTCATTTCATCAAATTTAATGTCACATCAATAAAAATGAAAGAGGATTGGCATATCAACAGCTGGATATAACTCTGTTGCGAGGGGGGGTGTTACTTGATTTCATTAAGTAACAATAACATTGCAATTAGGTGGACAAATTGTTCTTTGTTAAACTTAAAATTAGGACTACCAGTACCAAAATTGTATTCTATATTATAATAAATCTTTCCACACGACTATCACATATCATCCTCTTGTTGCTTTATTTCCCGTCAAAATTGGTCTTTTTTTCTGTAAAAATGTTGGCAATAACTTGAATACAATTTTGTTAGCCCCATGCTTCTGCATGAAGTTCTGTTCTATTTAAGTAATATATGTATATTATTATATCTGTATGAGTGTGTTCAGGTATGTAAAGGTTAATCTCGTCAAAATATGGAGAGAATATTATCATGCCTTATTTATAATTTAGTTGCAATTTGTGTCATTCTCTTTTATGTGAGGTTGTACAAATTTTTGTTGTGCAGAACAAAGACAAGTCCATAGCACTGAAAACAATGGAGGATGGCCAGGTTCTTCTATATGCTGTAAGTTTCTCTTCAAATATTTGATGTTTTCTTCAGTTCTTATATTCTTATGACCCAGTTTTAATTGGGGAAATATATAAGCCATTGAAGTTCTAAAATTTTGGTGCTGCATCATGTAGAGCTCTGTAAATGCTGGTGTACCCCAAATTCCATACCCATGGTTAGTGTTTAATGAAAAGGTGAAAGTAAATTCAGTATTCCTTAGGGATTCAACTGGCATATCTGATTCAGTGCTGCTCTTATTTGGTGGGAATGTATCCCGAGGTGGACTAGTAAGTTCCTACCTTATTTTGTCTTCATTTTTTTCCCATGGATTTGTTGTTCTTGATTGTATGTAGCAAGTTTCATTTTGACTACTTATTCTGCCCTGGCATATGATTCTTTTGACAGGATGGTCACCTGAAAATGTTGGGAGGCTATTTGGAGTTTTTTATGAAACCAGAATTAGCCAAGACTTGCTTAAGCTTAAAGAGGGAACTGGAAGAACTGATACAGAGAAAAGTAAGTTCAATTCATACTCTTCCTCATTTTTCCTTTGACTTTCAGTCACTCTTCAAGTCGCTGAATAGTTACTTTATTCTCTCTCTGTTTTTCCAGCTTCTGGATCCCATGTTGGATACTCAATCGCATAATGAGCTTCTTTCAGCAGTTAGATTGTTGGTATCAGAGGATCAGTGTGATGGTAGATTTGTCTTTGGTCGCCAGGTCGTACCAAAAATAAAGAAGGAAACAAATTCCAAAAGTAGCGGTGGAGTTGGGAGTGATAATTCTAAAAATCAGCTTCAAACATTCCTTAACAGGGCTGGACATGAATCACCAACTTACAAAACAAAGCAGCTGAAAAACAATCAATTCCGTTCTACTGTCATATTCAATGGCTTGAATTTTGTTGGTCAGCCATGCAACAGCAAAAAATTAGCAGAAAAAGCTGCTGCTGCTGAGGCTCTTCTATGGTTAAAAGGGGATACCCATTCCTCTGATGATATCAACCATGCATCTGTGCTTTTGAAAAAGAGCAGCAAGAAAAGTAGGAAAAATTCATTTAGTGGTGCTAAATGGAGTTGAACTGCCTTTAAAAGCCTACCTTGGACAGATCATATATTTGTTAATTGGGTTATATACTGAAGAGGAACTTGTTTAGTTGAAGGCTGTGGTGCACTGGATTCAAGGATCTTTCCAGTCATAATTTCAATGAGTTTACAGAGCTATTGAGTGACCTTGAATTTGGCTGGTCTGAGCCCGTGTTTTTGTAAAGGGTGATTGCATCCAGAGTTTATCTTGATTTGGAGCACAATTCAATACGTGTATTTCTCCAATTGTTTTAGGCTGATTTGGCCCAGAGCAGAGATTTGCTGGCTGAGCCACTTCTGTACTTGCAAAAGAATTTTTATAGTAGAGGTGTAAGCAGCCAAAATTTATATCCATATGCTGATGATGCATTCTTTTTGCGTTGCTCTTGCGGTAGAGATGCTTCTGAAGAGGATTCACTTGCAATAATTCATTGGTGGACAAAACACTTTCTACACTCAAGACCAGGCATTTTATGAAAGAGATATGTATACCATTAAATTCCTAGTCAGATGTAATAGTTGCTCAGGAACATGTTTAAGTTAATAAAGCCTGCTGATATAGAATTTTTTAAGATGAATTTTACTTTCAAAAGCCCATTATGAGGCTTGTTACCCCTAACATGAATTCTTTTGGTACTGATTGTAAGCTGTGGGAGGTAATTTAATCCGATGAAAGGGGGAGATCAATTTTGATTTACTGAATTTCAGTTTCTGTTTCAAAAATCAATAGAATTGATTTAAGTTGTATAATTTCTAGAACTTACAATCGTCTATGGCGATAAGACAATGATAGGGATAGGATCCACTTAAAGCAAAGCTCGGTATAACAGTGCATCAGATTCATAATGGCAGTGTACGAATTTCTATGGACCTTGAATGGATTCTTTCAAATGTTATCCTCTCAAACAACCCTACCTTGGTTTACGCCATTATGTTCAAATTTCACTACAAAATAATTACAAATATCCAATAGTGTTTTTATTCTTCGCTGGCCATTCTTTTATTGTTGTAATATTCTACTGGTTTTGACTTCATCTTTTTAACTTGCTCGTCTGGTTGCGAATGATAAGAATGCGTAGGTTGGAGGATGTAACAAAGACACCTTCCAAGGAGCCCAAATTGGTGGTTTTGTGAATTTTTTTTTCTCTTGCAGGTGGTGCTATTACAAATCTGAATTTTCTTAAAAATAGAAGTGTTAATTTGGCTCCAAATTTACAAGTTTTCTTACACAATTCACTCTATAGCTCCAGTTTTTTTTAAGTTCCATACATAGTGAGTTTATTCAGACTCTAAGCCCTAATATATAAATAAAATATGTGCTAAGGTTAGGATTAAAAAAAGGTGGGTTAGCTAACACATTTTAAAAAATAATTAATAAATGTTATACTATTTTTTTAAAATAAAAGATACATGTGTTATTTATTAGTTTTATTAATATTTTATTTAAAATTAATAAAAATATATTTTAAAAATAAAAAATTCTATCAATCTAAGATCAACTAGAATTTAAAATTACAAATATTTATTAATTTTTATTAAGTTTACAAATTACTTTTCTGCATTAATAAATATTGCAATATTAAGTATCATTTGTCTACAATTTTTATGATGAGAATATTGTATTTATTTTTTTATAATATATGACTTAACAAATTTAGCTATCATTATTTTTATTATTATCAGTTTTTTGTGTTTCTATTGTGACTTTAAAAATATTAATTAAACACGTGATCTTTTTAAAATAATTTTATAAAAATAAATAAATAAACACATTTTTTATAGAATAATTAATAAATATTTTTAATAAAAAAATACATGTGTTTGTTTATTATTTTTATTAAATTATTTTATTTAAAATTATATTTTAAATATAAAAATATATTTTAAAAATATTTTTTATTAATTCTGTCTAATCAAATTATTTCACTTTAAAAATAAATTATATTAAATTAAAATAATTTAAATTTTAAATTTTTAAACATTCATTAATTTTTGTTAAGTTCATAAATTACTTTTTTACTTTCATGAATTTGGTAATATTAAGTATTACATATCTATGATTTTCACGATAATAATATTATATTTATATTTTTTAACAAATTAAATTTTATTTAAATAAATCATTTCAAATATTTTGATCATTTAATAACAAATAACTTATTAAATTTAATTAATATTATTTTTTGTGATTAATTTTATATCTATATTGTGACTTTAAAAATATTTATTAAATATATGATGTTCTTAAGATAATTTTATAAAAATAAATAAATAGAATATAATCGTATAAAAAGATTAAAACATGACAAATTTTATGATTAATACTTAAATAAAATTATAAAATAACATATTAAAAAATTTTATAATTAATAATTTTTTAAAAATTAGTTAGCCCTAGTTTTATTAATCCTATGGACTTTTTTATATTGTGAATTTTTTGGCCTAATGAGCCTTTTGATCCTGGCCCATATATAGGTTAGGACTAAATTAATTAGAACTGACTTATTTAACACCTCTACTTAAAAGTATTATTATTATTATTTTTGTAACTGAAGCGCCTTGGAAAAATTATTGGCTATTAAGTAGCAATAGAAGACCGGAAGCTCTGTTGGTATCCGGAAGAGTAGGTCTTGAATTTGTGTTTTAAGGAAAAGCACTCCCCCATAAATGGTCTCGGGTGAAAACACCCTCAATATTTTGAATTTGATTTCATATTAGTCACTTCAGTACAAGCAACAGTACATCACATAGAGTAAAGAATGCCAGCAACAAACAACTTAATGACTTCAATTATCATCACTATTATTTTGCCAAGAAAATTTTTGGCAAGAAAGAAAAATAACCATTATTTTCTCAAATTAATCTCTAGCCAAACAAGCGCTAAATCCCAAACAGGACATTGCCTAGAATATTTGTCCCCAAAAGATGTCAGCTCCATTGATCATCCTTTTCTTTTCAACACAAAAAATTTGTAGCAGAAGATGACTTCTTTGTCCTTCACTCTGTAAACTACTAGTTGAAAAACAAGGGATAAAAATCAAGCAATAGATATCTACTATATATATGCAATCAAAGTGTGATATGACACTAAAAATGGCATGGCAACGTTCCCACGCATACACTCAAAGCTCCCATTCAATCATACTGCATCAAAAACCATACTTATTGATGCATTAGCTCAAGGGCTTTTTGCAATGTTGGCCTAAACCTAATAACATCAAGATTTACATTTTGCTTGTCCAAATACACAGACTTAAATGTTTCCCATCCTATTTTACCAATTAATGGGGGATCCTTTAATAGCATATGATCCAGTGGATACTGTTGTATAAGAGTGCTTTCTTCCAACCTTATTTTGTATTCCAAGTACGTTAAGCTCATTTCCTTTGAGGGCTTTCCAAAGTCATTTGTGGCAAGCCAGTCCAATGCAAACCCTCCATAAGGCACCACTTGGATGAAAACTGCATTATCTGGAAGGAAAAGCATGTTAGTGAGACCAGCACCATGCACTCCCAATAACACATCACAAGAATTCACAGCATTTGCAAAGCCCCACATGCTGCCCCCTGCTTCCTTAATAATCACATCAAAACCCAAACTCTCAGCCATTTTCGCTATTTGAGCTGTGTTAGTGAAGGATCTTGATCTCTTTCTTGAAAGAATCATGAGCCTTGGCTTCCCACTTCGACCATCTTTGATTTTGATTGCTTCAACTCTCTTCAATGAATAGGAACTTCTCAATAAATCCCTGAAGTCTTTCATAGAATAGAAGTACTTTTGAGGGTCAATGCTTAGTTCTTTATGGTGCCGTTTGAGACCAACAATCACCCTTGGAAAACAATGAACTTCATTGTCACTATCAATGTCCATAATCTTATAGTTTGACAGCTTCTTAAGAAGTGCTTTGTGCTTTAAAATCCACCAAGGGCGGTTATTCGTTATGATCAACTGTACTTCTCCATTGAATCGTCTAGAAGTCAAAAACAGTGGAATAACAATGTCAGTGAATTCATGGAAGTGGTTGCCAACATAGCCTCCAGTGGAAAATATTACAGCTGGAATGCTGTGATTTTGAGTGCATTTGGGGACTTCCTTGCCAATTTTTACTGCTTTCAGTGACCATTTTCTTACACGATTCATTGCATCTACGTCGTCCTTTCGTGCATAAGGCTTTATGCTCAAGGAAATGTTTTGTGCTAACATGGTTGTGTTAGATGAAACAATGAAAACAGTGGAGGATTTTCCATGGACTCTGATATCTCCACGAGTTTGGCAAAATTCTGTTCTTTCTTCTGAAGTGCACAGTAGCTCCTTTTTCTTTGTTTCTATTTCTCCAACTGCAAAATAAAGAATGATTGTTTATATATAAAGGTTCTTTGAGAATTATCACTCTCAATTATTCCACAAAATTAAGTACAATCTGATTGAAGACTTTGCCCTTTCTCTTCTGGGAAGTGTCTGTATTTTTGTGGGAGGAGGTGAGTGAGGGAGAGAGTGAATCTTTATATGGTTAAACCACAGGCAGAGCTGGTTTGAACTGGTTCATGCTGTTTTAAACTTGTTGTTACCTTTAGATACTCGTGGAGAGTTTTTGGTATTATTGACAAGAATCTTTGGTGGAATGCTTTCAGCAGACAAAATATTTAGTGCTAAAGTCTAACTGAATTAATTTTATCTTTATTAAGATTTATCAGATTTTACCTTTATCCATTTGGGGAGAACTGCCAGTGCCTTTAACAAGAATTTCGGCTACAATGTCTTCAACTGTAGAACAAAGATCATCACAAAATCATTGTCAGAATCATTTGCCTCAACACACTGTATTATCAGCATCTTTGACTAATTTATTTATTTTTTAGGGAATGTAACTCTATGGAAAAACCACAAATGGAGTGAATTTAATTAGTGTTTTCTTTGTTGTTCTTCAGATTCAGATTGTCTTACCTTTGGCTATTTGTGAAGAGCTTCTTGTGTCATTGACCATCAGCATTTTGGTGTTAACTCCGATGAAGAGCTTCAAGTTCACTGTGGAGGAACAAAGGAAGTTAAAGATATACTTAATGGCTACCAAAAACATCTTACATTACAATATCATATATTAGCATTTCATGCCAAAGCGCACTATGCTTGAACTTGGTCTTGAACTAAGGAAACAGGTTGCTAATGCAAGTGGGTAAGAGTGAGAAGTGAAGCACTCACAATCATGTATAGGACCCAAGTAAGGCTTAAACACAGTACAAAGACTCAAAACTATGAGCAAGAAGCTAACAAATGCTCCATATCCCAACCTTTTCTGCTCATAACGACTAAAGCTTTTGGCAAATATTGTGTCGTAAATCATTTTTTATCACTCAACACGAAACCTTGCTCTATGTTTGGACTACAATGCCATCTCACTAATAGAAGCCATTTTGATCAAAAGATGATTAGTGGATGACCATGAAAATCTTTGCACCCGTCCTTTATGGTTTGAGTATGCAAAATTTTGAGACACTTCTATATATGACAAATGGAAGAAAATTGAGGTGCATTTTTGTATTGAATGCTGCCCCCCACGTAGTTGTTAATTCTTGAATCAGGAGGATTCTCCAAAACTATTATTATAATAGAGAATGAAAAGGACTCTGTTGTTGACTGCTTAGAGTTGAAACCCTTTTATCATTAATATTTGGTTAGGCTATATTTTTTTTCACATATGAAGTATGAACTGCCAACCGTGGAACCCAGCTTTGAAAAGTATTAACCAACTAAAGTTTGTTTAAAATGTTTGATATCAATTATTGCAATTCTTGAATCACCCTTACATAGTAATAGTACCATTAGATTACCATCCTTAGTGACACATATATAGCTCAAGTGGAAATCTTACTTGCAGCATCTCTGCATGAAAATAGCAGCTTAGTTAACTTAGTGAACAAAAAACCGAGGACAAATTAACAATCAGTGTGAATTATTAATATCTAAAGTTCATTGCATTAAAGTGTAAAATGGGCCACTTCTTAGAGTTTGATGGTTGGATTTCTTTGTTTACTTTACTGATTTCTCTAACGTGTTTAATGGTACATATTAAAAAAATAAGAAGTCTTTATTGAAAAATAAAATATTTAACATCTACTATGCATTAAATTTTATGACATCTTATTATTTTCAATAAAAATATACTTATAATTATATACAATACATGAAATGGCAATTCAAGTGACGATCACAGCTGTTTGATACCAAAAGTAAAATAAAAAACAAGGAATTACCTCAAAAGAGAAATGGAATTGTCGGCAGAAGCTGAATTGAAGTTATTTAATTATAGTAACGAAAGGCATATCAAACAATCCGTTTGGTAGCAGAGAGCAAGACATTTTAACAATAAGAGTATTTTTTTCAAGTTTTTGGTGGGGTGCATGATCAAGCTTGGAATTATATGGTTTGATCTCTTACTGAGTAATACGTGTGTATCATAAAATAATTAAATATTTGATTGTATAATCATTGGTAGTTCTAAAAGTAAGAATTGTTAATGGATTTGATTATGTCCAAATTAAAATGCAACCACCCTAGCTAGGCCCCCATTACCTAGCAGGTTGAGACATTTTAGATACTTGTTGGTGACATTCATATATGTATATATAACTCATCATAAAATAATTATCTTCTCTTTCCCCCTCTCACCACGCATTCATGCACCACAACAAATCCTTGACCTTAAAACTTTTGCAGGCTAATGTTAATCTTTACAAGTCAATGTTAGGTAGCAAATTGTGGGATTAGGATAAATAATGCCTATAACTAATTAAAATGTACTGTGTGCGCGACGCATGTTTGAGTTTTTATGCATTTCTTTAGCTACGTTTCTTTATGATATTCCCACATGCTGTTGTACACAGAAATTTATCATCTATAGAGTAACACTCTATATTCATGCATTACTAATTAATATCGAGACAAAATAAATAAATAAAATAGTTTTATTAAAATTTATGTTAAAGATACGTTAAAAATCATAAAAAATAGTGTCATATTTTTCATAGTTTTTAATTTTAATTTCTCAATTAACACCACAAAAATATCCATAAATATTTGCTTCATTGTTATAATAAACTAATCATTTATTTATATTCTTATAATATAATTGCATAAAGGAAATGTGAATATACTCAATCCTTCAAAGTTTCTTATCATCTACTTGATTAACGAGTTCACTGGTAGAGATGGAGTTGTCAAATTCGAATTATTCAACCTATTTCAATATAGTTTCATATTGATAATAAATTTATACTCGTGGACCTAATTTTTAACCCATTTTATTTTTTTCTTAGAAAATTCATCTTAGTTGTTCGTTTTTAACCTATGTTATACTTATAAAGATTACATTTTAATTTTCATTAAATATTAACATATTAAATTCAACAAATTTAACATAAATTCAAATATATTAAACTTAAAGTTCATCTAGCAAATTGAAAACTACAAGTGATTTCAATTATTTAAAATAAATACTCTAATGCAGATAGTTTGAGTCTGTTTAAGACATTTTTTAAGACTAATTTATTCTAGAAAAATAATATTTTTTATTTTTTAAAAATAAAATTTATCATAATTTATATTTTTAATGCAACAAATATACTTTTTAATAAAAAAAATTATTACTTTTAAGTGCTTAAACTTAATTTTAAAGACCAAAGTTAACAAAAAAATATTCTGCTTAAAATTATCTAAACAAAGTCATTCTATTTTATTTATTTATTGCGTTCACCTTTTACTAGAACAAATTGGGCTTGAAAGGGAACAAAAAGGTCAGCAAATTTTAAAAATCATGCTTTTCTTATTAAACTAAATTGTTATATTATTATTATAAACTAAAAAAATTGACAAAAAATAATTCTTTAAAAAATTAACATGTAAAATGATTTTTTAGAAAAATTAGAAACTAATGCTAAAAAGAAGAAGAAGAAGGAAGCAAATAGAAAACAAATTATATATAAGGAAATAGAAAGTAAAGCAAAAATTATATATAAGACGGTGTAGAACACTTTAATTTTTTGTTTTATATTGTCTTGTTTTTGTCGAATTGATTTAAAGTTAATTAAGACAAAGACAACGGATAATAACTTGTAATGTAATGTATATAAATAATTATAATCAGACAACAATGTACTTTGAATGCGGAAAATAAGTAAGCAAATGCGTTAAAAATAATTAGATGTTATTCTAAGGTTACTGTTTCACGTGACAGTGCCATGTTTACTTTCTATTAATCATTTACTTAGTTATTCGGTGCTTCCGGCAATCTCACTGGTCAATTGCGTGTAAAAGAATGTTTCATCAAGTTTATTTTATGGATCATTACAGCTTTTTTAATTTTTATTTTTAAAATAAATTATGTTAATTAAAATACCTAAATTTTAAAATTTTAAATAATACATATAAAATATTATATTTTTATTTTTAGAGTAAAAAAATTTAATTATTATTTCTTTTAAGAGTTAATTTTTTTCTAATCATACTAAGTGTTTTTTTATATTTTTTTAAAATTAATATGAATTTAAATTTATTTAATATAATATAATAAATTATTTATTATTAATAATTATAATATTTACTCCTTTTAATCATTTAATAAATTTTAAAAGTTACAAAATATGTTTTTTATTATTTTCTAAATAAAAATAAATTTAATATTTATAAATAAAAGTGAATATCTTGTCAACTCAAGTACTATAATAAATAAAAAAAGTACATAAAAAATTAACAGTTAATATACATAAAAATGAGTCTTTATTTTTTATATTTTAAATAATAATAATGATGATGCTTTTTCATAAAAAATACTTACAAAAAAAATCCAACTTTTACTACTTTTCGCCCGGTGGTAATCAAAATATAGAATCGTTTTGTGCAAATTATAAATTTTATTTTGCAATATTATATGTTCTTAAAACATACTATAAAGATTCTATTAGTATCTAAACACATCCATGCTTGGCTTGTAATTTATGGATAGATTTTTTTTGGGGTGCTGTTTGTAAATTTCCTAACACGTTAACTGTTCGTATTTTCAGAAATTGGTCGGTCTCACACACACACACTGAGTCCATGTGAAAAAATCTTCTTTTCATTTTTTATTTTGAGTTCAAACAATATGCGTTAGTTCAACATATTTTTCTAATTATTATAATTGGCTATTGCTTTAGAATGTGAACTTTGGTTTATATCTCACATGGCCACGTATTTCGCTTTTCTGCCTTATGGCCAACTGGTAAATAAAAGACATAATCATTTTTGTAAAATTATATATTGCAATTTGCAATATTTTATGCACTAAAAAAGTAATGTAAGGATTTTGTTGGTATCTAAACACAAACGTGTCGAATGCTTTGTAATTTACCAACACAGTTTTTCAATTTGTAATGTTAATTAAGAAACTAATACGTTATTGACGAAGTTGAACTTTTGGAATGGAGGAGATGTAGAACCTACATGACAAAAATCTGGCTAAGAAATTTTCATGATTCTGATGAATTGATGCAAGCTAGAGGGCAATGGGAGGCTCTTTCAGTTGTTTCTTATATATTCTTTTTTATCAAAAATATCTTTAGAAAAGTTCGTAGAGGATCATAAGAAATTTTTTGAATTGGGACTATTTATATGGTGAAATATGTTCTTTTGAAGTTGAATAAAATTTATTTGAAAGAAGTTAATTTTGAATTATTAAATATAATTGGGGTGCATGTATAAATTGTTTAAATTATATATATATATATATATATATATATATATATATATATAATACTTTTGACTATTTTATTATTTTCTCCAACCTAATGTGGGCCTTCTCAGCTTGAATACAGCAACTACTGTGTGGATGATCTCATTTGGTTTTAGTGGAGCAGTAAGGTAACTAGTGCTTATCAAGTTTACAATTTCATAGCAACCTCACTATTTAACTTAGTTACACATCAGTGAACTTTTATGTTTTGTGTGATTTTTTGCAGCACTGGTGTTTCAACTGCACGTTTAGCGGTGTTTATTGTCTTAGTAATGGCCGTCATTGAAGGTACCCTAGTTGGAACCATGATGGTGCTAATTCGCAATATTTGGAGTTATGCGTATAGTAATGAAGTTGAAGTGGTTGAATATGTAGCAATCATGATGCCAATTCTTGCAATATTATACTTTATGGATGCACTCCAATGTGTACTTCAAGGTTTTTCTTCTTTTTCATTTCTCTTATTTCTTTTGTACTTGGAGGCTATAACTTAGAAGCATTGATAGGGACAAATCTTTGTACCATAGCTACTTTATAACCCCTTCATTACCTCTGATGATCGGTAATAGTGCTGGATACCAAATATTATGGCAATGCTTTAAAAAACTATTTAAGTGTAAAATCTTTATTTAGATTCAAAGATCTAAAATACACTTTTTATCAAAATGAAAATGTACACTACTAATAATGTATTTCCTCAATTTTTCTAAGTTGTGGATGTATCTCAAACAACCCAATTTAAAGGAGTGAGTAGTGTCATTTTCTCCTTAAAACACTGTTCCTCATTCTAGAAAATCACCTAAATGTCACATTATGTAACAAGAATTAGGAAATGGATAGAACTTTGAAGTTTCATGGAAATTCTAAGAGGATGCTTGTGTTGAAAGATATGACAGCTAAAAAAAAATGAAAAAGAAATGAAGCAGAGAGGGATAAACACTGGATGGGGGAAGAATGAATGAGAGGCTTCTCTAGCAAAGAAGGGGCTGCAAGGTTTTGGGAAAAATTGCTAATACAATTGCTTTCTCTCGCCCATCTTCTTCCTTTGTGTTTCTTCTAGTATGGTTAGTAACAGTAGCTAATTCTAAAATATCATCCAAAGGTGCTACAAGAATCAATACAAGAAATCTTAGAGCAAACTAAAGAGTGTACTAGAGCAGTGTCTTACTAGAATCGACAGAAGCATACAGTATTTCATGTCAAAACATCCAGTAGATCAGATTTTGATTTTCTTTTAATTTATAATGCCTATAATATGTAGATGAAATACTCACAATTGAGGCATAAAAAAGCCAAGCTTGTGATTTAGCCATTTTTCTGAGACTTGCATTTTATTCTTGCACATCACATAAAAGCATGATCCAGATAAAATTATTGTGAGCTTAATTGATGGATAAGTGGCTTTCGTTTAAAACTGCAAATACAATGCCATATGTTATTTTTAGCTACATAGAAGTAACCTTCAATGTTTTAACTAAACGTTAGGCATAGCTAGAGGATGCGGATGGCAGAAAATTGGGGCTTTTATCAATTTAGGCTCTTATTATCTAGTTGGGATTCCGTCATCTGTTGTGTTGCTCTGGTTGGGGATCATATGTGCACTTGTTCAAGTATTATCTCTACTGATCATAACCTTACGTACTGATTGGGAGGATGAGATGCACTGTTGCCTTTTTTGTCTAATCTTTGTTCCTTTCATTTTGTGATGCTGGTTTGCTCATGTGGGTCTTTATCTGAAATATTATGCACTAAACTTATAACACCAGAGAAATATTACTCATCTGAAATATTTTCTTACTCAGGCAAAGAAGGCTTCAGACACAGTCTATGATTCAATAACACCAGAGAACATGAAGCTGTAATTTCTTAACACATTCAGAACAATTATTTGGATGAAAGAGGAACTAGTTTTGTTAGTGTTCTTTCTTTTGGTAGAAACATCTTAATTAATTGGTAATTGAAATTCAGTTATAGATAGAACGATACTCTACTCGTTTTTACTAGTTAAAACAATTGATCTACTTACCATTTTCAGTCAGTACTGAAAACTTTTGTATCTAAAGGATACCAATATCTTTAGTAAGAAATTATATGCACTAAACTTATAAGATTAATTTGTGCTGTGATTTTTGTCTCTTTCTTTTGTTCATTTACTGTTTAATTGTTGTCTTCATCCAATAAAAAATGCAATAACTGTAATTTGTGTTAATTTTTTCGGTACTAAATAGCGGAACTCTTCTTGTGATGTTAACAAACATACAGTTATTCAATTTTAAAAAAATTATAATTATTTAGTTGTATGTTCATTAAAATTTTATTTAAAACATACTGAAACATAATATTTACCATTTTTTTCAAACAAACTCTTTCTTTGTGAACAATCGTTTTTGAAGTATTCTATCTTAGCATTTCTGTTCCTTATGTATTCAGCCTTTACAAACCTTATGTAAGCCTTTAACCTCCTTGTTCTGCTTACTTGTTTTACTCTTACTACTATTAACCTCTTCATGAAATGTAATATAAACGAAGGGATTTTATATTTTATCTAGCTTTCCTTTCTTCTGAAATAGAATGACCTTGACTTTCTGTAAATTTTATTTTTTTTAATAGTGTTATAATTCACCTGAAAATGACAAACTTAGGAGAAAATGAGTTCATGATGAATTGTATCAAAAATATTTCACTCATTTCCATGCTTATTGATTTTAAATTTGTTGCTTAATTGATCATTTCAATCATATGATTATGAATAAACTGTGACCAATCAAACTTCTTAGTGGTCAACTCAATCAACAAGGTATTTGAGACGAACTTATCAGTAATATCTAACTATGCAAATTCCTTTATTTTTGCTATAAATTTTCTTGCATTGTCAGTTTTTGACATTAATGACTTCACATTTTCAGCCATAATCATTCTCAACAAGCTTAAGTTTAGGCTATTAGACCTTCCCCAAGCCTTATAAAGAGTTTTTTTTATCATTTGTACTAGTCTTAGTAATGGTTGCAGGCTTTTCATCCATTGTGATTGCTAGGTCCAGATCTATAACACCTAACGGGAATTTAACTTTCTCAAACCAATCTACATAGTTTAGTCTATTGAACTTGACTATACTATTGCCTAGACCAAACATATTTATAGAAACTGCAAAATATTATACATGCATAAAACATTAATGCTTTGAATTCATAGATAGAGCTTCAAGTTCGCCAATTTTGGGATCTCTCTGTCAAAACAGAAATCACCAAATATCAAAAAAATGGGCTAATTGTTTGGCTACTTTTAAACCACGTGATTAAGTATACAACTACCCATACTTCCTTCCAAATAGGAGGAAGCCTCTTTACCCCAGGTTGTAGGTCACCATAATTAACATATTTTTTTAGAACCAACACCTTTTTCTTCCTTCATAAATAACAGTAAATGATTAGGAATATTTACCCATTTGGGGATGGTGTCACTGGGGAAATTTATTGAGGTTTGGGCAATAATCTGTGCCTCTAGTTGCTTTCAGGCCAAGTCCGTTTGCAATCTGCATAAAACACAAAATTAACAACTCAGGATAACCATCCAAAAAACACATAACAAGAATACAAGATTTAAAAGATGCGTAAAGAATTGAAACCATGAGAAAACAGTCATTGAAACCAGAAATTCTGAATGAAATACAGCCCAAGGGTGCAATCAAAGAAAATACAACAGTTTTTAACATTTAAAAAAAATATTTCAAAACTTAACAGAGAAGTTCCCTACCAGTATTTAAGTTCCAAAATTCATCAATACCAGTGTATTTAGAATTTAACCGTTCCTCAATCTTCAGACATCTTATTCTATCAAAATGTCGTTGGCATCCAAATTCCAAAGGTCTACAATCTCCACCTAATTCACTACTTAAAACAGTGATACATAAAGCAACTCCATTGTCTGCTATACACGAAAACAATACATGACAATCAGTGTAATTTTAAGGCAAAACTCTTGTGAAAGGGAAATGAATAAAATTTTAATAAAACTATAGAAGCAGAGAGGGGAAACCTCACCACACACTTTTGGAAAGTGTCATGCAGCGAAAGCAACGCTTGCGTGTCTTCATCTGTGAGGTGATAATTGGGATCTGCGCATGGATACGTTACAATGATTTCACATTTAAGGCACGCGAACTCAACTCTTACAGTATTAATAAGATACATATAAATACATACATACATACATACAAAAGGATCAGAGAGTCCAGTGATGTAAATAGAAATGGCGGCAAATCCGGATGCCAAAGCAAGCAACAAACCAAGCTTAAGAGCCGTCATCGGAAAGAGTTGCTGAGTGAAGCAGCAGAAGGAATTAGGGTTTATCGAACTCTGAAGATTGATTATGGTATTATAAGCAATTGCACCATGCGAAATAAATCATTCCCTTCACTGATTGAGAGAAAAGAGGGACAAAAATAAAAAACAAAAAATAAAAAAATTACGACGCCACTTACGCTGCAGTAAGATAGCTTTTGTAACAACCTGTAATGCTGCCTCAAACTATAACGAACTCGTTCAAGTGTGAAGATAAGATAACAGAAATTGTGTGTGAGAGAGATAGAAGGTGTAGAGAATTGAATCGTGTTATATTATTATATATAATTGGATTCATACATGCACAATCTAAAAAATTCAAAAAATAATAAACTATGATAATTAAATAAAATTATCTTAACAATTAAATAAAGTTGTTTATAACAACTTTTAACAAATTACAACAGAAAAAGTTGTATATAATAACTTTATCTTCGTACGAATAAATTGTTTATTTGAATTAACCAACTAAAATTATATGTAACAATTTTATTAATTTATCATATCGTTTATTTAAATTAACTAACTAAAGTTACATGTAACAATTTTATTGATATGTAAAATTATTTATTTAAATTAATCAATTAAAGTTACATGTAACAACTTTGATAATCTCACAGAAATTATATATAACAACTTCATTAATATGTCAAGATATTTATTTTAATTAATCAATTAAAATTATATGTAACAACTTTATCAATAGGTTAGATTGTTTATCTGAATTTACAAACTAGTTTAACACAAGGAAACGTTCAATATTGGATTTACGATTTCTATGGTTTAGCAAAGAGATAAATGGGTTGTGATGTGGAGATCTGAAAATTGATGTAGATTAGTTGCAGATTGTTGCTCTCTGCATGCTAAAGCACTGTTACATTTTATTACTTACTAATATTTTGCAAAATTTTTCTTATAGATGTCCTTGAAACTTCGTTCAACAAAATTATGTGCTTTGACTTTTTTATTTTTTATTTAATTTTTATATAATTTTAAATAAATATAAGTTAATAATTAAATTAAATTAAATTAAAGAAAAACATAATGTTGTTACATTACTTTTGGTCACACTTCGCTCAATTACATCATGAATCTTTCAGACTTGTGTAATGCGGTTTGGTTTGATAACATCTTTATTTTGCTGTTAACATTAAGTGATTAATAAAATTAAAATTTCTCTAAAAAAATAAATTATCTAATAATCTAGGTTATATTTAGATAAAATATTTTAAAAAAATAACATTATGAAAGATGCTTAGAATAAAAGTTAAATATAAAAAATTATAAATAATAAGTACAAAAAGTTAAACATCATAAATAAAATTTTAAAAATAAGATTTAAAATTGTTATATTTGTATAAAAATTATTTTGTTAAAATTTCATAGTATTTTAAAAATTATTTTTTATTATTTAAATATACGAAATACCCCACCGCATAGATCAATTAAAATTTTAACCATTTACTGTTACATGATAAAATTAATTTTAAAAAAATTACTTTTAAAAAAATTAATTTTTTCAAAATAATTACAATATTAAAATACTAGAAACAATATATATTTTTTTAAACGCAGGTTGTCAAATTTTCAACGTAGAATGATAGAACTGGAAAAGAAAAACAAGGACCAGTACTCCAAGTTTCCGAAGTGTATTATTTTCTGAAGCAAGAAAATAAAGTAATATTACAAAGATATGAACGTGAACGAAAAAGATATAAAATAAAGATAGACAAAATTAATCAATGTAAAACATGAATGTTATATTACAAAATGTAATTAAAAAGTATTGATATTGTATAGTAAAATAAAAGTTTTGTCCAACTATTTACTATATTGCACTTGAAGGTGGAGTGAAGCAATCTAACGATGATGGTGAACCAAGTGAGGAAATTGCTGCAATTGAAGATGAAGAAAAAAGTCATTCCAATCATTAAAACTGAGGAGGCAAAACAATTCTAGTATTTGAAGATCTGAGGGAGAACCTGAGTGAGAGAAGTCAATACGCTCAGGAAAAGGTTGCAAATCGTGTTGGGATGCGATAATTTGATGTGGTTGGCCAACAATTAGATTGTGCTGCTGTCGAACCAACTCATGATTAAATAATGGAACACTGTGGTGGTCAACATGCTGGAGAACCAAGTTAATGTCTGCGTTGATATTATTTGGAACCAAGTCACTGACACTGTTTGGAACCAAGTCACTGATACTGTTTGGAACCAAATCACTCCCTATGTTCACATAATTTGAAACGAAGTCATTAATTGTGTTTGGAACCAAGTCACTAATTGAGTTCACATAATTTGAAACCAAGTCACTAGTTGTATTTGGAACCGAGTCATTGACTGTGTTCACATAATTTGAAACCAAGTCATTAATTGTGTTTGGAACCAAATCACTAATTGTGTTCACATAATTTGAAACCAAGTCACTAATTGTGTTTGAAATGGAGTCATTGACTGTGTTCACATAATTTGAAACCAAGTCATTGATTGTATTTGGAACCAAGTCACTTGTTGTGTTCACATAACTTGAAACCAAATCACTGATTGTATTTGGAACCAAATTATCGTTTGGGTTGATATAATTTGGAACCAAGTCAATCTCTGAAGGTGAGAGTGAGATGGGGTCATTATCTGCCGTTATGTCATGAATACTTTTTCTTTTTCTGTGATTATGATGGCGGAGAAAATATTTTTGAGCGTGACTAGCAACTTGAGCAGAAGTTTTAGACATAACAGAATATTGTGAAATACTCTTCCAATCTCCTTTGCCAAATCTCTTTAACCCTTGAAGAAATAACCTATTATACATAATGAAAAATAGGGTATGAAATTAGTAAGAGATGAAATAAAAAATATCCTTACAAGATCATACAAATTAATGCATGGTGACAAAACATGAAGCATCAATAATTGAAATTATTACGTGACCAAAGCATAGCCAACCAATGCTTACTTTTAATAACTAATCTCGTGATGTGATAATTGTATGCGTATTAGAAAAACTTTCCAAGTTTTGTGGAATAAAGATGAAGGTGACGACCAAAATAATATAATTAAAGGATAACGAAACCTGTGTTCCTCCTCTGTCCAGTGGGAGACTTTCTTTTTTGGAGCGTGGGGAACTGGACGCGAATCATTGTTAATGTGCGCTTCCCCTTCAGCAACAGCAACGTGAGTCTCAGAAGCAGAAGCAGAAGCAAAACCAGAAAGAAGCCCCTCTTCTCTTCTCTCTGTAACTAGAGAAGTAGGTAAACCTGAGTTTAGAGCCATCGGGACGTAGGAACACCAACTAGATCGGAAGCTGGGTCTGGATCCAAGTCTCCGGGGATTCTCGGTTCCCTGAGATTAGAAAATTGTAAGTGACTGTGAGTGCTTGGATTGTTTTTATATGCATTTTTGAAATTCTGTTTAAATTTTGAAATTCTGTTTTAGAGCGATTACGGTTACGATATTATCTGTTTGATTATTTTCTCAGATTAATCTGTAACCAAAAATCACGAAAAACCAGACAGGACATAGCCTAGAATATTTGTCATTGCAAGATGTCCAAAAGATGTCAGCTCCACTGACTATCCTTTTCTTTTCAACGCGAAAAAATTTGTAGCAGAAGATGGTTTCTTTGTCCACTCTGTAAACTACTAGTTGAAAAACAATGGATAAAAATCAAGCAATATCTGTATATATATATATATATATATATGCAATCAACTGTTCTTCTCCATTGTGTAATAACAATGTCAGTGAATAAATAAGTAATTAACTTCTTAAAATAAGCTAAACTAAACATATGCTAAATACGTTGGTCCAATAATTATAATTATAATTTTAGTTTGATTCTTAATTTTTTTAATTTGAATTAGCATGTGTTAAAAATATTATAAAAATACTATTTATTTTATTTGCCCATAATTAAAATATTAGGTTATAATGTTTGATTAATTTTTTAACAAAAGAAATAACTTTTGATAAAAGAAAATAGAACTTATAATCAAAAGTTATCAAGTTATTTTCTATGCAAATTATATTTTAAAATTTATTTTTAAAAATAAAACTAATCGTTCCCCATAATTTAGTAATTTACCTTGGAAATTACCCATTTTTTTAACCTGACAAAGAAAATATTGGAAAAATGAAAAATGAAAGCTTTTGTATATTATATGAGTATTACTAAATAAATAAATAATAATAATTAATAATTTTATAAATTAGATATAAGTGAATATTTTAATTAATAATAAAATACATTTAATGGACTAATTATGACTTAATTCAAAAGACGATATATTTTAAAATAAAAAGAATTATGAAAATTTAAAAACAAGATTGAATTAAATAATATCAAATTTAAAATTTAAATTAATATTGATAAGGATTATAATTATTTATCTAAAATATATTCACAGCAATCTGTCAACCCATTGGCCATTGAAAAGAAATGTGCCTAGAAAGTGTTATAGTAATATCACAACCGCCATCACTTTTGTTCAATATCGAGCATTCTCCGCTTTCGTGGAACGCAATTTCATAGGTTACGAGTTCTGGTGCTTGTCTACTTCTGCCTCAAAAACTGCATACGTGCCTTCATTTTTTTTATGCAACCCACTATTATTCTGAAGTCGACAGGGTAATGACTTTTTCTTTTTTCCCCTTCAATACAAACATATATTTTTTATTAGAGCTTGTTTTCAAAGGTTTTATCTTTTAAACTGCTCATTTTGCAGTCGATAATGGAAGAAAGATAACGAAAAATCTCTGTGCACTATTCACTGTGCTCCTGGGGAAGAATGGTGTTTTCACGGAAACATATAGATCCAGAAGGTTTAAAAAATATTATAGAGTATTTAACTATTATAAATAAATAGTTAAGGTCTCAGAGGGTAGTATGATTTTTTTTTTAAATTTAAAGTATCTATAATATTGTTTTATTCTTTATTCAAAGAATTAACTTAAATTGCATAATATTTTATAATGTACAAGAACTTTACTGATATAGAATTCTAAATATATGTTATACATTATTTATATGTAATTTTTAGAAAAATATTTAATAATTACTAAAATAAAAATTTCAAAAGTGAAACCCTATACATTATAAGGCCTATTAATTAGTTTAATAATAATTTATGGTCAAATTTATATATAAATATTAAAAGATTAAATGTTAAACTTTTAGAGTTATGAAATATTTAAATTGAGTAAAAAAATCTGACTATTTAATAATCTAGAGTTGAATTTAACTATAATTAATTGAGGTACATAAATTACATAATTTATTGATTGATTGAGCCAAAAAGGGACGGAGAGAGGAAAAGTGTTAACATTAGTACATGTTGGCCTTTTTATATATAAATACTGTATTTTAAGAAAAAATCCTATTTATTATTTTCAAAACTATTTCTTTCTTCGAATGATTTTGACCATGGCAAAGGTTTCGTTAATATTGTTGGCAAAAGACACAAGTTTTTTTTTTTTTTAAATAAATTTTATCACCAAAAGCACAAAATAAATTAAATCATGTCAGGTGACATATTACTTCTGAAAACATAATTCTAAAAATATTACTTTTGAAAACATAATTTCAAAAATATAATTAACAACCTCTTGAAAATAAAGTTTTAAAAGTTAATGAATTATGTTTCCAAAATTATATTTCCGAAAGTGTAATCAACAAATTTCAAAAGTCTTTGTTGTTTTCTTAGTATTTTCATAATTAAATTTTTGAAAGTTATCAGCCGTGAGACTCCTTGCCTATCTCAAGCCATTTCTTTTTTCTGATGAAAGGCAATAAAAATTTATATAAAAAGAACAAATAACTAAAATTGATTAAAAGAACACGCAAAACTATTAAATGAAATAGTGAGAGGAGTGATTTAACGGTAGAAGTGCTGCTAATAACGATAAAATGTTAGTGAACGATGAAAATGAAAGAAATAAAAGAGAAAAGTAATTGAAAAATGAACTCTAGAGATAATTTAAATATTTATTGTGAATATTTTTAAAAACATAAATAATAAAAAATTTGATGGAGGTGCAAATTAAAAAAAAAAAGGGACGAAAAAAGCAAGCTCCGTTGTGAAATGCTTGAAAAATTGTTGACGTACAGCCCATGGACTCAACCCAGGTACAACCATAACAAATGGGAAAAGGAAATAGAAGACTTTAGAAGTATAAAAAGAAAAGTAGCTAGCAGCAACACAAAAACCTCTTCCTCGTTTCTCTTTCTTTCACTCTTCTCGAGCACTCAGTTGCGTGCTCGCCGGAACCCTTTTATCTCTGTAGAATCCCCTTCAACATGGGTAAGTTCTCTTCATCTCACTTCTGATACCAATTATTCTTCAATTCGTACTTTGTTAATAATCCGTTTTAGATCTTCATGTTCCGAGTTATTGATAGATCCGTGCCGCGCTATTGTTAACCCTACCGATCGTTGAATAATCGACACGATTTTATTTTTCTTTTCTGGTTTCTTTTCTGCTCAAGTTCAATTGATTGAGTTCATGTTCTATTTCGCACTTTCTTATACTGCTTGCGAATTTATCTCCTACTATGTGCTGCGTGTTACAGTACTTTGTTCGCTGTACTATTTTATTGGCTTGTTTTGGCCGGAAGTGAATTTCTGAATAAGCTGAGTTGCATGCTATGACGTTGGTCTGTTTCGGCTTGATTTATAGTTGTTTTGAATTTCATTCATGCTGAAGAAAAATATTAAAAAGAAGATGAGTTATTGCTTTTCCTGAATCAAACGAAACTGTTCTTCTTTGAGGTTAGAGGGGACTGGGGGAGTTGGAGTTAATATTTATGTCTGTTTTGTTTGAATGGTAGATATTGAGGAGGACATCCGTTCTTTACAGCTTGACTCGGCAGGTAATCCATAGGCCTATTGACTTTTGTGCTTTTATCTGTTTCACTATGTATCTACGGTTTTTTACCATTTTAAAAATCTTCCTATGCAATGTATGTTGTGATATAGCAGAAGACAATAATGGGGTGGTAAATGCAGAGGATGGAAAGCCAGAAGTTGAGAAATCTGATAAGATGGATGAAGGTTGGTTATAATGATGTGGTTGATTTCGTGTTCTCTTGTGCCTTCATTTTTTCGTGTTTATATTTTTCTGGGAAACTAAATCTCATCAATGTTAAAAGTGTAGCATCACGCTACATGATTATTTGCTGTGTTCCTCTTTTTTTTTTTTTTCGGTTCTGTTGGCTCTCATTTGCAAACTTTGCCTTAAACTAAAGTATTGTCATCAATCATTATCATTTCTTTTGAGATTAACCTGTTTCTACTTCTTACATTCATGAGTAAATGCTCTGCCTAGTAGCACACTCTATTCCCTCTTAAGACAATCAGCTATGAACTCTGACATATTCAGAAAGAGTGTTTTGATTTAGAAATCAGAAATTTGGTTATAATGAGGCTCTTAAAAAATATTTTAGAAATCAGAAATTTGGTGTATGTTCCACGTTTCCTTCCCTTTCTTCAGGTCCCTTGTTATACTCATGTACTTATGGTGAATATCAGTATTTTGGTTATATCAGCTCATTTGTTTTGAATAAATGATTGATAGCTGCAATACACAGACTGTCACAAGTTACAACATAGGTTTCATCCAACTTAGATTAAGATGTATCATGTCTTGCCTATGATTGATTGAATATTGATATTGTTGTGAAGGTTATGCACGTAACTACTTGCTTGAATCTTGGTTGGCACCCAGTGCAACTTTTCCCCTTGAAATTCTACCATCTGCTTTTATCCTCACCATAAAAATGAAGTAATTTTGTATTTTCTGGCAATAAAGTATTACTAGCTTTCTTCAACATGGAGAAACATATCATGCATTAGGTCAGTGTTCTTTCCAATGTTATCAATATTTAGGGTTGAGTTCGCAGGTCACTCTGGACCAGGTTGGGTCAGAGGCCCAACTCGTTTTTTCCCTAAAAAATTGCCATGGCCCCTGTTACTGCCATAGCCGCCAGGCTGATAATGGCTGCCATGGCACTGCCATCGTAAATCTGCCATTTTCTGTCATGGTTGTGGTGGTTTGGGCGGAAACCTCCAGCGACATTCGCCATGGTGCCCCCCATGGCCCTTTTTTTAACAACACTGGTTCTTTGTTGATTGTTTTGTTGGTTGCTGGTTGCCTATGTCAGTGTGTTATTACTATATTCCTGTAATGGTACAAATTAATGATGGAGATTGGAAGGCACCATATAATGAATTTCATGTTGGTGTTTTCAGATCCGAAGCGGGATGTTCAGGCACCGGTTGTTGAGGCTGAGCCAAAAGGTATTGGGAAATGTATTTAGTCTTCATGTGAGAATATACATATTGTGCATTTATATTACTGTTTTGGAACTAGGCAGCTCATTGCTGATAATGAAATGAACATTCACTCTCACTTGTTCACTCCATGACTTTGATTTATAGGGAAATATAAGGAAATTCCTTCTGTTCAAGATGAAGATGAGTTGGAGATGAAGAAAAGACACTTAAATGTTGTATTTATTGGCCACGTTGGTAAGTTGATGAATTCCATATTTGTTACTTTATCAGTATATGGCAATGTTGTCAAGATCGGGATCTTATCTAGGATCGGAAGAGGGGTAAAAAATCATAAATCGTGGGATCGTAAGATAGATTGTAAGATCCTTCAAAAAGTGTAAAATTATACTTAAAACATATATATAAACTGAGAAAATTACTTAGATAAAAAGTTAATATCTAAATTACCTAATTTAGTTAAATATAAACTTAAAAATCCTATATTTAAGATTGAATATAACACATAATTAGTTAAACTATCCATGCTAAGGTGAGAGAACACATAATAGAAAATAAATAGAAGAATATTTTTTTAAAAATTAAAAAGATCAACAAGTTATCCAACTTATAATACTTTGCAATAAATAATATTAAAGTATTAGCTCTAGTTAATAGTGTTTAAATTTATAGTTAAATACGTGAAACTTAGATGCTTATAATGTTTAATAGGTTTTTTATAAAATATGATATTCATTAATTTTAAAAAAAATATTAGAAAAAATAATTTTATACCATTTTACATATAAGTTAATGTCTTATTACACTATTTTATTTTAATATATAATATATTATTAATAAAATTGAAAATTAATTTTAATAAAATTATTTTTAGGTAGTAATACTATTAAAATGTTTATTTAAATTAACTTCGCTCACATGTTTATATTGAAAGGTGTATTTATTATAAGACATAAAAATTCATCTCTACTGGGAAACAAAACTGAAATAGTAGCTCACGGTATATATAGAGAATAGAAAACACCCAGAAAACGTGAACCACCAATTGAAACAGGCAAACAGCAGCTCAAGAAACACCAAAAAAGAAAACGCGAACCACCTACGGGTGGCGCGGAAGAGAGAAGAGAGACGGCGCGGAAGAGAGTAGAGAGAATGGGCGTCGCGGAAGAGAGTGGGAAAGAATTTGGGGAAAAATAACCTAAATAGGTATTTTAAAACCGGGTCAGAAAAACCTGACCTGGAAACCCAACCCCCCAGAAGCCCAACCCAGAACCGACCCAAAAAACCTGCCCCTGTGATCGAATCGGATCAGAGATCCTGCTATCCTGACGGAAAAGATCGGGATCTCATCCGATCTTCCATATAAGCAATCCCAAGTCCGATTAAAATCGTCCAAGGGGTATAAGATTGTAAAATCGTATGATCCTGCGATTTTAATCGCGATTTTAACAACAGTGTTATATGGGATACCAGGGTTCCTTTCTAACTTTTGTTCAGCTTTGACAAACATTCAATTGGTCAACAGTATTATGGTTCATCTCTACCTTGTGCACATGGTTAAATGGCCAATTGTCTAACTGCATATCAAATAAATTTTAGATGTTGACCAGAGGAGTTGCACATGTTGCTTATGTTTGCTGGTTGTCAACTTCTAAAAAATATTTTGGCTTTCAAGTCAAAAAGAGAATAAAGAAATTGTTTATTAGACTTGGATTGATTGTTTTCACTCCTGCTTATTGTTCACATGGTTAATCTATAATTAGTCAATATTTAATAAACTGTTTGGAATTTGATTACATTTGAGAGAATAATCATTTTCTAATGCTTTCTTTTTAAGTTTTTGATTATAAGCTGTTTTGAATGCAAAAGAAATCTGAACACTAAATTTGTGCTGATAGATAGAGTCACTATAATTTAGAAGAGTGCTAAGAACACAATTTCTGACACACTCTTATCGGTTGAAATTTTTTGAAATCTACATAAATATTAGTTAGAATCATTAAATTAGGAGTGAAATTCACATGTTTTTTGTGATTTCCAATAAAATTTAGCTTCTAATAAAGAGTGTGTTTGAAAGTGTCTTAGAGATTGTATTGCTAGCATTTCTCTTATAATCTATGTGAGGAAAAAAAGTAAAAGGAATGAGAGGGTTTAATGATTCTTTCATTATGTTAAGAGATTTTCATTATGTATATCCTTGTTCTATAAGAAATTAATTCTTGCATTTCTTGTTCTAGATGCTGGTAAGTCTACAACTGGAGGCCAAATACTTTTCCTCAGTGGTCAAGTTGATGACCGGACTATCCAAAAATACGAGAAAGAGGCTAAGGACAAAAGTCGAGACAGCTGGTTAGCTAATTTCCTTTGGTTCTTGAATGAAAGTGTTATATATGTTCTAATGCATGCTACTTTGCTGACTCGTCATCTGTTTATTGCAACTTTGGGTCTTAACATATGGTTTTCAGGCTATTTCACTAACATGTGGTTGAATTAGTCTGGCTAAAAAAGTCATAGAGCTTGTTGGTAATTTGCGAATATATCCAAGTCTAACAAATTCATGAGGTCCCTTTCTCTTTTTGTAGCATTATGAGATGTTTTTCAGTTGTCTCACCTTCATTCTATGTTAAAAGAGGTAGTGTCTGTTGATCAGAATGTCCAATAATTTTCTGCTATTTGGTACTTTTGTGCAATTGCAGGAGAGTAACATAAAACTCTAGATAACATGTTAGATATTGCATAGGTAGCATATCTGGGGGGCTTAATCTATAGATGAGATTAGTTATTGCTGAGCACAGTCATGTACTCATGTAACTTGGGGAATTTCTGTTTGTCTGAACAAGCTACTTTGTCAAGTAGTTTTTACTTATTACAGTGGTGTAAGGTATTGTAACTAGAGGAGTCATCCTGTGCTTTTCATGAAAAATAATCTTAGCACACTGAATAAATCCACAGCAATTCATTTCTAAAAAAATAAAAATATAAGATAAAGTAAAACAAGTTAAACAACAACGGCGGGAAAAAACTTACATAAGCCGTCAGCATATGTCCATACTTGGACAGTTTTAGTATGTAATGAGATTAGATTAAACCAGATAAAACATTGGGAAATAAAAAAGCATTAAATAAAAAATAGAAAGATAGTTTGTCCTGCAGTTTGCTTTCCTTAGAAAGAAAATTCTACAATAGAGTAATACATACTGGATTTTTAAATGTATGTTTTTTTTTTTTTTATATATTCATCTTTTCAGATTGTTATGAGACTGTTTTTCTTATGAGTGTGTCACACTGCCAAATGTATATCCATGGTTTTTAAAGTGCATCATGGTCTTCCTTTCTGAAGATTTTACTTCCTTGTACTTCATAACTAGTAACTACAAATATTTATGTGAAATCTCTCTCTGCCTCTTCCTCTTCTGATGGAAGTCGTGGCATGCTAATTTATCTATCATCTTGCGTCTGTTGTTTTCTTTTATATGTGGTAATTGTCCATTAATTAATAGGTTTTTCTGCTTCTCAAATTTAGTGTATAAACTTTTTCATTATTTAGGTTGCATGTTCTTCCATTAGTTTATAACTCAAGACCAGCAGTTGCAATTCAAGCTTCAGATGTTGTACTGTTTTTAGCCTTTGGTCTCTTAATTGAAGCTTGTATACTTTCTTAGATTTTATGTTTCAGGTATTCTGTGTATTTCACTTTGATAGTGTAGGGTTGAGGTGTTCAAACTATCAAAATGTGTGATGTGGCCCTTTGGGTCTTCAATTTATTATTTTTGTTCTGTTAACAGGTGCTTTTTTGACCTGGGGGGGTGGGGGGTTAAATCTTAGTGATTGACACTATTCTATTTTAAATTAATGATTTGAAATTTATATGGTAGGTATATGGCTTATATAATGGACACAAATGAGGAGGAGAGGGTAAAGGTATGAATAAACATGCTGATAATATAACTGGTTTTACATAATCTAACGTGGTGTGGTTTTTGACTTTATCCCTTTTGCTTCATAATTGTATGAATTTGGTTTGAATTTGTAATTAGGATAAAATTGTGATAATTGCAGGGAAAAACAGTTGAAGTCGGTAGAGCACACTTTGAGACAGAAACAACAAGGTTTACCATTTTGGATGCACCTGTGAGTATCTGCATTCCATGATTCTTCTCAGATCAGTTTATGTATTGAGCACATGCATATTCTCTGGACTCTAGAGTGTAGTCTTCTGTTTTGAACTACTTAGAGGATCTTCACTGGCAGATATACTTTCCATGGGTCCTTGACTCAATTGTTTTCTTCTCCTATATTTTAAAATAATTCAACCATTATATTCTACTAAGTAAACATTGAATATTGAATTACAATGCTTATGCAGGGTCACAAAAGCTATGTTCCTAACATGATTAGTGGTGCATCTCAAGCTGATATTGGAGTGTTGGTTAGTTGATCACTTGATCTGTGGTGTGACTCTGTTTCTTGAACTTAAGCATGGGCTTCTCAAGCATTTGATGATATATCTGTCTTTTTCTGTCTGTATTTTATGCCTCATCGATCAGGTTATTTCTGCTCGGAAGGGAGAGTTTGAAACTGGATATGAGAGAGGTGGACAAACTCGTGAACATGTCCAACTTGCAAAAACGCTGGGTGTGGCCAAGTTGCTTGTTGTTGTCAATAAAATGGATGATCCTACGGTGCAGTGGTCAAAAGAAAGGTATTGTGTGTGTGTGTGTGTATTACCCGTTTCTATGCTTGTGTGCAATTTTACTGAGATTCATTTTTGCTGATGTGCCACTAGGTATGATGAAATCGAGTCAAAGATGGTTCCATTTCTAAAGCAATCAAGATACAATGTAAAGAAAGGTACCTACCTTTTACATATTTGAGAAAATGCTAGAACTTTATGTTTCCTGTCCTTTTAATTCATGCTTAATTGTGGGATGCTGCTGTAATTGCATGATTTATGACGGATGGGTTATGTAGCTTTTACTTGGAGAACATTCATAGTATAAAAAAGAATGTCATGGGGTGACAGACTGTCCACCATAGTTCACTTGTAAGAATGTTTTGTTCTCTTCTAGAGTAGGGAATGCTATATGTCTTACTGAATGCTAGTGGAGTGTGGGACATGTTGAAGATGGGTGCAAGGTTGTTACTCTCTCTGTCCAAAATGTTCGGTAGGTTTGGGATCCTAGGTATTGAGTTCTAAAGGGAGGGGAGGATGATGTTGAACTTCAACCTATTATATGGAGTAAACAGCAGCTTGTTTCAATTCAGGAAAGTAAGGACCGAGTTTCAAGGGTATTTAGGTTGTGCCAAGGTTATTCTTTTCCTGTTCTGCAAGTTTTCTTGACATGTGGATTTGAACAGCTTATGAAAATGGACATAGAAAGCCCTGTTTTTGGAAATAATTTCTTAGCAACAATTTTGTATTTTGTGCATGGGTCTCAACCATTTTAATGAATTGTGGAAATGAAGTTATTGTACTAATCATTTTATTTAACAGATGTCTTGTTTTTGCCAATATCTGGGTTGATTGGTACAAACATAAAAACAAAAGTGGATAAAAGCACTTGTCCATGGTGGAGTGGGCCTTGCTTATTCGAGGCCCTTGATACTGTTGAAGTTCCTCCACGAGATCCCAAAGGTCCTTTTAGGTATTGCATTTCTGTACATTTTGTTGCTTTCTTTTACCTGTCAGACATCCTTTATAATTTCTTTATTATTTTTGAAGTTCAACTTCTTTGCTAAGAATGAGCTTCTGATTTGTGCAGGATGCCTATTATTGACAGATTCAAAGACATGGGAACAGTTGTTATGGGCAAAGTTGAATCTGGTACTGTTCGTGAGGGAGATTCCATGTGTGTCATGCCAAATAAGGTAGCTTACATATTTATGTTTGTTGGATGTTGTGAACTTGGTCCTTTTTTCTTTTTTTTTTGGTTGTTTAACCTGAAATGGGTGACAACTGCACATTAATTTGCAGGATCAAGTAAAAGTTGTTGCGGTATTTATCGATGAAAATAGGGTTAAACGTGCCGGACCTGGTGAAAATTTACGGATTAGATTATCTGGTGTTGAAGAAGAAGACATATTATCTGGTTTCGTCTTGTCTAGTGTTGGTGAGAAATTTTGCTCCCAACATTTATTCAAAATTTTGGTGGACTTGCAAGATGGGGCAGACTTGCAGTGGTGTATTTTGAAAGATATTTTTAATTTTTATATAGAGAAACTTTACTAAAAACGTGTCCTAGAAAAAATAATTATCTTGGCAATTTTTGTGGAGTGTGTACTAGCTAGTTTTTGTGTCTGGTTACATTTCTTATTTCAGATTTCAATATGAAAGGTTTGGCCATACAGTATGCCGTGAGATGTAGCCACACATGCAGTTTTAATTCCAGGGAAACTAAAGCTAGTTGTATTGATTTTAGTTGGTTTTGAAACTTATGCATAGTTGTGGTGGGTTATCAAAATTGGTTGAATCACAGTCAATTAATTGTTTAGATTTAAGAATGGCATCAGAAAGGACCTTGGCCCATCAGAAATGTGCTTTTTCTAGTCCATTAAATTTATGTTTAGATCCAGCACATTTATAGCGTTGCCTTGTTTTCATTTGGTTATGCATTTGTTGGTCGGTGTTTTAAGTGGTATCTGGTTTGGTCCTTTTGCAGTTAATCCAATACCGGCAGTTACTGAGTTTGTTGCTCAGTTGATTATCCTTGAATTGCTGGACAATGTAGGTTTCCTCTTTTTCTTATCCACAGCATTTGGATGTCAGCTTTTCTGCTTTAGTTTCTATGACTGAATTGAGGACATTAACTTCTTTATATAAAATATGTAGGCTATTTTTACTGCTGGGTACAAGGCTGTTCTGCACATCCACTCTGTGGTTGAGGAATGTGAGATTGTTGAACTCTTGCACGAAATTGATACAAAGACACAAAAACCTATTAAAAAAAAGGTTCTCTTTGTGAAGAATAATGCATCAGTAGTGTGTCGTGTTCAGGTGCATTTTTTCACCTTGTGAATCTAGAAGCTATTTTTTACCTTTTTATCTTTTAGGCCAAGTTAGTACCTTCAGTCCTAACTTTTTCATTTTGTTTTACTTTTGTCCTATTTCATCAGTTATAATGGTGAAAAACTGCCACAGTTAACAAATCACAATTTGTGACAGTAAACAATTGACAAAATAGGACCAAATTGTAACTAAATAAAAAGATAAAGGAAACAAAATGAAACAAAGAAAGTTAAAGGATCAAATTGAAACAAAAATAAAGTTAAAAGACCGAAGCATTAATTTTGCCTGCGTTTTTATAATTGTATTGCTGTACAATATTAAAAACATGCATGGTTTGCAGTTGTTATCATGTGACCTGGAGGTCATAGGTCTGGGTTGTGGAATTAGCCTTTGATAAATGCAAGGTGAGGCTGCCTGTGAAAGGCCACGGGCTGGTTTCACGTTCCCTGGGCCCACACATATCGGGAACTTTAATGACAGGGCTGCCCTTGTTATTATGTTGTGTGTATAGGATCCTAAGGCTATGAAATGTTTTTTATTCCTTTGTGATTCTGCAGAATGGCTCTGTCTCAAATTGAGAGGAGGGATTCATACTTGATGGTTTTCTTTTAAAAATATTTATGCAAGTTTAGTTTCATCTTGTGTTGAAAATGTACATACAGGTTAATAATGCGATTTGTATTGAGAAGTTCTCTGATTTCCCTCAACTTGGGAGGTTCACTCTTCGCACAGAAGGTAAGAGTTAGAAAAAAAATCTGTCTTGCTGATGTGTTTCTGATATATTGTTGATGCTGCATGTTTTACCCTGCACTGTAGGAAAAACTGTTGCTGTGGGAAAAGTCACCGGTCTCTAAGTTTGTGACAATTTTGACTTGAGGTAAAGAATATTTTTCATATGCATTGATGCTTCTTGTTGAGCTGCTCTTGCTTTTCATGGTCAACTTTGTAATACTTTTCATATTTCTTGCTTTAGCTTATATGATGTTATTATCCTGATATGTCTTTAATTTTTAAACTTGGCAGTTATGTTGAATACCTTTTTCTAGTCATTTTCTTTTGTATCTAAATAAAATTAAAGTAGAATATGATTTAGACACTGTACCTACCGAGGGGTGCATGGTCTACTGTCTACATAGTTCATAACACATCTGAGCTTTGGGGGCTTGTTTACCTACCGATGGGTGCTTGTTTACCTACTGATGGGTGCTTGGTCAGTCAGTCTACACCATGCATCACTTGCCTTGACCGCCTGCGACAAGCTTGTGCAAGCTTGTATGCTTCTCCAAGCTAGAAGCCCGGGGGCATGCATGTGTTCCAGTAGGAGGGTACACGATCTTCACTGAATATTACTCCTTGGTGGGGCAGACCATCAGATTCAGACTAGAGAAGTAGGGGTTTGCCTTCTGTCACCCAATTTATGGATGAGTTCTGAAAGTGAGCCTGGAGCCATATCTTTGCCAAGGTTTAGGAAAATAACTGAAGTTCTGAAAGAACCTACATGACGACTCATTATGGTATAGGCAGAATGGTAGACATCCCCACAAAATTAGCCCCACTAATTATGAATTCAGTCATAGTGGCAATCTCAAGGAGTTCTTTATTTCATAAAACTATCGCCTAATATAAATAAATGGAAGGCAAAGCTTGGTGGAATCTCCAGCATTATGATTTTTCAGGCTAGGCTAGGCTCTAACCTTCGTCAATTCTTGCCCTGCAGTGCTTGTGTCAATAGAAACTGACTTGCAAATGATTGAACTTAAAATATCAAACATTTGGCATATGTTTCAATCATGTCTACAGATTTTCTGGTGTTGTGTATTTATTGGAAGATTAAATGATTTTTAGAGAGTAGACTAACAAATCAATTTGCTGTTGGCCATGGGGTGACTTGCGTGCTAACAGTCACACTTCATTTTTGGTTCTTTGCCTTTGTTGTTGTTTTCAAGTTAACTGTGATACTTGTATTCTAATACCACTTTTTTGGACAGGACATCTCCAAAGACAAATTGAGTGGCAGCATCGAGGCAGAATTGACAGCATCAAGTTTACCATATATTCATTTTGGTATTAAATATTTATTACTTGGAGGTAGTTTTCAGTGAAGAGTTATTTTTGGCCGCTGGTGCTCATGTATGTACTCGGTATTTTGCGGTTGGTCGCTTCCAACCGTGCTGCTACTTGAGATATATAATTGAAATGGATGGTTTGAAATCAATCCAAATGATTAGCTGTGGAATCTGATTACTTATACTTAGCCCAACATCAATTAAACAAATTCCCAAGTCACAGATGACTAACATATTTCATTTGATAGTGATATATGATTTCTTATTATCATGTTGCTGAGTAAACTTGATGGAATTTTGTAGAATTGGAACTAGAACTATCGCAACAACTACTATGGTGTGACTTCAAAATATTTGAAACCGTACGACATGCCTGAAAATTCAGGAATTTTGAGTTAGGGCAGCTAAAGATAAAATTGATACATGGTGTATTCGGATATATAATTTATTTAATATTTTCATAAAATATGATTTATGTCATATGGTAAAAATAACTTTTTCGAAAGTTATATTAATAAGTTTATTAAATTAAGTTAAAAATTCATAAAATGTTCACAAGTTCTTGGCTTAGTGTTTTTTGGGGTCTAATATATTATTATTTGATTTAAAACTGGAGAAAAGTAAATATTAAGTACGTTGATAGACTTCTTTTATGTTTTTATTAATAATGTCTTTTTTTATTGAAGTTAATTATGAGCTCTCATTTATTTTAAGAGTATATTTGGGAGAGGGTTGTTGGGAGGAGAAAGAAAGGTGGAATATAATTTAAATTTAAATTTATTATTTATAATGATAAATATATGATTGATATATTAGTTTTATATTAATATATTAATTTATATTGTTGTTTTAAATAATATTAATTTGAATATAGTTATTTAAATAAAAAAATTTGTAAACTTTTTTCTTGCTCTTCCAAACTTTCTTCTTAAATAACTTTTAAAAGGATTGCAATAAGTTGATTTTATGCAGCTACGAATTGAGAGGATTATTGGACAAAACAAATGAATTTGAATTTTCTCTTTCATAGCAAAAACGTCTATTTTTTTATTTAAATAAATTGAAATTTACTTAAATGAATTATATAAAAATACAAAAAAATAAAACAGAAAACTATTATGACATATCCCTGAGCGAATAAAAGTGGCTTTATTGGTTGTTATTAGGAGAATTATGGCATATCCCTAATAATGAATCAAATTATGGGTGAAATTAAAAGTAGAAATATTTTTTTATTAATTTCATATATTAGTGCTTTGTTTAAAAATAAACAATAAATAATGGAGGTTAGTTCAAGTGATAAGTCGTTTGACATCATTTAAATAAGGCCTTAGATTTGAGTCTTTGTGTATATAAAAAATCTCAAGTGGTAGATTCACCTACCACATCTAGGCACGTGACTCAATTTGTGTTTCTTTTATTTGTTTAAGTGGAGATATATCTCCTTAAACGAATTTTACCCATTTTCTTTATATTTTTATATGATTGGTTAAACCATTAAAAATTTTAATTTGTTTAAATAAAAATAGAATTAGATGAGATAATTAAGATTCAAAGCAAACATTATAATACAAATTGAAAGACTTTCATTAAAATTTATCTTAATATAGTATATTTTGGACACAATTTTTTTTAGATATTTTTGCTCTTCTACACTAATAAACTTTAAAGACTTTAATTTTTTTTTTATTTTAATTAGTTTTGGTCTTGTAAATTTTTTTTGTTAGTTTTAATTTTTAAATTTTATTTTTAAATGATTTTATTATTATAACAAGATATACATCTAACTATTTCTCTTTTAGTAATTATTTTAAAAGACATACAATGCAACATATTTAAATGTACATCACATCATTTACAAGTAATAATCCATATATATATATATATATATATATATATATATATATATTATGAGTTTGTCTGTTTCTTTTTTAATTACAATCATATGTTTTTTAAAATAATAAAATCTTGTTTATTAAACTAGTTTTTTAAAACAATAAAAAATAGCTTTTAAAGTGTTTTGGTTTTAGTTTTTTCATTTTTTTAGTTAAAAATATTTTTAATTTACATGTTTACTTATTTTTTATTATGTTTAAATTTCATCGTTTACGAAGATAAAGAAAGAGAAAAGAGAGGTTAGGAGTTTATTCATTGTTTGAAAGTTATTTAATTAAGAGGAAAATAGTCACTAGTTTTTCTAAATTCAAACTCCGGATTTGGATTGTCTCCAGTTTACGTAGAAAATAGATTTCTAGTTCAATTTTCGCTTAACGATTCTAGTTCGTTTAAGCAAAAATTGGTTAATTTCGCTTAAAACTGTGACAAAATGGCTTGAGCCAATTTTCATAAAACAAATAACTTAAGCAAAAAATAGACAGAGAGTTTTAATTTTCACTCAATTTTCTCTTCTTCTTCTTTCTAAACCTAACATTTTCTCTTCAACCTCCATATTCAACTCTCTTTAACTTCCATATTTAATATTCTTCTTTCTCTTATAACTAACTATTATCTTTCCCTCCTAACTCTCTTTTCCTTCAACCTCATACCTAATTCCTCTCTTCTTCTTCTCATTCTCACCCTACCCAATACTTATCTCTCCCTCTCTTCTCTATACTCAACTCTTCACTTTTCTCTTCCTCCACCGCCACTCCTATATCACTCGCTCTTCTTTATCTACATCCATTCTTAGTCCTCTATTTTCTTTACACCCAACTTTCATATATTCAAATACGCAAAATTTGCTTAAGTTAAAATAATTCGCTTAAATGAATATGCACAATTTGCTTAAACAAAAAAAAAATTCTCTTAAGCAAAAAAAAATTAGCTTAAGCTAATTTTGTGTAAAAAAAATTTTGGCAGCAGAGAAAGAGGAAAGTGAAGAGTTGAATATAGAAAAAAGAAGGAGAGATAAGTATTGGGTGGGGTGAGAATAAGAAGAAGAAGATAGGTGTTAGATATGAGGTTGAAATAAAAAAGAGTTAAGAGGAAAGAGAAGAGTTAGGTATAAGAGAAAAAATAATGTTGAATATGAAGATTAAAGGGGTTGAATATAGAGTTTGAGGAGGAAATGTTAGGTTTAAAAAGAAGGAAAAGAGAAAATAAAAATTAAAGTTCTCTGTCTATTTTTCACTTAAGCCTATCATTTTTGTTTAAGACTTTTTTTTTTCGCTTAAGCTATTTGTTTTATGAAATTTGACTCAAGTTATTTTGTCACAGTTTTAAGCGAAATTAACCAATTTTCGTTTAAGCGAATTGAAATTGCTTAAGCGAAAAATAAACTAGATGTCCAGTTCCTACGTAAATTAAAGACAATTCAGATCCCCCAAATCTCTAGTTAATTTTTTAAGTTACTCATTTTGAAGTTTTTCTCTCTCCCACTCATTTATAGTCTTTCACCTTTAGAATTTTAATATTATTTTTTAAAATATGCCAGTTTTTAAAGAGAATTTTAAAAAAATTATAAAAAATAAAAATTTATTTTTTAGAGAGAGAAAAATATTTACTTTGTGTTTTTTAACAAAAAATAAAAATAAAACATAATAATATCATTTATATAATTAAATCTCATCATCTTTTCCTTTCAATATTAAACATCTAAATAAAAAATTTAACTTTTTTTTTCAAACTCTTTTCTTCCATCTCCTTCAAACATTCAAACAAAAATTCAGTATATTAGACTTATTTATTTATTTTCTTTATAATATTATTTATTAAAAATTATTTTAATTTTAAAATTAATCATTATTTTTTAGTTTAATATTAATTTATATTTTATTATTTTTAAAATTTATTAAATTATGTATAAATTGCAAGTATTACTTCGTAAACAAGAATATTTTTTAATTTAACATTAATTGTATTTTGATGTTTTAATAAATTTTTAATTAAATATTTTATTTTAAAAAATATATATTTAAGAAAATAAAAAATACTAAAATTAAATATCATATATATATATATATATATACACATTTAATTTAAAATACTAAATAAATAAATAAATAAAACCAAGCACGTTTTTTTTTAGTTTTTTAATTCTGTTTTAAAAAACAAAGTCATGAAATAATTTTTTTTTATTTTCTCTTAATTTTTTAAAAATAAAATAAAAAAATACTAATATTTTGTATAAAAATAAATTGTAACAACATTAACATTTAAATTAATTTATATATTATTAAATATACATTGAAAATACTATGTTCAAAAGTGTGCCACTAATAATTTATTTTTGCAAGAATGAAAGATAAAGATCAGCAAGTCCATATAATAGAATGCTCGTATAACATGCATTCATGGGAGCCAAGTGATATTTTGTTCTTAAAAAAATTCATGTTTAGATGGATAAACTCAATCAAGTTAATTCCTGCAGCAAGTTTGAGCAGAGTTGAAAATAATGTAATTCAAACAATTTATGATAAATTTAATTGCAAACTTGCTTTTCGGAACATAAATTACTTTACTCTAAACACAATTTCAATCAAAATAAAATTTATAAAATTAAGATAATTAAAAATCAGTTTATAACACTCACTGAAGCTGTTGATTATACATAAATACAACTTATTTATTAAATATATTTATTTTTTATGAAATATAATATTTTAAACGAAAATATCTATTAAACAGTTTTTTAAGTAAAACTGTATTCCTTTTTATAATCTTTTTATTAATTTATTTAACTTTTTATAAAAAATACTAAATGAAAAATAAGTATATTTAATATCTTAAAAATATAAAAATATATTTTTATTTAATATATAAAAATTATAAAAATTAAAATTTTGTTAATGTCAACTCATAATGTTGAGAATAAGTAATTAATAATAGTAAAATTTTATTAAAAAAATATTTATTATATTTTTATAATTTTAATATAATAACTATATATTTTTTCATAATTTTTTTATTTATAAATATTTATATTCAACCTTAAGGTTGAATATATAAGAAAATACTAAAAAAAAAATTATAAGCTAATTTAAAGTTGTTATTTTCTTCAAATTCTCTGCTGCTAATGTTGGGACTATTAATTATGACGATAATAGAAATTTCAGGACCACATACGTAAAGAAGGCGAGAATAAAGAGAATGAAATGCATATGGCCAGTGTTTATATAAAAATTTATAAAAATGGTACAGAAGAGAAGATATATTATAGCTGCATTTGTAAATGGAAATGAGCTCAATTCATGTGTCATGGGTTTCTTCCTTTTGTTTGTGTTTACCAAATTCATCACGCTTTGAAGCATCAAAAATTTCATCACAGTTTAAGCCTCTGAATGCCACTCCTGTCAAAGGAACAAAACACTACCTTGTTAAATTTCCCAGAGAAAGAACAAGAACAAGAGCAACCCTTGATGATGTTGAAAGAGACCAACTTTCCTCAACCCCACTTCTTGTCGAGGACGAAAAGGTATGCCCTTTTCATTTGGGGTTCCCATTATTATTGTTTCCCGCTTTGTATGGTTTCTTAGGTAATGTTGAAAAGTTTAAGGTAATAAAGTTTGAATCTTTAGCGCACCCTTTGTAGTTTTATCTTTTGGAACTTGATCCATTTTGCAGTGGGGGGGGGGGGGGATTTTTTTTTTTTTAAAAATGATTATTTGGGTTCTATGTTGATTTAATTTAATTTTAAATTTCAATATTTGCTTAGGAAGTTGAGAAAAGTGTGAAAGTGTTGAAAAATGCCGCTAAGACAAGAAAGGTAGCAGCAGAGGAGGTTCTTTCTGCACTGTCTGTCATTGAGAAAGCAAAAGTTGATCCTTCTGGCTTTTTTGAAACCCTTGGTGGAAAGGAATCCCCTGGGAGGACCTGGATGCTAATTTTTACTGCTGAGGTTAACATCTTCTGGCTAAAATTCTGTTTCTTGTTTTGCATCTTTAATTATGGTTGTCAGTTACCTACCTTTAACAATTTATGCTTTTGTGTTGAATTTCAGAAACAACTAAAAGGTGGTCGGTATTTTCCTCTCACCGCTGTTCAGAGATTTGATGCTGCTGTAAGTCTCTTTCTCTTCCATGATCCTACCTATATTTCATTCTTGATGCATTAGAGAGCAGTGTTTATAGTTAAAATATTTGAGGAACCCTTTATCTGCCTGTTGAGAAACTTTCAACCTTCGGTGTCATTGAGTTTGAAACTGAAGTTGTTTCTTGCTGGAAAAGCAAGAGAGATCTGGACACAAGAAACATTCTGAGTATTAAGAAAAGGTGCTAAAGAATAAGGTTGTTTTTATGGCCTTGTTCCTATTTTCCAAGACTTTTTGGAACTTCATCAAAAGTCATGTGATTTGGTTTTTCTTATGTACTTGATGGACAACTTGCTTCTCTGGTCATGATTGTACTGTTCTGTTGTCCATGAACTAATTTCCAGTTCAATGTCCATGTCCAGTGTTTTGCGTTATGAAATTATTAGTTTGTATCTGATGCCAAGTATGTTTTTATTATCTAAGTTTTTGAAAGCATAACTGATGTCAATCATTGCACCATTTGATGAAGACATTCTTGAATTATCCTTTGTAGAGGAATTCTCATCCTCTATCTCAGTTTTGGAGCTGATTCAATTTTAAAACAATATATCACTTTCAATTTTTTAAGGACAAGAGAGAGAACCATTAATTTTGCATAGAATATTGTGTTGTAGCTACTTTTATCTTCTTAATCTAAGGTTGCGAGGACTTAGGCTAGAAACTGAAAATTAACTATGGCTCTGTTTTTTGTTAGCCACTTAAATGAAGTTAGGGAAATCAGACCTCAGCTATTAGCTGTGACAACCCTTGTACATATCCACTTAATTTGGGAAAGACTTTTGTGCATCTATGAGTTAATACTTAATAAGGCCTCTAAAATTGTTTCTTGATTGCCTTTTTAGTCCTTCTCATGCAGGCAAAGTTGTATTGGTGTTTCATTATTTGTAAATGTTTCCATATCCCAAATCAATTTCTAAAATATATTCAAAGAAAAGCTTGGCTAGTTTTCTGATTGCTTCTGTCCAAGTCAGACTATTAAGTTATCTTGATGAATTGTTAGGCAAAGAGGATCGAAAATGGTGTATATCTTGGACCCATTGGACAATTAACATTTGAAGGAAGACTTTCATGGAAAAACAGAATACTTGCTTTCATTTTTGAGAACCTTCTAATAAAAGTGGGACCCTTGAAGCCTCTACAGATCAGCTTAGGAAAAAAGGAAGATAAAGAACCAAGTACAAAGGATCCATTTTTCATCTGGTTTTATGTTGATGAGGAAATAGCTGTTGCTCGAGGCCGGAGTGGAGGAACTGCATTTTGGTGTCGGTGTCATCGTGTCAGTAACTGATTCTTAGGAAGTTTCTTTCTTTTCTGCTTCTGAGTTTCGGACTTTAAATGGAAAAAGATTCATGTATATATTTTAGTGGTTAAACATATTTGTAGCTGTGTACTGTATAGATTATATACATATTTGTACCTAGAATCCAAGAATTAAAGTTTTTATTTCATGATATTACTGGCTTACTGCCATTGATTTTGTGAGGAAAAAACTATTCAACAACTAAAGAATGGAGACTTAAAAATAAGAGGAAGAAATGAAAGATTCTCCACCAGGTCCAGTTTAGCAGAAGGATCTTCACCCTTTTCACAGGTCTTTTAATTTAAGGTTTTGTTTGGAAGTTAAGCAGGAGAGGGAAGTGAAGAGTATGAGGGGTAAGGGAGGAAATGAGAAAGGAGGGAGAAGAAGGGTTGAAAAAATCTCCAATTTTGGAAAATTTTAAAAACTTAAGTCTATAAAAGGGTTTATGTTAAATAAGGATTATTATTAAATAAATATTTTCTTTTCCTCCTAAAATTAACTTTTAAATAAAGCTTAAAGTAATAGCTACATGCATGTTTATGATGATAGATGAATATCTCCTTTCTTACGATTTTTAGTGCATGTTTATTTTAACGTTGGTAGCCATCCTAACCACACTAGCACACGTAATGATGCTTTACCAATAGTGTTATTTTTTTCTGCCAACAAAAGTTGAAATGGAATGATAATTAGAGCCTTACATCAAAATGCTAAAGATGACTGTAGCATGGCTCATTATACTTATTCTTTCTTATGCACAGGATTTTCATGTATAGACAAGTGCAGAGCATACTTGTATCTGTATAAGATTTTTTGTGGAATGCATATAAGAACTAAGGCTTTTGGAAAGAGTGGAAATTTAGAAGGAAGTAATAGTATACGAAAAAAATGTTGTATTCAATAAACCTTGCGATTTTCATACAAGTGTCTCATAATTTATAGCTTTACATGAAAATTTAAGGGATCGGAGACAGTGTAAACAAGTCAAGTTGAACTAAGCACTTAAAACTCAATACCCAAAAAAATTGTGGTACTAAAATTAGCTTATTCATTTAAATGGGTCAAATCTAAAATTTGAACCTGATTTGTTTAGTTTATTTATAGCTTATTTTTTTATTTATTAAATATATTCTTGAAATATATTCAAAACTTATTAAGTAATTAATAAATATTTTCATGTTAGAGGATTATATAAAAGTAATGAAAAAGAAAATAAAAAATATTTGAACATAAAAGTATTTAATGACAAATTTTTAAGATAAAATTACAATTTACTATCTGTAACTTTTTTTTAAAATATAAATTAGCGTTCTTTTATCATTAATTATATCTATGCCCACGAATTATTTGTAAGTTTTTAATGTGAAACTTTTTGAATTTTTGACTTATATATGTAATTGAATTTGAAATTAATTTTGAATTTTTTGTCTAATAATATAAGTGACCTTATCAGATATTTAATGAGTTAAATTCGAATAATTTACGAACCAACTTAGTTCATTTTATTCTTAAAGACCCTTGTATCTCCATTACCACTAAGATTAGAGTCTTTTATGTAGGTACTTTAAAAAAGAAGTTACAAAGTTGACGAGGGTCGAAAGAATTTCCATTACATATCACGATACCATGTTTTTACCAAGTTTGCTTTTTGCAAATTAGCTTTAAATAAGAGGGAATCTCCATTGTCTTATTGAGTGGCTTAGAGAGATTAAGGTCCATTCTGAATCATTTGATCCAACATTAATGTACATAGAGAGAATGTCACGGATTCATCTATTATATTTTCTGTAGTGTTGCGTAATTTCATGTTTTGAAGAATGCATTAAGATAAAATAATGTATTGCTACTAGCATTTCTCGTTCAATCAAATCAACAAATATGCACTGACAGGCTAAAAAGAAAATAAAAGGGAGAAAAAATATTGAATAATAAGTGGAAATAGGGTCATTCAGACCCTTGTAATTGTAAAGCCAATATATTCGTTTATAAATCAAATACAATATGTCCTATATAGGTTTTACAAAAACAACTAATAATGACATAACATTTACACAATTCTCGAATGCATGAATCTGCACAAATGGTAGTGTACCAAGAACCTTTTCCACTTGGATTACATGCAATTGAATTTTCTATGATACATAAATGCAACTGTTTCCTTGGCATAATTAACAATAAATTGGACGTGCTTATTACTTTAGAAGCCTGATATTTGGATTTCTCATGGTTTTGAGCCACATTTCAGCCACAATTCGTGAGGAAATGGTCCACAGCAGGTCTTGCCCTTTTGCCAATGCATGCTTCCCTTTTTTCCCTCCCTTTCCCAACCCATATGCAACTAACCATTGCATTGCAGTTAGTCTTTGCCTTTCACTGTCCCATGCGTTCTTCTTAGTGCCACTCCTCACTTTGAAACCCCCCACATGCACGCTTGTTACCTTAAACCCTTTCTCCTCCTCATAGCCATAATCATTCTCCTTTGTGTCAATACTTGTTGCATGAATAAGCACCATCACAGGTCCTCCAACTGCTTCATAGCGTCTCATTGGATCCCTCAGTTGGACAACCAATATCATTGTCACTTTTACTTGTTCACTATCAGAACTTTCACTACTCTTTTTGTAGCTTTGGTCTCTGATCCAATCCTCAAGTGAAATAGCTGAAGCCAAAAGATCTTTCCCACCCTCCCCTTGCTTTGAACTGAGTGAAGAAACATCAAATGGGGCTTCTTCCTCAGCCATGTCAGCTTGAATTTTCAATGCGTCAACAGTCATGGACTCAATCTTCTGCATTGCAAAAGCCAGAAGCTTCTCTGGAGTGATTGGCTCTTCATCAACGTTCCAAAGTCCTGTTGATATTCTTTCTTTCCTTCCTGAACTCATGGCATTTGCCATGCTTTTCAAGGAAGAAACTATGCGAGCTGCACTAGAACTTGCTCCTTCCTTGTTCCTACCTTGTATGATGGCTGAAGCAATGCCTTCAAAAGCAATCTGTTCTGCAGTTTTGCCTATTAGTTCATCTATGGGCATTAAGGACAAAACTTCGGAGCTTAGTTCATCAAGGCCAATGCTAGCCAATTTCTGAAACAACTCAAATCCTGTCACTGATTGATGTGATGCCAACACAAAAGGCTTTGACATCTGCATAGCTAACTTTGGACCATCTTTTCTAGCCACACCAATATCCAAAGGGTTCATGGAAGCCAAGTAGCCTCCATCCCTTGTTTGAACCACACAACCCAAGCCCTTTCCAAGGTCTGGGAGATACACTTTGGATTCTCCATCTTCAGCAGAAGAATCATAGTGTCCTTCAAGTTGTAAAGGTGGAATTTCAGGTTGATTGAACAAGTGCCATTTTCTATCTTGATCCTCAAGCATCTGAAGAAACTCCCTTGTCACAGTTTCTTCATCTGCATCTAGCCTCTGTGATTCTGTCTCTTCCTCTATCTTCATAAACTTGTCATCTTCTCCCATCATAGACTCAAGAGCCTTTATCTGCTGTGCAATTGAATCAAGCTCAGACAATCTAGTGAGATGCAACTGATCATGCACTATTTCCTTGACAACCTCCCTTGAAGCTGATTCCACCAATTCAGGTTCCTCAGATTCCCCTTCTCCATCTTTTTCCTTCTCTGGAACCTCAACACCTTTATCCACAACCTCAAAATCCGGGAGATCATAATCCTCCACCTGCTCTTTACTACGTTCATCAACTTTCTGAGTAGAGGAAGAGGGATTCTCAACAGGGTTTGGATCATCAAGGTTCAAATCATCCATTCCTTGAATATCCCCTCCCATTCCAGATTGTGAAGGAGTCCATGCATCATTTTTACTTGTCATTCTAGGACTAGGCATGCTGAATGATGTCTTGGATTGTTTACGAGCAAAAGCAGAAGAGATATTACTCAACTTGCCAAAGCTAGACTTTGAACTCTCCACTTGATTATTATATATATCAACTCCTCCATCTTTCTCCATGATTTGGAAGCCAAGTTTCAGAACTAGTTCTCCTCCTTTTGCCTTCCCAGACAAACCAAAGCTTGTGTCCCATTGCCTCACCCGCGTGCCTTGTTGGTTTTTCTCAATGGATTCTCTAATCAATTCACTCAAGTCCACAGAGCTTCTTCCAAAATCAAGCTCTTTAGCATCAACAGCAAAGGGGTATATCCAAAAGGAGCGTGGCTCAAACTTGATTTGCTTTGATGTACCATGGTTGGTGGTGTGATAGACATGGCACCTGATGAAAAGGGTCTCTTCAAAATCAGCAGCTCCTTGTGCTACCCTTGATGGCATTGTCTTAACAGCACCATCCTTTGTTTCCTTCTTTCTAACACAAACAGAAAGTCTTAGTCCGTTCATGGAAGAAGGAAGGCCTTGTGCTGTGACCACTTCAACAGAAAACAAACAACTTAGTTTCTGCATTCCAATGTGAGACAGAACCCTTATAGGCTTCCACTTCCAAATCCCCTTCTTGTCATTGTCACCTGACGAAGTTGTTGATGTGCCATCAAGCTTCTTGGTTTCTGACTTGGCCATGGCATCACCAGGCTTTGACCTTGATCGCCATGGAGACAAGGACATGCGGCGAGGTCGAGGTTTGGTGCTGCTTCCGTCTTCAAGATTAACATCATGTTCAACAGGTGGAGCTGAAGTTCTTGGCAACACAAGTGAAGCTGTTCTTCTAGTTGTGGTGGAGGTGTGTGATTTGTAAAGGGACTCACTCAAAGCCTCTAGTTCTTCAAGGAGTTGGGCATTTGGGTTGCTCTCGGCAGATGCCATTCCCAGTGAATGAAGAAGGTGTTGCTGCAATGAATGGTGATGATGATGTTTAAGAAGATAAGATGCTTATAGGTTGAAAGTTGGAAAGATCATGCAGGATTATGATGATGATGATTGGTGGTCCTTTCTGAACCAAGAAAATATGATGAATTGGAATTGTGGAGGATAGGGGATTAACGGTTGCATTGCATTGTGGCTTGGTTAGTGAGACAAATTTTGAAATGGATATCTAACAGGGAAACTGGTCCCACCGAATTTAATGTTGCTTTATCCTTATTGTTTGCAAGTGGTAAGAGTAAGTGCTACGCTTGGTGCTGAGAAAATGAAACTTTCCTACCCCCATTTTTGTTAGGAAGTGGAAGAAAATCTACTCAAATTTTTTTCATAAACTGTAGCATGCAGGTAAGGAACATAGCAGCAAAAAAGGTTCTTTCAGCTGTTTAGAAAAAAAATATTGAATTTATCTCTCTCTGTTTGGTTGGCTTTGTTTTTTGTTGAACAAAATGCTTATTGTTGCTGCTGAGAATGCCATATTACATTTTGTTTTTGACCATGGTTCTTTTTCTTGGCTATCTTCACATTGTTTATGGTTATTGTACTTTAGTGCTGAATCCTAGAATCAATTAAAATGTCGGATTCACTTGTCTCTATCAAGGGTCATAGTGATTGGATGCTGCTGCAAGCCTTTCGTACTTCCTAACTGTATTTTATTCCTTATTCTAAAAAGATTTTACATCAATGGAAAAAGATTAAGAAATCACTCCATATTGTTAAATTTTCAAATCAAGACATCATTATCTCAAAGTGGCAAAGTAGAGAGAATGATATACACTTCTAAAAATTGGAGCTTTTTTTTGTCATTAGATGTTGGAGCCTGAATAAAAAAGTACTTGAAGGAGGGACCGACTGTCCATTCAAAAATTGACACACTACTCCAAACTTCATTACAAATTCATCTAATGAGGAGGATCAAGGGCGTGCCTGTAAATATACTTTGATCAAGTGTGCACACGTTTCAAAGTAAAAGCAGCAGAAAATTTTTGCATATGGACATTCCCTTCGACCCTAGTAAATGTGCAAACTCAATCCTGTAAGCAATTTTTCTAAATAACTTTTATACATATCAACAACTACCCTGTATCATGCCTTATCTCGCTAGATGAGTTATATATATTAATTATCAAAATTTTATTTATATTATTGAAATAAGTATTATTAATAACTATTTTTAAAACATTAATTAAGAAGTTAATAAATAAAATATTTTATTAAAATAAAAATAGAATATATTTAAAATTATGATAAAAATATATTAATAATATTTTCTATAAAGAATTTAATTTTAATTTCTTAACCAACAGTTTAAGACAATTACTGAGATTTTCCTTTTAACCCAATACATAAAAACATGCGCCAGACTACTCACCACACTTTTTACGATTAACAGTAAGCTGAAGCTCATTCTTCTTTTTTAACTAATTCTTTATGACAACCTTTAAACACTCTCTCACGCTCCTTCATTCGCTTTCACTTTCAGGCTTCAGCTATAGCTGCTGATTTCAGTTCTTCATGTTTCAACGGCTTATTTCTTAAATCTTCACTCTACCCGATTTCTGATGAAACCCTAATTTGATCCAAATGACCCACTTGTAAATTCTCAATTTTTTCGACTGTGATCAATAATATCACTTTAACCCCAAAATCAGGAACAAAAAATGACAGAACCGGATCCGTCCAAAAAAGTGGCCGATAGATATCTGAAGCGTGAAGTTCTTGGTGAAGGTACCTATGGTGTTGTATACAAAGCCATTGATACTCACGTAATCGCCCAAAACTTTCTTCTTATATTCCCTTATTCCGCTTTTTCATCCCTTGCTTATGAATAAAATTATGCTAATTCGTGACTGAAAAATCGAAAATTTCCCCTATTCTCTTTTCTGGGTTGTAGAATTGGATCTTCACTTTCAGTTGGGGCAAATAAAATCGCTGAATCAGAGTAAATTACATATTCATATATGGCCTTAGAGTAATGTAGAAAGGGAAGATACATTTATTTGCTTTGGGGGTTTATCACTTTATCATCTTTGCTTCCTACAATTTAGGAAGAATAATGTACGATGTGTCATTGGGTATGAGGAAGTGGTTCTTACCCTTTTTTTAGTGATCGTGAGGATGTATGGGGAGGAAAGCTTGAAAATTTTTAATTGGTTTGTTCTTGGTGTAACATGAAATGTATCCAGGGGATAGATGTGCTTACTTACATGTCTTGATGGACTAACCTTTTGTTCAATAATGAAAATGACAGAGCTTTATCATGTGGTGTTCTTTCTTATAAAGATGAATTCATTGCATTGACAGACAGGACATACTGTTGCAATTAAGAAAATCCGGCTTGGCAAGCAGAAAGAAGGGGTAAATTTTACGGCTCTTAGAGAAATTAAGTTGCTTAAAGAGCTTAAAGATCCAAACATTATTGAGTTGATTGATGCATTCCCGCATAAGGGGAATTTGCATCTTGTGTTTGAATTTATGGAGACGGACCTTGAAGCTGTTATACGAGATCGAAATATTTTTCTTTCACCAGCTGATACAAAATCCTACCTTCAAATGACACTAAAAGGCCTTGCTTTTTGCCACAAGAAATGGATTTTGCATAGGTAGAGTATCATGCTGATTTGGTCATTCCACAGTCTTTACTTGATTTAAGTGCCAAGCTAAGCTCAAAAGTCTTCTTTCATATTTTCAGGGATATGAAGCCAAATAATTTGTTGATAGGATCTAATGGACAACTGAAACTAGCAGATTTTGGTTTAGCGCGAATGTTTGGAAGCCCAGATAGAAGGTTCACGCATCAGGTTTGTTTCTTTATGTATAATGCCCAGATAGAAAGTTTGTAATTTCGCACTTTCTATTGTTGGATTGAGTTTCTTGAATCTACACACAACACTTACGCTTATTATACATGAATAGGTTTTTGCTCGGTGGTATAGAGCTCCTGAGCTATTATTTGGTGCCAAGCAATATGGTTCAGGGGTTGACGTTTGGGCTGCTGCTTGTATATTTGCTGAACTTCTTCTTCGTCAACCTTTTTTGCAGGTAAGAAGATTGGCATGTTGACTGCGTCATATGATTTTATTATGGTAAATGATTGATGTTCTGAAGTAGATGGGTTTTTATGTTAAGTGTTGTCCATTTCTTGAAACATTTTATCCATTTAACTTTATCAACCAGTTGACATTAAATTGTTGCAGTTTGAAGTCCTAATCATTCAAAACTATTTTTACTGAGCTTGAGTTATCTCTGAAGCTGTTGGCTATGGTGTTTGTATGCATTATTGACAAATAATTGGGCTTCCGTCTTATTCCCACTCTATAGTCTGTGATTAGCCTTTTTTTTTTTTATACAATTTTCAAGATATAATGTCATTCATTGTATTGGATGATTTTCTTCAATTTTTATATTATAATAATCAAGCATGTTTTTTTAGGTTTTCTTCATCAGTTTGTCTTTATCATTTGGTAGGGTACAAGTGACATTGACCAATTAGGAAGGATTTTTGCAGCATTTGGCACTCCAACACGTTCTCAGTGGCCTGATATGGTATACCTGCCTGCTTATGTTGAATACCAATATGTTCCTGCCCCTCCCCTGCGTTCTTTATTTCCAATGGCAAGTGATGATGCTTTAGATCTGTTGTCAAAGATGTTTACATATGATCCCAAAGCTAGAATTTCAGTGCAGCAGGCACTAGAGCATAGGTATGTGCCTTTAAGATCCTACTATGACATCAAGGAATTTATTTTCTCCACAATTAATCTCTTCTCTTCTACTTTAGGTATTTTTCTTCTGCACCTCTGCCATCAGATCCAAACAAGCTCCCTAGACCTGCCCCCAAGAAGGAATCTAGAGTTTCTGATTTCGCTGTGCAGGAGGGTCCTACTGTATTATCACCTCCAAGGAAGTCTAGGAGAGTGATGCCGGGACATGATGGATTTGAAGGAAATTCTCTGCAAGCAGATAAGATTGACGGCAATTTTGGTGATTTCAGACAGACAAATGATGATAATACAGGCAAGAATGAATCAGCTCCAATGTCTGTAGATTTTTCTATCTTTGGATTAAAACCTCCAAATAGACCTACAATTAACAGGTAAAATAGTATTGATCATCCAATCAATATAAAATGTGCCTAATAGTTTGTAATTTTAACTCAATCAAACATAAAATTATTTCATTCAGTTCAATGCTGTCAGAAGAAAATAAACCAGGCTAATACAGAACCACATTAAACATATCGTGTGAGGATGTGCCAGATGATTTATTATCTTTTTGTTTCTACTTGTAACATGCTATAACATGTTATGTTGTAATATCCTAGTTAATGTGCCAGATGTTTGTATCTTTTAGTTTCTACTCCGAAATGATGTTATTTAATTTTTGTTCCATCTTTTTGTTCTGCAGTGCTGACAGATCATATTTAAAAAGAAAATTAGATCTAGAATTCCAGCAGCCAGAATAAATACTCTATGGCCAAAGCATTTACACCAGCTTATGGAGGGTAAAATACATTTGAAGAAATGCAGTGAATCCTCGAAGGCTTGTTACTACATCATTCTTTATCTCTGTTTTCTGGTGGGAGGCAACGATATATAAGTATATGTTTAAAGGAAGAAGTGGTAGTCACCGAAGACCAGCTGTATTTCGGAGACCAAAAGTAACTGCAATAGTAATTTAAAAAAAGAAAGAAAGAAAGAAAGAAAAATTATAGTTATCACATTCTCACTCTGGTCCTCCTTGTACATTTTTGTTCTTTAACGTTTTAAGAGAACTTGCATACTCCAGGCCGTGGAAGACATTGTTGAGTGTGAAGAAATTTCTTCAGCCAATGCTGTATCTGGTACTTGAAAAAAATAAATTTTGGGGGATACTGAATTTACAACTTTGTAGTTGAACATAATGGAAATTCTTATATGCTTTGGTGTGTATAATATGTGTGCATTGTCGAGTGCTTCAGACAGGTAAATCGGTTGAATTTTTTTATGGTGTTCTACTATAGTTGTTGACACTAAACAGCTACAATATTTCTGATGCTTCAGCTTGGCTTTAAATTAAGTACAAGTTCGAGATGACATGAGCATGGAAAAAATTGGGTGGAATCTTATGTAGGTGATAACAACAGAATCATCGATTGACATGTGATATTATGTTTTAAATACTCGGTGCAATGATATTTTTTTGGGAAAAAGCCATTAGTAGAGATCTTACCTTAAATGTAAGTCTCACTATGGGTTGGTTTAGTTTAAAGGTGTTAGTAGATTTATGTAGCTGATCCCACTAGCTGGCATCATGCTTGGTTATTGTATTTGGTCATTTGAGTTGTTACTTGTTTTCCCTCCCAAAAGTTCTTTAAATGTACGTCTCCCTACTATTATTTTGCAATCCATCACGGTTCTTCCTTTTGACAATACTTTTTCCAGTGTTCGGAGCTGTATAAATGTGTTCTTTGGCAGCAAGTTGTGTTCAGAATGATAAAACCAATAAAAATTTTAAATTTGAGAAGAAAATCATAAATTTTAATTAATTAAATTGAGATATGTCATCATTATTAATATATGTCATAAATAACATTTAAACATTAAATTTAAACTAGGACTAAATTTCAATATTAAAATTCAGTTTATTTTGCAGAGAAAAGATATCTTTAATTTTTTATTTTTTATCTTTTTGTTACAAGAATTCTGATGGAGAGGGCATATTATCCTGTTCATAGGTAAGGAAGCTACCAAGATTAAAAAGTGTTTATGAAAGACCTATATTCACTTTACCCTAAAAAAAAAAACAGGAAGAGTTCGAATTTGCAATATGTCATATAAGATATCTTCAAATTCATGTAGTATATATTAAGGTTGAAAATTTAAAATTAAATTGAAATTATATTTAAATACTAGTATTTAAAAAATATATAAACTATAAATAAAAAAATAAAATTAGATAATCAATGCAAAAATCGTCATATTACACGAGAAAATAAAACTTTAAAAAAAAAAAATTTTAAGTGAAAACTCAAACTTATGATACAAGTGAGTAAAAATAACAACCTAAGTGAGAATAATTAAATCTATGAGGATAATTTAAGGATAATCTAATTTAGAATAATTCTAAATTTCCTTATATCATCCTTGTATTAATCTTCCAACTTATCAAATAAAAAATATTAAATAATATTTTTGTTTTTAAAATATTAAATATATTGATTTTTGTTTAACAGTTGAAAAATATATAAAAACTAATAAAAGGATAATATTACCACAACTCTTTGACCGGAGATCAATCAAACATTCACTCCCCTTGAATTATTTTTTCCTAATTAAATAAAAGAAATTAATTAGAATATATTAATAGTGTAACATTTTTTATACTATCATCCAATTATGAATTGTCAAATAAATAAAAAATATTAATTTTTATAATAATTAATTTATAATTTATATTTGTAATATATTTTATTTAATTAATAATTTAATTTTTCATACCAACTGTCCATCAAAATTAAACTCTTAAATAAATTTGACAACAACTCTTTTATTACTTTTATCTTAGTTGTGTTGTGATTTCCGTCACAATATCATTATTGATCAATTGGATTTTACTTTAGTTTAAAGGTGCTAGTAGATTTATGTTTAGAAAAAATAAATATGTGGAATAAAATTGTGGTTTTATGTTTAATTAAACTACCATAGCCATCAAGAAAGAGCATACAAAGAAAGTCAAGAGAAAAAGATAGATTGGAAAGTGAATATGGAAAAAGACAAGTTCTTCTCTCTAAATCATAGTATATAAAAATTATAGATTTAAATTTAAGATCTTTAAATGCTTTATGGTAATTTTTTTCTGAACTGTGTACTAGGAAGGATCGTGCTTGGTTACTGTTTTGGTGCAATGATTAAATTCTCCTTCCAAAGCCATATTTTGTTGGAAGATATGCATATTTTTTTAGTTTATTATAATAAGTTTTATGATTAAATGTCACAAGTCTTTATGTGATTAAAAGTTTATAAGCGCTTAATTAAATTGCTTATCCAAACGCATTCGAGATGTTGTTTTTCTGTTGTAATTAGAACGTCCAAATGCAAGTCTCCATGATTTTACTTTGAAATCCATGGTCCTTCCAATCTTTATTCAACATCAATCTTTTGATAGCAGGTTTTCTGATCACCATGGAAACACCAATAACTATAAAATGATTAAGGAATTAGTTCCACTTTTTGATTTGGTAACATGTTGTCTCTAGTAGTTGGCGACATGGTTGAGCGTTCAACTCTGCTTTGAGCTTTCCTTGCCTAATAAAAAACAACAGTGTAAACGTAATCACTACGGACAAAGTAATTATGAACAGAAAAGAACAAAAATCAACAAAGAAAGTTGAGAATTCCAAATTTTCTTACTTCTTCTTCCCAGTTAGTTCGAAAAGTAATGATAATGTAAAATGAAACTTGTATAATAAATGCAGAAATGATTCCCAACCATAACCCCTGCATGCCAGAAAAATACAGTCAACACTTGCAAGGCATTAAGAAAAACGAGTTAAAAATTATATATAACAAAGTTTTAACCTTGGCTTTCATGTGTAGAAGAAATGCTAATACAGCAGCACAAGGAACACCCACAAGATAAAATGAACCAAGATTCACATAGGCACCAATCTTCTGCCATCCACATCCTGCAAGAATTCCTGGTTGTGGACACACAAATTGAAACTGCTAAGTTGGCAGTGAATAGTTCTGAAGGGTCATGTAATTGAAGACTTGGCTCATTGTGATGCCCTATGTCCAGAATTTGACTTAGTAATGTTAATCAGTAACACACCTTAGTATAACTCACTGGTTGAACTATACATATATACATTTTGGCATTTATATAAAATAAATAAATAATTATACATATGATTAATTTTTGGTTGTTTAAAAAATGAGGGATGAGTGTGAGAAATAATGTACCTGAAAGTGCACTTTGGATCCCATCTAGGAAGCTGGAAATGGCCAAAATTGGCATCATTACTGACACATATCTGATTACTTGTTTGTCATCACTATAAACATGTCCCCAGACATTTCGCAGTACTATCATCGTTGAAACTAAAAGCATCCCTTCAATGAAGGCTATGGATAGCACCACCCCAACTGCTAGACTTGCAGCTTGTGAATTTCCAGCCCCTAGTTCATTGGAGACTCTAATGCTGTCATACAATTAAAGGTCACATTCAGTTACTCATATCACACCTCTATTTCATGTTATAGATTCTTCTCTCTGCATTTGAACCTCTAATTACACACAAGCCCAGTTGCAATTCAGCAATTTAACATAAAATACCTTACAGCAGCACTGAATCCAAAAGGGATCATCCATGCTAAACCAAATGTATTAAGGCTGGAAAGATAAAAAAAATAAAAAAAATTAATTCTTATATCCACAATTACACATTAGGATACAGGATAATATATAGTGTAGTTTTTCTAACATGTGCTCAAGATTATCTATTAATAAGAAATAATTAAATTTTGTAATATTTTTAATAAAAACTTACTATGCATACATTTTTATCGTGAGATGTTAGAAAAACTGTATATAATACAAGAAAAAACCACACGTGTAGATACTTTTGAGTATGTTTCTTAGTTTTTGTGTTATTAGTTTGGATACTAACCATATTGAGAGCACAGAAGTTTCTAACACTGGGTTAGGAAGAAGACCAGACAAGAGGACCATCAATTCAAATGTCCAGACTTTCAAGCTGTTCAATGTTAACGACAAAAAAACAGGCTGCATAAAATAAAGCAGAATCTAGTAAAGAGGATATCATTGCTTGGGAGTTCAAAAAGGTTACCACAGCATAAGAGCTGAAGGAATAGCCAGTTTAAGGAAGTCAAATAGGTTGTGCAAGGCCCTACTTGAAAATCCTGTCCATGATTGTTTGCAAGAAGAAGAGAACTTCACATAAATAGAAATCAAGATCACATTCACCCAGTAAGATATTGAATTGGATAAGGCTGCCCCTCTGCTTCCAAGCCTTGATTTGAAAACCAAAACCCAACACAAAAGAACATGAAGCAAAGCTGCAATTCCAGAGGTTAGCACCATTGGGAACACAATGTTTTGGGTTTGCAAGAACTTGAGAATGCACTGAAGAAGACCGTATGCAAATAAACTTGGGATCATGAAACGGGCATATGAGCCAGCTTCCTTGGATATGGCTTTGTCTTGGTGCATAGCTTTAAGAATTGGTTCTGTGTTTGCCCATATTATGGCTAGGAACACACTCATTATTAAAACAACAACCATTGATCGTTGCATGTGTATCCCAAGCATATGGTACTGTCCTGCCCCATTTGATTGACCACAAAATGTGTCCAATGCAGTCGCCAAACCCATCTGATAAAAACATTCTCTCACTCATAATCATTCAAAACATTGACAAATGAAAATGTTGAAAATAATTAATTAACACTTGTTATACACTCAACTAGAAATTCATCATTATGTTCTTTTTTCCTTACTATATACCAAACATATCCTCAGTCAACGGCTAAATACTAATCCTTTAAGCCATAAAAATTACTAGAGTAAGTTTTGCATCACTCAAACAATAAGTTGCTTGATGCAAAGAAAACATGGGAAATATTTTTTTTACCATGGAACATACCAGTAAGTTGAAGCCAGTAACTGATGCAAAGGAAGTGGCCATGGAAGCACCAGAAAGAGGGAGTGTCCCAAGATGGCCAACAAACATGACAGAGATGGTTTGGAGAATGTACTGTAAAATTCCAACAGAGAAGAGAGGCACTGCTAACCATAGCTGCCTCTTCACTTCTTCCACTACTTCCAGTCTCCAGAATTTCATATCTTCTCTTCTAGCTGTTTTCGGTCAGTTTCCTTCAGATACAGAGACTCTGCATTGTTTCATGTTCGATGTATATGTATATCTACGTGAACAGGGACGGTCTCAGGAATCTACGGCCGAAGGGTCCACAAATAGATATTTAAACATTAAATATATTAAATATTAACTAAATATTAATTATAATATTTTTTATTCAATATCATAAATTCCATTTACACTGTATTTCTCTTTTTTTAATTTAGTTTGTCTTGTGTTATTAATTATTACAACATGTTATATTGAAAAATATATAATTTTTATCAAATAAAATTTCATTTATATGTCTACTTTTAAGATTATTTATATTCATTTATACCCCAAACTTTCCAACAAATTTGCGAAAGTTACAAAATATAAAATACCCACGTCAAGTTGAAAAATTATTCTCTAAATGCACACGAAGTCTAACTAATTACTTAAATATATATAATAATGAAAATAAGTTACGTCTGCATAATTTTAAATAATTAAATTAAAATTACATATATATATTTATTTATTTTTGCATATTTTTATTATTTCAATTCTACGAATCAACACGCACAAATATTATATTTAATTTATATTAATATATATTTTTTGATAGATTATGAAGAGAGCAACCATTGAAAATGCAAGTTCATGAAGTAGTTATTTATTAATTTTGTTATGTTGAATTTGAATTTATATAAATTATTATAATGGTTTCAAATATTTAATTAACATTGTGTTGTATACTTAATTACTTTATTGTGTTTGAAATTCAATTTAAATTTAGTTAAGTACTTTGTTTGAGATTTTTATTTTTAGTAAAATTTTTGGCTGTTCAGGATATTTTATAAATATTATATAAAATAATATTTTTATTTAAATTAACTGTGTGTAATAGATCAGATACAAGTAAGAATATCTAAGTATCCATAAATTATATGGATTAAAATTAAACTTATCACTTTAGTAGTTTTTGAAAACAGAAGTATAGAAAAGAATGTTGTAACACTTTAAAAAAATTACTTTAAAACAGAAGTCTTTTGTTTTGTGTATTAAATTAAAATAATTTTTTTAATAAAAATTTAAATGTATATTAAAGGAGTATTTTAAAATTTACTAAATTTTAAATATTTTTATTATTAATTAAAAAAATTATTATATTAAATAGATAAATTTTTAAAATAAAAAAATTAATATTTTCATTTTTTAATTTAGAAGTTAAGTTTTAATTTTATCATTTTAACTTTTTTCTCCACCCTTTCCTTATTCTTATCTTTTTTCTTTTTCTCAAGGTGCAATCTTTACACTTGTCACCATACAGTATTTTTGTTATGTTACCACTGTTATCATACTTCTCTTTCTCTTCTACCACTCTTAGTATAGCAGCTGTGTGCTGCCCTATGGACTTTGAATCACACTGTTAGCCTTCATGTCAGTGCCACAAAATGTGTAGTAACTTGTGATTACTGATCAGTTCTGCATCATCAATTCCACCATTCCTCCTACTTTGAGAGATTTTGAGGAGAGAAAGAGGAAGAAAAAAAAAAAGAGATTTAAAGAAAGATAAATTAAAGCTCAATTTTTTATCTCAGGATGCTGAGTTAAAAATTATCAAGATATGATAATTTTTTCAACTTTATACATTTTAAATATTTTATAAAAAAATATTATTTTTATATTTTTATAAAATAATTATGTGAATAATTTTTTGAAAAATTGTATATGAATAATTTTATAAAATATATTTTAAAAATTTTATATTTTTTCTAATTATAATTTTTCTAAAAAATTAAATTATAAAAATTAAATAAAATTATTATAATTTAATATCAAATTTTAACATTATACATACATGAAAAATAATTTTTTTAATTTTTATATTATGAATCTGAGTTACCATTCTTGAAAATAAGATAAGTCTTCCTTTCTCTTATAGTTACCTAATATTCTTATCTTGTGGCACATATCTTATAAACTTATATATTAAATAAATATTTTTTTTAAAAAATAATTATCTAATTAAATAAGTTTTGTTAAAATTCTTAATTATTTTAATTAATACTTAAATATCTTCAATGAATATTAGATACATTAAAATATTTACAATCATTATTAAATAATATCATATTGATTAAGTTAATTTTTAATTTTCTAAAATTAAAAATTTTAAATGATTGCATGTTTTATTATTAAATTATATTTTTTTATAATTAATATTTTAAATGTTAAAGTGATGTATATTTGCTGTGAATTGTGCAACTTCAAGTAATATTTTTGTATTATTCAAAATAAACTTAGTTTATAAAATAGTTAAAATGAAGAATTCAAATACTAATTTATTTCTTTGTTTTTTAAATTATGATTTAATTTATATTTATATTTAAAATATTATTATTATTATTTAACTTTACTATTTACTAAACATTTGAAAGTAACATAAAAAAACATTTCAAATTTATGTTATGCATTCAGTTATAATTAAATAAAATTTAGTTATTAAAAATATTTAAATATATAAATAAAATTAGGCATATTATAAATATTTTAAAGATTTATTTATACATTAAATAAACTAATTCACATTGTTTCAAAACACAATATTTTCGTTATTAAGTGTACCTCACACAAACCAAACTAACTAACTTATGCTCCATTACTTGTGAAACCTGCTTTATCACTAAAAATATTTAAATAAAAAAAAAACAAACATTATATAAATTATAAGCTTTAAATCACATTTGTTCTGTCAACTTGCACCGCTCGAACCCTTTATGTGCAAATTTTGATTAAAAATGTTCTAAAATCAAGTTAAAAAATTATAGAATACTAAATTAATTTAATAAAATAAAAAATGATTTTTTTATGTTTAAAATTAAACAGAACTACAAACATACTAAATTTAAATTAAATATTTTATTCTATTGTTGTAGAAATGCTAATGTAAAAAATTTATATACCAATTTAAGACTTTATTTATATTTTTAATTATTATATTTTATATATTTTCTAACTAAAACATTAATTTTTTAAAAATGTAATAAAAGTAAAATTAAATTAACTAAGCTAAACTAAATTATAAAATTTTTAAAATTTAATTTTAATATTATTTTTAAATTGATGTAAAATGAAAAGTAAATTTATCTTATAATTCGTTCGAATAAATTTTTATTTCAAAGTTAGTTCTAAATTTATATAGTATTTATGGGCTAATTTGTGTCACTTTCCATTGCATGCATTGAGGAGTCATAGTCCAGTTTCATGTTCATCGGCTAATATTTGTCTCGTTTCTTGTGAACCGTGCTACCGACACATAAGGTTGGGCTTACAAAAAATATCTTATACTTATTTTACGAAAAATACTATTTTTATTTTTATTAAGTTTTGTAGAGTTAATGTGCTAAAGATGAGATACCATGTGTTAAGGATTTTTTTCCCCCCTTTCTTACTATAATGGATAATTTTATAAAAAAAAAACATTAAAAATATTTTTTAAAAATGTAAAAAGTAAAAAAAAAATATTTCAATTGTTATTTTTTTTTGTAACATAAGTTGTTATTGATTGTCTCTTAATTACTAAACTTTAATACTTATCCTTCCTTTTACACTTTAATATTTATTTATTTATATTATTATTTTATAAAATAGTAAATAACTGTTTTTTGTAACTTTACCCTTAATAATTAATACATATTTGATGGAAAATAATAAATAAAATATTAATTAATTTAACAAGTAAAAGTATGATAAAAAATTAAATAAAATTTTTATAAAATTTAAAATATCTATATTTTCAGCTATTTCCTAGAAAATAAATCCACAAATGCTCATAAATTTGTTCTTTGATTAATTAGATTGTTTGGTAACCATACATCCATAGAAGAGAGGGTGTATGTTGGTTTTCGTTAAAATCTTGCATATCACTTTGTGCAAATTGGTATAAAATTTATTTGTACTGTTTATCTTCTTTTCCTATAATATTTTAGTTTTTATACAAAATCTTAAATGTCAAAAAAATTTTAAAAATATTTTTTTATAAATTAAAATATAATTAATCAACTTGACACAAACAAATTAAAATAAAAAAAAAATTCCAATTTGCGTAAAGAAACATGATGCATGTCAATAAAAGGCACAAGCTGTTACATTAGCATCCATTATGCATTGTGCAAGCTTTTGCTGTTCTCTTTGTGCGCGTTTTAAAATAGTCTAAAAGCATGAATCTAACATCATAAAATAATATTAAAGTACTTAATTTTCTTAACTGTAAAATGTAAGAAATGTTGCTTTTCTAATGTTCTATAGTGAAATAATTATTTATAAACTGACTTGACTTAGTAAAGAATAAAACAATGAACATTGTTTAAAAAGAAATTATAAATATTATTGATTCATAAATAAACTTTACATAAGATGTTGGTTTCAGAGAAAAAGAAAGGTAAAATTCTTAATTTAAGGTTAACTAAAAATCCTAACTAATGACAATGATAGGTCAATGTTAACAGATTTACTCTATGGTACCATATCATAAAAACTATATTTTTTGTTAGTCTTTCCTTCTTTTCATATTGAGTGAATATTTTCTAAAATGCCCTTCTCTTCTTTCTGGTAATTTGAAGAGTAGTTTAGGCTTGAAATTAGTGACTTGATCTGTTTGTATATTATTAACAAAATGACATGTTTGGAAATAAGCTTAGAGAATCAATCACACAAAATCCAAGGCATGAATAATAAGTTTCATAATTTGTCTAAGAGAATTACTGCTACATTGCCTTTAAAAGCTAAAAGCCTCTATCTATACCTATCTATAATCACAAAATAAAATGTATTAGAATAATGGTGACATATGATTCGATCCTTCACTCCATTACCTTGCTCTTATCCCTGATATATATAGAATATACTCATTTGAAGATTTAGTTTCTGATTGAACTCAAGGTTATCTTAGAACTTATAAAAAATTTATTGCCACGTTAGCTTTTACTGAAACTGTTAGATTTAGGAATGTTCATGAGATTATGACTTCAGCTCTCATTGAATCATAGATTCTATCCTTAGCCTTCTTTGCCTGAAAATGAAAGGAAATTTCAGAAAAATATAATCATATCAATGCTTATCTAATAAAAAAGAAGATGAAGTAGATAAAATAGAAATGAAAAGTTAACCTCTTGTTCCCAATCAGTTCGTATTGTAATGATCAAAAGACATGACACTTGAACAACGAGTGCACATATGATCCCTAGCCAAAGCCCCTATAAAAGTAGAATGGCATTTTTTTTATGAAAATGACAAATTTTAGAAAACTGATGAAGAAAAGTGGACATATTTTACCTTCCCACCAATGTGCAATACAAAAGCAAATAAGATAGCTGATGGAATCCCAACTAAATAGTATGATCCTAGATTAATGAAAGCACCTATTTTTTGCCAACCACATCCTCTAGCTGTTCCTGCATTAGAGTCAACAAAATGATTGGTTAACAATAAGTTCAAAAGTTGACCTGATCTAATATGCAATTAGGCAATGTCCACAATCCCACATAAAATTTGGATCACATAAACGACTATACCATTTATCACGGATAAATTTTTTTGTTATTGATATTATCATAAAATGCAGGCTGCTTTAGTTTTTAATCAGTACTTTCCACTTCCATTGTCCTGTTCCAATTCTATTGCTCATACAGCCCCTGCCTTGTCTTTTTTCTTTAAGCTGAATATACCATAGGGAAATAAAATAAGAACTTCAAAAGGATTTGATTACTTACTACTATAGCCATATTTTAGTGCTTAAAGGTTGTAGAAAGACAAACATGTCAATGTTTCCCTACTTCACAAGACTGAAAGGTTGTACCTGTGTCCTTCTCTTATACCCTTGCAATGATTGTCATGATAATGGATTCTCTCTCTATATTGTATTTTTACTTGACCCTCCCAAAAAATATTTTATCCTATTCTGACCTGTTTCTATTAGGACAATAAATAAAAAAAATAGAAACAAGAAAAACCTGAAAGAACACACTGTAGTCCATCAAGGAAAATGGATGAAGCAAGAATTGGCAACATGATAGCTACATATTTGACCACTTCTTCTTCATTACTGTACGCATAGCCCCAAATATTGCGTATTAGTATCATCACTGCTCCAACAAAGGCGCCCTCAATAATGGCCATTATAAAGACAAAATACACAGCTAAACGTGCAGCCCTTGGATAACCAGCTCCTAGTTCATTTGAGACACGCGTGCTGCGAAGAATCATGCAAGCTGTTACTATAATTAACCCACTTAAGACTACTTAATCTAATAGATTATAAATTTAGCTTTCTATATAAATATTTATTTTCTAAATCCCTAATTTCTATAAAAAAATCAACAAGATCGGTGCATGCACTACCGTTGAATTTCTTGTTTTTACCTCTACTATGTCATTTTCTTATAGTGATTTTATTTAATAGTGTTATTGCTTTGAAAGTTGCCCATTCAAGTGGTATATGTTGCCCACTCAAGCTATACACGTTTCATAATGTACATACGTGCTACTTAGTCATGCTGTCTTTGTTAGAAAATATTGTTTTCAAATTTGTTGTTCAAATTCCAGTGTGAGAGCAAGAATCAGTAGACAAAACAATGCATTGGAAATACTACAGGGATTTTTTTGTTATTTTAAGTCTATAATATATAATTATTTTTTAATATATCTATAAAAAACTTTATATGAAAAAAGATATAAAAAAATAAGTTACATCTTCTCTTCTATAGTATTTTCTTTCACGTACACCGAAATTTAAACTTAATAGTTAATATCACAAGTTAAACTAAAACAACTCTTACCAGTTGATTTTGATAATAGTGTTGTAAATTATTTTAAATTATAAAAATTTAATTAAAAAATTAATAAAACTAAAAAGGACTTGCATATTAATTTAATCACTTTTAATATTTATTCTCTCTTAGTGATCTCACAGCCGTTTTACTTTTTATGTGATAGACAATTTCTTCAAGATTTGGCAAGAGAGATTGGAAAAGCATTGAACAAGCATTGAACAGTATTGTATTGTATAAAAAAACTTCTAAGTCAAGTTGTTAGTCTCTACCATAGTAAGGTCAAGCAGAAAAATAAGAGCAAACATCCATGACATAATCTTATAGTGGGACTTGGTCCTTAGAGAGTGACGGAGTTTTTTTAAAAAAATTGTTAGCATTTTGATGTTTTATTGTTATTCCAAGTCAGGTTAGTTTAGCTACATTGTGACATGCGTAATGCAAAGAATCATACAACATATAGCTATATCTATTCAAAGCAAGAGACAAGTGCTAAAAGTTAAAGTAGGAAGAGGACAGAACATTTTGACAACTGTTTACTTTAGAAAATTGATCATGTATCTGAAAATTCACAAGAGCTACTTACCTTACAGCTCCACTGAGTCCAAAGGGAATCATCCAAATAGTTGTCGAAGTATTCAAACTGGTTAAACAGAAATTTGGGTCACACAATAATGTCAACTGTCAAATATGTGTAGCAATTCAAAATATAATGTATTATTAATATGATATAAAACTAACCAGATTGAAAGCACTGATGTTTCTAATTTTGGATTTGGAAGAAGGCCAGAAAGGAGAACCATCATTTCAAATGACCACATTTCCAAGCTGTTTAGGATAATAGAAATAAAAATTGGAAGAAGAAAAATCAGGATCTCAAAGCAACAAAATGTAACATCGACATACAAGAATTGTTGGTAAAAACTTATGAAGAAATTATACCAAACCATAACAGCCGAAGGAATTGCAAGTCTCAGAAAAGAGAGGATGCCGTGCAATGCTTCTGTTGAAAATCCAGTCCAAGTTTTTGAACATGAGGGAGAAAATTTGACATAGAGTGTTAGGATCAAGACATTTATCCAGTAAGATATAGCATTAGCTATGGCAGCTCCTTTGTTCCCTAGTCCAGATTTGAATACTAAAGTCCAACATATAAAAATATGTAACAAAGTAGTAACTCCAGAACTGAACATCATTGGAAATACATTATTTTGGGTTTGCAAGAATCTGTTCAGGCACTGAAGAAGGGCATAGGCAAAAAGGCTTGGAATCATTAGCTTAGCATATTGTCCAGCTTCTGCAGATATTTCAGGATCTTGGCCAAGGGCAATTAGAATGGATCTTGTGTTAGCCCAAGTAATTGCTAGGGGTATGCTAACAATCATAACAACAAGCATGGCTCTTTGCATGTGTATGCCTAACATATGGTGCTGCTTTGCTCCATATGACTGGCCACATACGGTATCCAATGCACTAGCCATTCCCACCTATTTGAACAATAATTATGTGTCAGAGAAACAAATTATGCCACCTTATTATGTGGAGATTGTTTGGCATAATGCAAATAATTGCTTTGAAAAGCAAAATTAAACTGAAATTATCAGTCTGTACTTTGTAATAGTGATTCAATATTGATTACATACAAACCGATCTTATTGCTTGGAAGTAAAATTGCTTATTTTTTCTTTTTGTAGATTTGTTTACTAATATACAACTTGGTTGCTTTCTTATTTAACTTGCTTCTCAACAAATGAGATTGAAAACCAGTGGCACGCTGTTCTACTTGCTTTGGTCCGTGGAACCAAGGAATAAAGTTAGAGATGATAATAATGAACATATTTATCTCATTCCAGTCATAATGAGCCTCTGCTACATTGTGTATGAAAAAAAAAAAAAAAAACTAGATAGGATTCCCTTAACCTCACTAGCATCTCATTTAAATGTTAAACACAAGCATCCAGTTTCATAAAAATAAAATAAATAATGCTTAGCTACACTTGCCACTACCAAACAACAGAAAACCAGAATTTAATTCGAAAAACAATTGAAAGCTAGAAAATTAATTCCTTAGGGTGGTATTGAAAACTCACCAATAGGCTAAAACCAGTGACAGAGGCAAAAGAAGTAGCCATTGAAGCACTAGATAGAGCGAGTTCTCCAAGATGGCCCACAAACATAACAGATATAACTTGTAGACAGTAATTTAGTACAGACACAGATATTAAAGGCCCTGCTAGCCATAACTGCTTCCTCACTTCTTCATAGATTTCTTCTCTTTCTATTGCCTTATCCTTGTTTTTTCGTATATTATCAACTTTGGCTCTATCTTCCACTGTTATATGAACCAATGGAGATAGCAGAGATGTCTTTTGATCTTCTCTGTCCATTGTTTAGTTGCAAAGACACACAAAATAGAAACATTGTTTAGTAGGCATATGCGAGATATTTATAAGAAAATTATTGAAGAATTGGACACTTTCGTCAGGTTGTCACGCACTTGGATATTTATATATCTCCTTAAACTAGCAATCTTTCTTGTCATCTCTCTTCAATAACTAAATTATGATATATATTGCTAGGCTGTCACGTACTTGTTGGGTTTGATTCATTTTGTATTAAAAAATTAACAAAATATTATATATTGAAAAGTTTAGCTTATTTTTGTTTCTATTATATCGAAAGCAATTTGGTTGGAAAATATCATCTTTAAATTAAAAAAGGTTTAATTTAAGATTTTACATAAAAGTCATAATTATTTTTAAATTTAATATATTTTAAAAGGAACTAGTAATTTTTTCATGCATTATACATATATCATTAAATTAAAATATTTTTTAAATAAATAAATAAAATAAAATATGTTATACAATTAATTTTAAATTTACTAATTTCATTGTAAAATAAATATTATAATAATAATATTAATAATAATAAATATTTAATATATTAAATAATATTAATGTTGAGTTATATATATATATAATATAAAAAACTACTTGACATGATAAAAAAAAAAAAAGCTAATTCTTAAGAACGCTATTTAAGAATTCTTCTAAAAATACTCTTGCACTTATAATTTATATGTAGATATTGATAAATATTTTATTATATTAAATACAAATATTAAAGAGATAAAATATATAAAATTTAAAAACAAATTAAAAAAATTCATATTTAATGTTGAAGAAGTCACATGACATAACAAGGAAAAAGAGAATTAATTTTAAAAAAATTCATATAAAATAATTCTTAAAAATAATGAAGATTCACAGTTTAAATATAACAAATAGATCAAGTCAAGATTTTTTAAAATTCTATTTGATTAAAAAAACTTTGAACGATTCAAAACATCTTTTCGGGTTAGCTCCCAAACTTATTTAAATAAATAATTTTGTATTCTAATTTTAATATATTTTAAAAATTTATTAAAAATACCTATAAAAAATTATTATTATTTGTAATAAAATTATCCAACATCTGTTAAAGCGTTAAATTAATCTCAAATATTTTTATCAATTAAAAATATATAGAAATAAAGAATATAAATATTTGTAAAAGTTTAAAGTATATTCAAGCGAATAATTTAAAAAAGAAAAATTCACATGATCTAGCTATCTGCGTTTCCTACAAGAGTTTCGCTTCTAATACTAATGAATTTTACGTTACAAATACAGACAACGGCATTGAAAAAATTGTAAACTAATATCATAAAAGATAAAAAAAAATATTATTAAATAAAAAAGATAGAAATAATTTAAATAACTGATCTAATAATTATATATATATATATATATATATATAATTTTAAATGACTCATCCAAATAAATTAAAAATAAAAACAATTTAAAATTCTACTTTTTCACGACTTCATTCCTGTCACTAGTCATGCTGGCATCTCCCTCTTTGCCATTAAGGTAAGGACATTGAGCATGGCCAGCTCCCATAGTATAACAGACGGTGTGTATAAAGCCCAAGAACAAATTCACCGTTCTATGGCTAACCGGGGATTACTAGCGATTTCATCTTCATGTAGGCGAATTGAAGCCTATAATTTAAACTGAGGATGAATTTTTGGAGTTAGTTCACTCTCACGGCATCACGATACTTTGTCCCGACCATTGTAGCACATGTGTTGCTCAAGACGTCAAGTCAACTTATTATCGACAATCTGCTCTGCAGGATTCCAAACTCAACATTGACAACTAAATACGAGGGTTGTGCTCGTTGTGAGATTTAACTCAACACCTTATGGCACGAGCTGAGCCATGCCAGCTTCTGAAAGGCATTCTTCTCTTTTAAGAGGATTCGAGGCATGTCAAGCCAGGTAAAGTTTTTCGCTTTGCATTGAATTAAACCACATGTTCCACCGTTTATGCGGCCCCATCAATTCTTTTGAGTTTCATTCTTATGAAATTTCTAATATAAAATTATATATTTTTTATTATAAAAAGTCCAACAAACGTATAATATATTACCAAAACTACTGCACTTTTTTTAATATATAGATTTCTACAGTCACCATGTGATTTGCAACGAAAAGAGACCATAAGAACAAAAAAATACCATAACATATCTACAAAGCAACAAACCGGAGCAGAAGAAAAATATACAACCAAATCATGTTACATTGATTTGCGTATAGTTGATTCACTCTCCATCTTCTCCTTTAAAAAATAATACAATTATATTTTTTTTAAATTATTAATTATTATTTAAATTTATTTATTTATTTAAATTTTTAAAACTATTTTAAAAAAACTGTTGTAATGATTAAAAATAATACAATTATATTTTAAAAAAATTATTAATTATTATTTTTATTTTATTATTTAAAGTTAATTATTATTATTACTGATATTTATTTAAAATTTTAAAATTATTTTAAGAAAGTATTTGAAGCACCAACTCTTGTTGAATTGCTTTATATTTTAATAATAACAAAAATTTATGTATACGTAATGTTTATTATAAAAAAGAGTAGAAGTGAAAAATAAAATGAGTAAAAGAGATAAATCAAAAAAAGACAGTGAATATATTTTATTTAATAATTATTATGAAAAATAAAAAATTATTTATGAAGTTACACTCTCTTATTCACTTCAATCCAATGGAATAGTTAAAAAAAATAGAAGTTTGAAAAAAACGATAATAAATATTCTTTTAAATGGTTTTAATGCACATGATAATCTTTGTAGTGAAACCTTATTAATAATATTTTTTTTTACAAAATATAATTACATGTAAAACAATATATGAGTTATGGAAAGAACATAAATTTGATTTGAAATTTTTAAAGGTGTGAGGTTGTTTAATTAAATCCTAAAAAAAGGAAAAAAAAGTTTTCAGACGTCAAATTGCATGTTTATTAATTATACTAATCATAGTGCTGCATATAAATTTTTATTTTTAAAAAGTAATATGCTTGATTGTAAGATAATAATTAAAACAAAAAATGTTAAATTTTTTTAATATGTTTTTCCATTGAAATTAAAAAATCTAAGTGAACCATGACGTTTAGTTTGTTTGATGATTTTTATAAGAATTTGAAAAGTAAAAGATAAAGAAAAGAAAATTATTTTAAAAATAATTTTTATACATATCTTATGATGATGAACTTTTTCTATTTCTTAAGTCTTCTCTTCACCTAATATATTTAGAGAAAAAAAAAGTTATCATAAAAATATTATGTTAAGAAAATTTTGAAAAGAAAAATTTAAACATGTCAAACTGATAGTCCTTGTGATGCTAACACTCAATTAAAAAAAAAAAAAGCAGGTAATATTAAATTCACTAATGGTTTTGCCTTCAATTTCGGTGGTCGTAGTGTAATGACTTAGAAATCAACCAAACAAAAAAATAATTGCAAAATTCACTCTGAAATCAAATTTATCAAATTTATAACTTGAGAGAAAACCAAAGCTAAGGTCAAGTAATTAAGAAATTACTTAAATAATATTTTATTTGGAAAAAAAAATCAAGCTCTTATGTGTTTATACATTGTAATAATAAAGTGGCAATATCTATTGCAAATAATAAAACCTTTAATAGTAAGAATAGACACATTAGGTTAAAATATGACATAATAAAGTAGCTATTAAAAGATAAAATTATATCCATTTACTATGTAAAGTGAACTTGGCAAATCCTCTAATCAAACCTTTGAGAAAGAATTTAATAAATAAAAAATCGAGAGAAATGAGACTTAAGTCCCTTTGATAGCTAACAACAATGATAACTCAACATTTATGAGTGGAGATTCATAAAAAGATTTATATGAGTAATAACAAGCCATTTATTAGTTTTGCACATTGTTTATTCTTTATTATGGTGTGAGAAATATGAGAAGTATTATAATGTATTAATGTGAGGATAAGTGGAAACTTTTAATGAATTCCATATATCTCACCTATTGTGTATAAAGTGTAATATACACACTATAGAACTACATATACAAGTGTGGAGTGAAGTCGCTCCTATGAGATAATAGCTTAGTCTTTAGACTAATCATGACCATTCAGGTATGTGCATAGTTGAAAAACACAAAACAATGTTAACAACAAAAGAAATATAAGGTGTAAATGTGATTAAATGAACTCTAATTTACATAAAAAAAAATATATTAATTCATAAAAGTTTTATATCACCAATTACATTGTTAGGTAAGATCTTATTAATTCATAGTTTAGAAGACACAAGACTCGAAGTATTTATATTTATGGTGTAATCTAATTTTAAAATTATTTATTTCATTACGTTACATTCTTTTGAATATTTAGAAGATTATTAAAAAATAATACAAGTATATTTCAAAAAAATTTATTAATTCTTATTTTTATTTTATTATTCAAATTCAATTGTTATTGTTATTGATATTTTTTAAAATTTTAGAACTATTAAAAAAAAATGTTACTAATATCAAAGCTTTACATATACATGAATGCTTAGACATAATGTTTACCTATCAGCAGTTACATTATAACCTATCGTTAAAATATTTTATATATTTTAAAAAAATAATACATAAAATATACTTCTTCGTTAATTATTATTTATTTTTTTGGGTTACAAAATTAACTTTTTATTAGTTCTTAGTAGCCTTGATCTTCAACAAGAGTCTACTAGAGAATCTTCAACTGTACTAAAATAATATCTGAAAATAATATTTTATTAGTCTCAAACTAACTTTTTTTAATGTCAATTTTATACGCCTCAAATTAATTTTTTATTAGTTTTTAGTAGCCTTGATCTTCAACAAGAGTTTGCTATACTTTAGAGGATCTTCAACTGTACTAAAATAATCTCTGAAAATGATATTTTATACGCTCAAACTAACTTTTTTTAATGTCAATTTTACAATACTTACAAAATAATTTTCTTTTCCTTCTTTTTCTAATGTTTATAGTTAATATTGAATGTTAAACTTAGAAACTTACATTATTTAATAATTTTCATTAAATGCAAGATTAATAACTTTTAATAAAGAGTTTGAAATACACAAAAATTAAATTGCTCTATTACCTGAACAAAATTTAAAATACAAGAGATCTTAATTATGTTTGTTGAGTGAATTAAATTTAGAAGACTATGTTTTCTGAAGTTATTGAATCAAAAACTCTGTCTGCGGCGTTCTTTGCCTGAATAGAAAACAAAGTTTCAGAAAAGACATGGACACACAACAAAACGTAAGAAGCAAAAATGAAAACGAAATAAAGGCAAAAGTGCACCTCTTGCTCCCAATCAGTACGTAGAGTGATGACCAATAGAGATAATACTTGAACAATAAGTTCACATATGATTCCTAGCCATAGCCCCTACAAAAGAATTTTAGCAAGCAAAAACAAATCAAATCATTCCAATGTTTGTGTAAAGAACTAGACAATGCTATTATTCAACAAATGATAGACATTTTATCCTTACCTTCCCTCCAATATACAATACAAAAGTAAACAGAATTGCTGATGGAATCCCACATAGATAATAAGAGCCTAGATTGATAAAGGCACCAATTTTCTGCCAACCACAACCTCTAGCTGTGCCTGTAATAAGTTAACAAATTGAATATTAATAGCTCTAACTAAGTAGCTAACATTTTGCAATTTTAATAGAATGCTTGCTTGCTGCAAGCTTTCTTTTTCATGATTCCTTGTTTTTCATGCATTAGTGAAGTTTAAAATAATTTATCTAAATCATACTTTTACATGATGATGCGAATAAAAATGCGAGTTTCACAGAAAAATGGTTACAACAAAAAGTTGGCTGTTTAAATTTCAATTGGAAATATCTCATCCACAAATTTTATATATTATGAATCCAAGGAAAATCAAATCTTATAGGACGCATTGAAAGTTTTGGTGTAGAATACTATGTGCTCCTTCGATTGAAGCACTAGTCCAATACACTGCTTCTGTTTAGTTTGTTCAAGTATTTATTGTGTTAAAGATAATAAGGACAATTAGATGAATTTTAAAATAATTTATTGTGAATATCCGAACTATAATGGTAACAATCTAAATCTGGCCAATGAATACAAGATTTAACCGCATGCTAAATGCTTGGCAAACAAAATGTTACACTACTTTTTCTTGACATCAAACACTTGTATTGACTTTCAGATGAAAAAAATAATAAACCTGAAAGTACACCCTGGATCCCATCTAGAAAATTGGATGCTGCAAGAAGTGGCATCATAATTGCTACATATTTGACCACTTCTACTTCATTACTATATACATAGCCCCAAATATTCCGCATTAGTATCATCACGGTTCCAACTAAAATGCCTTCAATAACTGTCATTACCACAACAACAAACACAGCTAAACGTGCAGCCCATGGATGACCAGCTCCAAGCTCATTTGACACACGAATGCTGCAAATAATTAAGCAAAAAATTGGAAAATATAGTTGATATCTATTCTTAATAAAGGGAAATATATTAACACCAATATAGCAAATATGTAATTTAGTTAAATGCTGAAATTTCCAACGAATTATAGAACTAGATAAACACTACTTACCTGATAGCTTCACTGAAACCAGAGGGGATCATCCAAACAGTTGATGCTGTATTTAAGCTGAGGAAACCAACAATAAGTTGGTGAAAATAATAAAAATGTCAAAGCTTGTGCAGGATTTTCAAGCTAATTTAAGAATTGTCTCAGATATGAAACTAACCAAATAGAAAGCACTGATGTTTCTAACTTTGGATTTGGTAGAAGACCAGATAGGAGAACCATCATTTCAAATGACCACATTTCCAAGCTGTTCAATGACATTAAAATCTCAAATTGAATTGAAAGTGTGAAGTTGAGAAAAGCAACAAATGAGTAAAAATCCTAATCAGTTATTAAAGGGTAGTATTAAAATATTATGGAGTGGAATTACCAAACCATTACAGCTGAAGGAATGGCAAGCCTTAGAAAAGAGGGAATGTTATGCAGTGCCTCTTTTGAAAAGCCTGTCCAAGTTGCTGCACACGAAGGAGAAAACTTGACATAGAGTGTTAGTATCAAAACATTCACCCAATAAGATGTAGAATTTGCTATAGCAGCTCCTCTGCTTCCTAGTCCATATTTGAATACCATAAGCCAACAAACAAGAAGATGTAGTAATGTAGTAACTGCAGAGCTAAATACCATTGGAAATACAATGTTTTGGGTTTGCAAGAATCTGTTTAGGCACTGAATAAGACCATAAGCAAAAAGGCTTGGAATCATTAATTGAGCATATTTTCCAGCTTCTTCAGATATCTCAGGATCTTGGCCAAGGAAAATCAAAATGGTTCTTGTGTTTGCCCAAATAATTGCAAGGGGTATGCTTACAATCATAAGAAGTAGCATGGCCCTCTGAGTGTGTATGCCTAACATGCGGTGTTGCTTAGCTCCATATGACTGGCCACACAAGGTATCCAAGGCACATGCCATTCCCAGCTGTCCTAATAAAAAACCAGTAGCAGCTTAGAGCACTCTACACGACTATTCATTACTTGCTTGCTTAATGCATCCAAATCCACGTGTCTTGAAAATAAGATTATAACTTCAACCTTTTATGCTTCAGAATTTCCAATGCTCAACAAATTTATTTCAAACTAGTTACAATGATTTCCTATGATATATTACAGCACGAGGATGAAAAACTAGAAAAGTATTCACTCTTACAGCCTCATTTAGCATATTAAATTTAATCACAACCAAATGATCCGTTATTGAAGCTTCAGTGCTAAACAAAAAAAAAAGTATAACTTTCCAGTTTCCACAACCACCAACGCAACCAAGAATCCAATATGTTAAGAGGGTATTGGAAATAAAGAGAAAAAAGTAAAAAGAAAGCTAAGTAAAACACAACTCACCAGTAAGCTAACACCAGTGACAGAACAAAAAGAAGTAGCCATTGAAGCACCAGAGAGTGGCAACTCGCCTAGGTGACCAACAAACATTACGGATATAATCTGTATGCAAAAGTTTAGCAGACCCACAGATATCAAAGGCCCTGCCAGCCATAACTGCTTCTCCACTTCTTCAAAAATTTCTCTTCTTACTGCTATACTTTTATTGTTTTTCAGTGTATCATTATCAACTTTGACTTCATCTTGTTCTTGACCTGTGATTTGAATCAAGGGAGACCGTAGAGGTTCATGCTGATATTCTCTCTCCATGTTTTTACAATGTTCAGTCACAGCCAGATTCTCATAGATGAGTTTTCTTGTATAAAAAATAATACAGTTCTGAAACTTGGAGCACATGCCTCTGTTTTTCTCTTCGGCTTTTATGATTCTGCGTTAGAAATATTGACAACCCAAGTTAAAATAATGTAAATTACTTTAGTAATTCAATATTGTAATTATTTTAAAAAGAAGTAATATTTTTTAAAATTAATTTTTTCAAGTAATAGTAAGTGGTTAAAAATTTTAATTGATCTCTAAATTACTCAAGAATTTATTTTTTGAGAGAAGTTTTGAATTTTATTAATGGATCGAGAAAAAAAAGTCAAAGAAAAAAGTAACATGTTATCAAACCAAACCTCATTACACAAGCATGAAAAATTCATGTAATTAAGTGATATGTTGCTAAATAACCTGTCCAACATCGCACAAGTAAAATGATATATTAAATCTAAATCTAAATCTATTATAACTTTTTCATGTGTCACCTTTTTTTTTTCTTCTATTTTTTCTTAGCAAATTAATATAAATTTTCATCCATGATTATAGCATAATTTTATTACTTATTTACTTTTAGTGCTTAATAATAAATTAATACTCATGATATATAATAAAAAAATTCAAAATCAAAATATAATTATTAAAATTAACTAGATTAAAATTACACATGAATTAAAATATAAAAACTAAAAATACACTTAGTATGTGTTTAAAAATAATCAAAATTACGTTATAGCATGTTTCAATGTAAAAGCCATAATTTTTTGTATTAAAATAATATACATTTGAATAAATTTGATGTTAATCAAATCACTGACAAAAACTTATTTATAATAATATTAATATTAATAAATACTAATACTAAGTGATTGTGTAATAGTCACGTGATAGCAACTAAAAAAACATTCATATGAAAAATGTTTAATTAACATTCGTTAAGGTTTAGTAGTAGAAAGATTAAATTGAATAAATAGAACAGGAAGGTTAAAGCTTCACTGAAGGTTCAGGTTTGTGAAAGTCAATTATAGGAGAGACAGAATCTTTATTTTGTAAGAAGATTAGTCACTTCAACAAGAATTATTAAAAAAAAGAATTTATTTGAAAAAAATATATAAATACTATATTTTCAATATATTTTGAATCAAACTTAATAAACATAAAAGTGAATAATTGTAAAAAAAAATTAAAATTGAATAATTATATATGTTTTAACATCACGAAAAGAGTAATCCAAAAAGGCTACTGCTATTCGGTACCAAAAAAATTAACACAAATTTCGATTATTGCATTTTTTATTGGATGAAGATAACAATTAAAAAGTAAATGAACAAAAGAAAGAGTCGAGAATCACAGACACATTAATCGTACAAGTTTAGTGCATCCAATTTCCTACTAAAGATATTGGTATCCTTTAGATACAAAAGTTGAGTGCTTACTGACAAAATTGCAAGTGGATCAATTGGTTTAACCAGTAAAAACGAGTAGAGTATCGTTCTATTGATAACTGAATTTCAATTACCAATTAATTCTACCAAAAGAAAGAACGCTAACAAAACTAGTTCCTCTTTCATCCAAATAATTGTTCTGCATGTGTTAAGATATTATAGCTTCACGAGAATATGTTCTCTGGCGTTATTGAATCATTGACCGTGTCTGAAGCCTTCTTTGCCTGAACAAGAAAATATTTCAGATAAAGACACAGATGAGCAAACCAGCATCACAAAATGAAAGGAACAAAGATTAGACAAAAAGGCAACAGTGCACCTCATCCTCCCAATCAGTACGTAAGGTAATGATCAGTAGAGATAATACTTGAACAACAAGTGCACATATGATCCCCAACCAGAGCCCCTACACAAGTATTTTAGCAGATAAAGGCAAATCAAATTGTTGCATTTTTTTTGTGAAAATGACAATAAAACAATACTGCTATGCTACAAAAATAAACTTCTCTTACCTTTCCTCCAATATGCAAAGCAAAAGCAAACACAACAGCTGATGGAATCCCAACTAGATAATAAGAGCCTAAATTGATAAAAGCCCCAATTTTCTGCCATCCGCATCCTCTAGCTATGCCTACATTTAGTTAAAACTTTGAAGGTTACTTCTATGTAGCTAACAATAACATATGCATTGTACTTGTAGTTTTAAACGAAAGCCACTTATCCATCAATTAAGCTCACAATAATTTTATCTGGATCATGCTTTTATGTGATGTGCAAGAATAAAATGCAAGTCTCATAGAAAAATGGCTACATCACAAGCTTGGCTTTTTTATGCCTCAATTTTGAGTATTTCATCTACATATTATATGCATTATAAATTAAAAGAAAATTAAAATCTGATCTACTGGATGTTTTGACATGAAATACTGTATGTTTCTGTCAATTCTAGTAAGACACTGCTCTAATACCCTCCTTAGCTTGCTCTAAGATTTCTTGTATTGATTCTGGTAGCACCTTTGGATGATATTTTAGAATTAGCTACTGTTACTATCCATACTAAAGAAACACAAAAGAAGAAGAAGGGCGAGAGAAAGCAATTGTATTAGCAATTTTTTCCAAAACTTTGCAGCCTCTTCTTTAATAGAGAAGCCTCTCATTCATTCTCCCCCCATCCAGTGTTTGTCACACTCTCATTCTGCTTCATTTCTTTTTCATTTTTTTTAGCTGTCATATCTTTCAACACCAAGCATCCTCTTAGAATTTTCATGAAACTTCAAGTTCTATCCATTTCCTAATTCTTGTTACATAATGTGACATTTAGGTGATTTTCTAGAATGAGGAACAGTGTTTTCAGGAGAAAATGACACTACTCACTCCTTTAAATTGGGTTATTTGAGATACACCCACAACTTAGAAAAATTGAGGAAATACATTATTAGTAGTATACATTTTCATTTTGATAAAAAGTGTATTTTAGATATTTGAATCTAAATATAAAGATTTTACACTTAAATAGTTTTTTAAAGCATTGCCATAATATTTGGTATCCAGCACTTAAATAGTTTTATAAAGTAGCTATGGTACAAAGATTTAACCCTATCAATGCTTCAGAGTTATAGCCCCCAAGTACAAAAGAAATAAGAGAAATGGAAAAGAAGAAAAACCTTGAAGTACACATTGGAGTGCATCCACAAAGTATAATATTGCAAGAATTGGCATCATGATTGCTACATATTCAACCACTTCAACTTCATTACTATACGCGTAACCCCAAATGTTGCGAATTAGCACCATCATGGTTCCAACTAGGGTACCTTCAATGACGGCCATTACTAAGACAATAAACACCGCTAAACGTGCAGCCCAAGGATGACCAGCTCCAAGTTCATTTGATACACGAGTGCTGCAAAAAATCACACAGAACACAACAGTTCACAGATGTCTAAGTTAAATAGTGAGGTTGCTATGAAATTGTAAAACTTGATAAGCACTAGTTACCTTACAGCTCCACTGAAACCAAATGAGATCATCCAAACAGTAGTTGCTGTATTCAAGCTGAGAAGGCCCACATTAGGTTGGAGAAAATAATAAAATAGTCAAAAGTATCTGAAGGCTCCCCTATCTAAGATAAGAATTGCAAAAGGTATCTCAAATATGAAACTAACCAGATGGAAAGCACAGATGTTTCTAACTTTGGATTTGGTAGAAGACCAGATAGGAGAACCATCATTTCAAATGACCACGTTTCCAAGCTGATTAGCATAGTGGGGGACAAAAATTGAAAACAACAGTGGGATCTCAAACAGAATTAAAGAGCAATGTTGAGAAAATCTGAAAAAGTGTAAATCTTAGTCAGTTATAATAGGTATATTAAAACATTAGAGAATTGAATTACCAAACCATAACAGCTGAAGGAATGGCAAGCCTTAGAAACGAGGGAATGTTATGCAGTGCCTCTTTTGAAAAGCCTATCCAAGTTTTTGCACACCAAGGAGAAAACTTGACATAGAGTGTCAATAGCAAAACATTCACCCAATAAGATATAGAATTTGCTATGGCTGCTCCTCTACTTCCTAGTCCAGATTTGAACACCATAATCCAACACACAAGAAGATGTAGTAAAGTAGTAACTGCAGAGCTGAACACCATTGGAAATACAATATTTTGGGTTTGCAAGAACCTATTTAGGCACTGAAGAAGACCATAGGCAAAAATGCTTGGAACCATTAGCTGAGCATATTTTCCAGCTTCTGCAGATATTTCAGGATCTTGGCAAAGGAAAATTAGAATGGATCTTGTGTTTGCCCAAATAACAGCAAGGGGTATGCTTACAATCATAAGAACAAGCATGGCCCTCTGCATGTGTATACCTAACATACGGTGCTGCTTTGCTCCATATGACTGGCCACATAAGGTATCCAAGGCACTTGCCAATCCCAGCTGTCCTAATCAAAACCCAAGAAAAATTTAGAGCACACTACACTATAGACTAGTCACTATTTCTTGCTTAATGCATCCAAATCAACCACTGCCTTGAAATTAGTTTGTAACATAAATGCAATTGACAATGGTCAACGCACTTATTCTGAACTAATTATGTCGACTTCCATTTATATAGTATGGCATGAAAACTCAAAATCTCATTTAGCACATTAAACCCAGGTAAAGGAGCCATTGTAGTTGCAGTGCTAAATAAATAAACACTCTTGACTGTATATTTTCCAGTTTCCATAAACACCAAGAATTTATTTTGTTAAATAGTTCTTCTAACATGTGTCCGATGACACACAATAAGAACTTTTAGATAGTAGGAAATTACAATGTATCCCAAGATCCAACACATTGATAATCTAAATAACTTAAATACTACAATTTTCAATAAAAACAAAAACCTATGTTAAACAATTTGGTGATATGAAGATAAAAGTAAAAGGAAAGAAGCTAAGTGAAACATAACTCACCAATAAGCTAAAACCAGTGACAGTAGAAAAAGAAGTGGCCATTGAAGCACCAGAGAGAGGCAACTCACCAAGGTGACCCACAAACATTAAAGATATAATCTGTATGCAAAAAATTAGCAGACCCACGGACATCAAGGGCCCTGCCAATCGTAACTGCCTCTTAACTTCTTCAAAAATTTCTCTTCTTTCTGCTACCCTTTTCTTGTTTTTCTCTGTACCATTGTCAACTTTGACTTCATCTTGCTCTGGGGTTTCAATCAAGGAAGACCGTAGAGATGTAATTTGATCTTCTCTTTCCATGTTTTCACTTAATCATTTATCAAGTCACTTGTACACTGACTCAGAAGCGAATGAAGGATAAACCCTCATCAATCATCACATCATCTTTGTCTGGATATTACAACTTGACTAGGGCATTGAAATGGAGGGAATAATTAATTACCATACACACTTACAAAACCAGCATAATTTTACCACAAATACTCTTTACAAAAATTTCAAATTTTTTTCTCTCTAAAAACTATTCCTGCTCTCTCAAATTAAAAATACATACCGCCTATTAATTATCATATATGTTATCATCAAAAAGATAATAAAGTATAAACTCAATAAAATTTTAGTTCCATGCTATTTTTAACTCTTAGGAATATCTATTATTCCAATATCTTTAAAGTGGTTATGTAAATATTCTAATTGAGAAATATTTTTGTTTCAAATATTTGATTCTTATCATATTTTAATAAACATGCAATAAGCTAAAAAAAAATAAATTTAGCAATGTGAATCAGAGTTACAGTATTAGTGTAAATGCATAGAATAGTCTCTTTATATAGTTTAGTATAAACGCATCTGCAATGGCATTGAAAAAGAAAATCCAAACGAAGCATACCAGATTCTGTTCCCATATCTCACTCTTGAAACTTGCCCTCATCTCACACCCAAAAAGAACCACCAATAACACTTCTACCAGAGCCACAAGAGACAAACACCCATTTCATAACAGAGGTCTGAACTCCACAAAGAGCACTCTATTTACCAGCCCATATTCATTTTTAGTCTTGATCATTCCATAACCAAAGGCATGGCTTGCCCAATATGCAACAGCATTGATGTTGTTTTAATACAAAGGGGAAGAGTGCAACAACTACTTCCAAACGTGATAAGCAGTACATGGATTATATAGCCCACATGCATGGAAGCTAAAATAGTTGTAATTGAAAGATTTGATATATCCTTACAACGCAAGAAAAATAGAACAAGTATGAACAACTCTCTATTATCTATGGAGGGTTTTAATGACTTGAAACACTGCAAAGGCCTGGTTCACCTAAATCAAATTGTTCATCATACTAGAAAAGATTATCATGTAAATATCGAAATTAACTCATAAAAGTCAAAAAGGTCAACACAACCCAGATAATTTCATACAGAAAATACCCCATATATTTAAAAAGAAAAGGAATTAATTAGTTCATTCTATCTAGCTACTGTAGTTGCAAATTCATAATCCTACTTTACATTCAATCTTGGATGCAAATATACCTGCCTACTTCCCGCTCCAAGCTGAGCTTATAGCCTTTGGCATCTGAAATAATCATTATATCTCAATTTTATTTCTATTTATTTATTTATTTTTATTGGTCCAGACTGTACATTTTCACTGTATCTCAATTCTCAACAAAGCAGCAGCTTAGCATGTACAGATAACATCTAAACTATCTTATGGGCTGGACTTCCAATGCAAACCAGTTTGGGCTTCTCAAAGCCATTTCGGGCAAGACATTCAAGTCCATTCACTCAAAAAAATAAAATAAAATTCAGAAGGGCAGATAGAATTAGTGCTCAAAAAAAGTTGAGATAATTGTTAGAGTTAACTGATAACTTTATCTATACTTTTCACGAGCTATCTGCAAACAAAATGAATAATATATACTATTTTTTTATCGTACAATGTTTATTATAAAAAATATCAATATAAAAATTAAGAAAAATCTTAGTAATATGTTATATAAGTATATTCTTAATTATTGATAAAAATTATATGGATATTTTTCTGTCTTACTTTTATTATAATTATTTTTTTCGTATTTTTATAATTTTTAATAAATTTGATTCAATAATTAGAAGTTTATTAAAAAGAGTGTTGTTAGCCTTCTTAAAAAATTAAAAATAAAACATTCTAAAAATATTTAAAAGTTAATCTTATATTATATGAAATAAAGTTTTAATATAGTTATTTTATCATTATTTTCCGTAACTAGCAAAATATAACATATCTTAACAGTGGTTCTAGTTACTATTATGATTTTATTAAGAAAAGATATACAAACAATGATAATTTAAAATGTGACTTGCAACGTGACAACGTTGTTGAAATTTTTTATACAATTATATTTTTTTATTATTTTATTTTTTTATGATTTTAGTATTACTTTATTACTATTCTCAATGTCATTTAATTATTATTTATTAAAAATGTAGTTTTTATAATGCTATTTTTACCCTCTGTATGGTTATTTGACTTTCATCTTTTATTTTATATGAATGGATATATATATGTCAGATATAATATTGTAATATACTACTTTATTACTATTTTAAATATGAATTTATTGTTAGTTTTTTATTCTATAAAAATATTTCAGTACAGATATTGAAAAAGTAGTGCAGTGATTGATGTATTTTTATATTATTATTATTTATTGCAATAGAATTTCATTTTTTTGGAGAAAAATGGCACTATTTGAATTGTTGATAGATTTATATCATAGAGAGGTGCTTAGATTTGGAGTATATTTTCAGTATTCCTATAGTACCTGCTCTGGCATTGTGATTATCTCACTTTATTTAGTAATTCTCATTTTTAATTAAAATAATAACCAAACAAAAAGTTGTTATTATTACTTTAAGTGAAAAGGTATAAACTACGGAAGTTATTATTATATATAATTTAAATCAATCTATACATGCACCCTAATTATAATCAATGATTCAAAATTAGCTTCCTTCAAATAAATTTTATTCAACTTCAAAAGAACATATTTCACCGTATAAATAGTCTCAATTCAAAATTTTCTTATGATCCTCTACGAACTTTTCTAAAGATATTTTTGATAAAAAGGAATATATAAGAAACAACTGAAAGAGCCTCCCAAAGATATTGCTTGATTTTTATCCGTTGTTTTTCAACTAGTAGTTTACAAAGAAACCATCTTCTGCTACAAATTTTTTCGTGTTGAAAAGAAAAGGATGGTCAGTGGAGCTGACATCTTTTGGGACATCATGCAATGACATATATTCTAGGCTATGTCCTGTCTGGTTTTTAGTGATTTTTTGTTCCAGATTAATCTGAGAAAATAATCTAACAGATAATATCGTAATCGTAATCTTAACTGCTCTAAAACAGAATTTTAAAATGCATATAAAAACAACTCAAGCACTCGCAGCCACTTACAATTTTCTAATCTCAAGGAACCGAGAATCCCCGGAGACTTGGATCCAGACCCAGCTTCCGATCTAGTTGGTGTTCCTACGTCCCGATGGCTCTAAACTCAGGTTTACCTACTTCTCTAGTTACAGAGAGAAGAGAAGAGGGGCTTCGTTCTGGTTTTGCTTCTGCTTCTGCTTCTGAGACTCACGTTGCTGTTGCTGTTGCTGTTGCTGTTGCTGAAGGGGAAGCGCACATTAACAATGATTCGCGTCCAGTTCCCCACGCTCCAAAAAAGAAAGTCTCCCACTGGACAGAGGAGGAACACAGGTTTCGTTATCCTTTAATTATATTATTTTGGTCGTCACCTTCATCTTTATTCCACAAAACTTGGAAAGTTTTTCTAATACGCATACAATTATCACATCACGAGATTAGTTATTAAAAGTAAGCATTGGCTGGCTATGCTCTGGTCACGTAATAATTTCAATTATTGATGCTTCATGTTTTGTCACCATGCATTAATTTGTATGATCTTGTAAGGATATTTTTTATTTCATTTCTTACTAATTACGCTATTTTTTATTATGTATAATAGGTTATTTCTTCAAGGGTTGAAGAGATTTGGCAAAGGAGATTGGAAGAGTATTTCGCGGTATTCTGTTGTGTCAAAAACTTCTGCTCAAGTTGCTAGTCACGCTCAAAAATATTTTCTCCGCCATAACAATCAGAAAAAAAGAAAAAGTATCCATGACATAACCACAGATAATGACTCCATCTCAGTTCCACCTTCAGAGATTGACTTGGTTTCAAATTATGTCAACCCAAACAATAATTTGGTTTCAAATTATGTCAATTTAGACAATAACTTTGTTCCAAGTTATGTCAACCCAGACAATAACTTTGTTCCAAATTATGTCGACTTTGACTTGGTTACAAATTATACCAGCGCAAATAGTGACTTGGTTCCAAATTATGTCAACCCAAACAATGACTTGGTTCCAAATTATGTTAACCCAAACAATGACTTGGTTCCAAATTATGTCAACCCAAACAATGACTTGGTTCCAAATTATGTCAACCCAAACAGTGACTTGGTTCCAAATTATGTCAATCCAAACAGTAACTTGGTTCCAAATTATACCAACACAAATAGTGACTTGGTTCCAAATTATGTCAATCCAAACAATGACTTGGTTCCAAATTATGTCAATCCAAACACTAACTTGGTTCCAAATTATGTCAACCCAAACAGTGACTTGGTTCTCCAACATGTTAACCACTATAATGTTCCATCATTTAACCATGAGTTAGTCCAACAACAGCACAATCCAATTGGCCAACCACATCAAATCATCGCAACCCAACACGATTTGCAACCTTTCCCTGAGCATATTGACTTCTCTCATTCACTTCCTCTCTCAAATTCTCAAATACTGCAATTGTTTAACCTCCTCGATTACAATGATTGGAATGACTTTGTACTTCATCTTCAACTGCGGCAATTTCCTCACTTGGTTCACCATCATGATTGGATTGCTCCACCCCACCGTTAAGTGCAATATAGTAAATATTTGTATAAAAATTTTATTTTACTATACAACATGAATATATTTTTAATCACACTTTGTAATATCATGTTCATGTTTGGATTGATTGATTTTGTATTAATAACTAAATATTTTAAGTTGAAAATTTGTTTATCTTTATTTTCAAATCTTCCAAAGCAATTTAGCTTAGACAACAATATTTTTTTAATCAAAAAGGTTTAGTTTAACATGTTTCATATTTACTAGAGTTTAATTTTAGGCATAAAAATTGATAAGATTGCTTGTTAAGAGCTAGTAGCCAAATTCGCACTAGCTCTAAAATAAGGCCACGTATGTTTTTGTTAGATTACTAAATTTTTTATATAATTATTAAATGAAAATTGATTATTGGAACCAAAAATTTTATAGAAAAATTGCGTGTTCTATTTTTTTTAGTTCTATAGCACCCCCGTTTTGAGAGGAAGTGAAAAAGGATGTAAAAGAGAAGTATTTTTTTTAATATTAAAGTAAAGTAAAATAATAAAATATGTTATAAAAATATTGTAATAAAGAAAGTAAAAAATTTTAGATTAACTATTTTAATTTTTTTTAACATAATTCAGTTATTTCTTTTCACTTTCTTATTTATTTAAACAAGCAAAAAATTAGTTTTTTATTTTATTTTAATCCATCTAAACGATCATATATTTTTTACTTTTTATTTTTATTTTATCTTTCATCCAAACGGGTCATAGAATAAGATAGAAAAATAATAATAAATATGATGAGTGATGTGACGTAATAAAAAGAGAGATATATTGAAATGAAATGTGTAAAAATTGTTATAGTCTATAAATTAAAATTAATAGAAATATTTGGCCAACTGAGTCATCTATATTATTTTCCTAACTCAAATGATCTAAATTAGATTATTCTTCCGTCATATTAAACTGCACTCAGACTTCTATCTCTACCAATAGAATGAACACAATGACTTCTCATTTTTAATCCTAACATTTGTTCTGAACGTGTTGCAATGAAAACATTACATCTTTAGGAGACTATGTTCTCTGGAGTAATTGAATCATAGACTCTGTCAATAGCCTTCTTTGCCTGAATAAGAAACAAAATTTGAGAAACAAAATATTGACACACGAGTAGGCATCACAAATGGATAAGATGAAAGAAAGGAAAAACAAAGATAGTAAAATTGGACCTCTTGCTCCCAATCTGTACGTAAGGTGATGATTAGTAGAAACAGTACTTGAACAACAAGTGCACAAATGATCCCCAGCCAGAGCCCCTTTAGTAGGTAATTAAAAACAAATCAACATATTGAATTTTTTGTGAAAATGAAAATAGATGAATAGAAAAATCCTGCTTTTACCTTCCCTCCAATGTTCAATACAAAAGCAAATACGATGGAAGATGGAATCCCAACTAGATAGTAAGAGCCTAGATTGATAAAAGCACCAACTTTCTGCCAACCGCATCCTCTAGCTATGCCTTCATAGAGTTAGCACTGTTAGATGATTTTTCAAATATGCTACTATCAATTAATATCTATACAAGACTGAACCTTTTCCTAAATGCTTGACAAACCAAATGTTATAATGTTATTTTTCAGCTGTTATTTGACTGAGTTTTTGCCCCCACTTAAACAAGAAATAAAAGAAATGACTGTTGAAAAGGAAAAACCTGACAATACAGTCTGGAAAGCATCCACAAAGCTAGATATTGCAAGAACGGGTAACATGGTTGCTACATATTTTATCACTTCATCTTCATTACTGTATGCATAGCCCCAAATATTGCGTACTAATATCATCACAACTCCAATAATGGAGCCCTCGATAATGGCCATTACAAAAACAACATACACTGCTATGCGCGCAGCCCAAGGACGACCGGCTCCAAGTTCATTTGATACACGAGTGCTGCAAAAATCACACAAGCATTACTGAAACTATACTCTATAATTATATCTATACTAGATCAAGTAAATTAGGAAGAGATAAGAACATTTGACATATGTGAACTTGGTTAAATGGTGAGATTGCCACAAAATTCTACTACATGATGAGCACTACTTACCTTACAGCTGCACCTAAACCGGAGGGGATCATCCAAACAGTTGCTCCAGTATTCAAGCTAAGATGAAATCAATAATAAAAAAAAGTCATAAAGTGTGTATAGGAAATAATTTTGAAAATATCTCCAATATTAAACTGCGGTTTTTAAGTTATATGCAAGGACACGTAATAAAATATTATATACAGTAAGTTTTTATTAGAAATTACAAATTCAAAAAATTTAATATATTGATAATGCTTTAATTTTCAATTTTACTTTTGCTGATTTCTTATTGTGCGCCATTGGCACCCATTAGAAAAACTGAATAAACTAACCAGATAGAAAGCACTGATGTTTCCAATTTTGGATTGGGTAGAAGCCCGGCTAAGAGCACCATCATTTCAAATGACCATGTTTCCAAGCTGTTCAGTAGAGTGGGAGACAATAATTAAAAACATCATGTAGACCACAACTAGAATTGAGAGTGTAATATTAAGAAAAGCAACAGAAGAATATAACTGCACATGGATAGATCAGAGAATAGAATTACCAAACCATAACAGCTGAAGGAATGGCGAGCCTAATAAAAGAGGGAATGTTATTCAGTGCCTTTTTAGTAAAGCCTGTCCAAGTTTCTGCACATGAAGGAGAAAACTTGACATAGAGTGTCAGCATCAAAACATTCAGCCAATAAGATATAGAATTTGCTATGGCAGCTCCTCTGCTTCCTAGTCCAGATTTGAATACCATAATCCAACATACAAGAAGATGTAGTAACACAGTAGCTCCAGAGCTAAGCATCATTGGAAATACAATATTTTGGGTTTGTAAGAATCTATTTAGGCTCTGAATAAGACCATAGGCAAAAAGGCTTGGAACCATTAATTGAGCATATTTTCCAGCTTCAGCAGATATCTCAGGATCTTGGCCAAGGAAAATCAGAATGGATCTTGTGTTTGCCCAATTAATTGCTAGGGGTATGCTGATAATCATAAGAACTAGCATGGCCTTTTGCGTGTGTATGCCTAACATGTGATGCTGCTTTGCTCCATATGACTGGCCACACAAGGTATCCAAGGCACTTGCCATTCCTGTCTGTTCAAATTAAAAACCAAGAGTAGCTGAGATGAGATCACACTACACCTGACTATTCATTGCTTGCTTGCTTAGTGCACCTATATCATCGACTAATGCCTTGAAAATAAATTTGTAATGTAAACCATTTACTTTACAATTGGCAGTGATCAACAATTATATTTTGAACTTCTTTTGTTGACTTCCTATGATATATTATGGCTGAAAATCAAACACAAGAGTAAGTCCTCAATCTCATCTAGCACATTACAATCAAACTAAAGCAAAGGAACCGTTGCAGCTTTGGTGTTCAATAAATAAACACCATTTATTTTCCTAATTCCATAACCACTAATACAAAACCAAGGATCAAATTTGTTAAAAGGCTATTTGGTGATATGAAGATAAAAGTGAGAGGGGAGCTAAGGAAAACACAACTCACCATTAAACTAAAACCAGTGACAGAAGAAAAAGAAGTAGCCATTGAAGCGCCAGAGAGAGCCAACTCGCCGAGGTGCCCAACAAACATTACTGATATAATCTGTATGCAGAAGTTTAGCAGACCCACAGATATCAGAGGCCCTGCCAGCCATAACTGCTTCTTTACTTCTTCAAAAATTTCTCTTCTTTCTACTACCCTTTTACTGTTTTTCAGTGTATCAACATCAACTTTGACTTCCTCTTGTTCTTGCTCTGAGATTTGAATCAAAGGAGACCGTAGAGATTCATGTTGATATTCTCTCTCCATGTTTACTTTTCAGAGGCAGGCTTTCTAACGAAAGTAATAATGCATTTCTAAAACTTGGAAGCTAAGAATTTAGATCATTAACTCCACAAGTCATGTTTTTATCTATAAAAGGAAAATAATACTAATCCGGGTCAATGACTCACATGATACTTAGTAATTTTTGGAGGAGTCGTCCATTCATTGCACTGCTAAGTCTTGAGCTTATCGCACCAAATCTAGCTCAAAATTGGTCTCTAAAAATAAAAGCTCACCTAAGGCTGCAGATAGTGGTTAGAATCACTTGTGGTGTTCATTAAACCACACAATAGAGAAGATTAAAAACCCACAATTTCATACTGAACCCTTCTTTATCTGTTTATGTATGTAAAATAAACAAAAGAGGCTCCAATTCTCCTATATCCATACTTGACTATGCCAAGCTTGCTTGCTTGGAAATAGTAAACTTTACAATACCTGGGTTGCTTGCTGGCCAAGCTTGCCATTATTTTGGTATCATTAATGATTTTGACTTATAATCAGTACACTTTTCAATACCCAGCTTTCTTGCTTGCACATGCACTATGCCAAGCTTCGACGTTGCTTATGACATTAATCCACTCATTCATATAAAATAACCACTAAAGAGAGTCATAGATAAGATTTTGATTACGCGTAACAATTAGCAAATGGGATGGGAACTACGGTGTAGGTTCTTCATCTTCTCGATTTTCAACTTAATTGTAAAGTAGTATAGATTTATACCTACAAATTATAAAAGATTTTCTCCTGAGATAAACTCGTGTGTCACAAACCAATTTGAAAATAGATTTTGATTCTCTCATGTTGTCTAGTAACATGATAAGATTATGATATAGAGAGAAAGACATGATTCTTATGAAAGTTAATTAATGAGTCCTTTAACTAATCATGGTAAATTTTGTTTTTCTCTCTTTAACATGACCATATTATGCTAGTTAATGGTGAATAATTGAACGTGCATCGTGAATAACTGTAAGTGATAATTTGGTGAAACTGAAGAACTGTGTAAGTTAACATCACAAAAAGAGTATCTACAAAGAGTACTGTCATTTGGTAAGGAAAAATTTAACACAAATTGCACAAAATACGATTATTGCATTTTATTGGATGAAGACGTAATTCGTATCAGTTTTTGCATCCCATTTCACACCAAAGAGCAATTTTCATCTACAAATTATAAGATATCATCGGTGTCCTTTTGATACTAACAGTAATTGAAACTAAGTTTTTAGTCCTTTCTGACAAAATTGGCAGATCAATTGTTTTAACCAGTAAAACCGAGTAGGGTATAACCTAATATCCATAACTGAATTACAGTAGAAAGTGAAACAGTTGAACAAACCAAGTTATTCTATATGCAAATGACTATGATTTAACATTTTTTTAAAAGAGGATCTTCCTTACATTGTGAAATTTTTGCACAATATACTAAGCTATGTGATACTTTATGTTTATATTTAATGGGACATTTTAAAATATCTTCTAATTGGGAATATACATGAAATGCCCCTTGTAGAACACAGATTATCTTCTTCTCGAGTTAGTCGTTTTTATTAAGTTAGGTCCAATTTATTTTCAGTATAATTTATCCAATTCTAATGTTGAACCATTTGATGATATCTAATTAATTGTATTTAGAAAAGTACTTTTTGCACCACCTTTTCTAATATTTGTACTACATATTTTGTTATCACCTTTAAAAGTTAAAATCTGGAAAAATATTTATAAATTTCATACAAACTTTAATTTCTAAACGATATAAAATTATTTGCGTATAAGTAACTAAAATTTATTTTGTAGCCATGTTCATATTTAACAATATTATTGACACCGTAATATTTTGTAACTAAAATTGTTATGCTTTTACTTTTTTATTTCAAGATTAATGTTAGTGATATACTTTTTGTAATATACTCTCACTATAAGTTAAAATTTATTAAAAATTATTAAAATTATGTGGGTCACACTATTATCCATTTCAAATTAATGTTTCTTTCTTATATTTTTTTAATTTTTAATAAATTTTAACTGACTAAAGAGTGTGTTAGAGAAAATATGTTGTTGGTAAAAATTCTCCATTCTCTTGCCAATTTGTTTTTTTGGGGCATCCCCTGCTCTTGCCATTGCATTTAAAACTAAGTCAAATTAATTTGTTAATCCCTATGCAGTTAATATTGCGAAAATTATATTCAACCCGTTCTTCGTGTAATAATCATATGATACCATAACAACTCCCGAGGTTCACAATAGTATCTTCATTTCTTCCCAGTTCCCAACACCTCATTAAACACCAATACAACTCACATGGGAAATACCTGTTGACTAGCATAGACAAAGCTGCATCATTTTTATATTTTGCCCACCAACTTAACGGTCAAGACCATATCATTCTTTCGGTCATATAAGACTGCACTAACTTTTGTTTAGGCACTGAATAAGACCATAAGCAAAAAGGCTTGGAATCATCAATTGAGCATATTTTCCAGCTTCTTCAGATATTTCAAGATCTTGGCCAAGAAAAATGAAAATGGATCTTGTGTTTGCCCAAATAATTGCAAGGGGTATGCTTACAATCATACACGACTATTCATTACTTGCTTGCTTAATGCATCCAAATCAACGTGTCTTGAAAATAAGACTATAATTTATATTCTGCTTAAAAACTAGTTAAACTGATTTCAAATGATATATTATAGCACGAGGATGAAAAACTATAAAAGTCTTCACTCTTACAGCCTCATTTAGCATATTAAATTTAATCACAACCAAAGGAACCACCATTATTGAAGCTTCGGTGCTGAAGAAAAAAAAGTGTAACTTTCCAGTTTCCACGACCACAAACACAACCTTGAATCCAAAAATGTTAAAAGGGTATTTGGAAATAAAAAGAAAAAGGTAAAAGGAAAGCAAAGGAAAACACAACTCACCACCAGCAAGCTAACACCAGTGACGGAACAAAAGTGGCAACTCGCCTAGGTGACCAACAAACATTAGAGATATAATCTGTATGCAAAAGTTTAGCAGACCCACAGATATCAAAGGTCCTGACAGCCATAAGTGCTTCTTCACTTCTTCAAAAAATTATCTTCTTTCTTCTACCCGTTTACTGTTTTTCAGTGTATCATTGTCAACTTTGACTTCCTCTTGTTCTTCCCCAAAGATATGAATCAATGGAGACCGAAGAGATTCATGTTGATATTCTCGCTCCATGTTTTTACACTATTCAGTCACAGGCAGATTCTCACAGGTAAGTTTTCTTGCTTCATAAAATAATACACTATGGAAACTTGGAGCACTGGCCCCTGTTTTTCTTTTCCATTTCTATCATTCTACCTCAAAATATTGACAAACTGCGTTTTAAAAAATATAAATTGTTTTTAGTAATCTAACATTATAATTATTTTAAAAAGAAGTAATTATTTTTTTAAAACTAATTTTCCATGCAACAGTAAATGGTTAAAATTTTAATTGATCTATGAGGCGGGATGCTTCATGTATTTAAATAATAAAAGATAATTGATCCATGTAACAGTATCTGCTGAGTCAGCTATCTGCTTAACTCAGGTTTCCGCGCATGAAAAGGCAACTTTGATGTAAGAGAGAGATTGAAGATCAATCAGATAGCCATAGCTTATATATATAAAACAAGCCCGAGTGTCGATATTTTAGGTGTCAGTCCAAAGAGTAGATCACCATAGAATTTTATATATTTTTTGGGCATGCCAAAATCACAAATTACAACGGCCCAAGGTTAAGAGTTATGTTATTTCAACAACTTGTCTGTGAATGGGTGTTTAGATATCATTCAAATTAAATTTTAAAATAAAATTAATTGAGAATTTAATTTAATATAAAAGTGTCAAGTTATAACTTAATATATGTTTATATTGACATTTAAATAATGATGGACAGTCACAGTCTATCCCATCACCTAAACATCTTGCTAAGTGTTACCTGTGCCATCCTATCACTTAAATTAACAGTACTGAGGAAAGGGTGGGACAGACTCAGAGACACAACAAACTTAATGTTCCATTATGCAATAACCATTGGAGGCAATGTTGGTAACCACTTCCATGAATTAACTGACATTGTTATTCCACTGTTTTTGACTTATAGACAATTCAATGGAGTAGTACGGTAGATAATTTCATTCCAGTTTTACCTTCAGAGATTGACTTGATTCCAAATTATGTCAACCCAGACAATAATTTGGTTTCAAATTATGTCAACTCAAATAATAATTTAGTTTCAAATTATGTCAATTTAAAGAGTGACTTGATTCCAAACTATGCCAACCCAAATAGTAACTTGGTTCTTCAACATGTTGTCCACCACAATGTTCCATCATTTAACCATAAGTTGGTCCAACAACAACACAATCCAATTGGCCAACCACATCAAAACATCGCATCCCAACACAATTTGCAACCCTTCCTTGAACATATTGATTTCTCTCACTCACTTCCTCCCTCAAATTTTCAAATATCACAGTTGCCTCGTCTCCTCGGTTACCGTAATTGGAATAAGTTTTTTCTTCATCTTCAACTTCAGCAATTTCCTCACTTGGTTCACAGTCATGATTGGATTGCTCCATCTCACCTTTAAGTGCAATATAGCAAATATTTGTACAAAAATTTTATTTTACTATACAATATCAATACATTTTTAATTACACTTTGTAATATAATGTTCATGTTTAGATTGATTAATTTTGTATTAATAACTAAATATTTTACGTTAAAAATTTGTTTATCTTTGTTTTCATATATATCTTTTTTTTCATATCTTTGTAATATCATTTTGTTTTCTTGCTTCATAAAATAATACACTTCGGAAACTTGGAGCATTGGCCCATGCTTTTCTTTTCCACTTCTATCTTGTACGTCAAAACATTGACAACCTGCATTTAAAAATATATATTGTTTCTAGTAATTTAATATTGTAATTATTTTTTAAAAATCCATTATTTTTTTAAAATTAATTTTTCCATATAACAGTAAATGGTTAAAATTTTAATTGATCTATGAGGCGGGGTATTTCATATATTTAAATAATAATAAAAATTTAAAATACTACAAAATTTTAACAAAATAATTTTTATGCAAATATAAAAATTTTAAATGAATTACTTTTAAAATTTTATTTATGATGTTTATCTTTTTGTATTTATTATTTATAATTTTTTATTTTTTATTTTTTATTTTTTTTAAATAAAAAGAGCAAAAGTCTGAAAAAACTAATAGTTATGTTTCAAAATAAACTGAACCACACATATCATAAGATAACAACAGAGAAATAAAATTTAGAATAGAAAAAAAAAAAATTTAAGTCTTGTGCTTGTCATCAACTACTTTGTTGGATCCCTTGAGAATGCTCACCCAAATAACCTTGTTAAAGGATGATACAAGTTCTAGAATTTGAAGTACCACTGCATTGATATCATGGAAGGCATGTGCTCTTCTAAGTAAGGCTTTTATTGTATCAGCACTGTTAAATTCTTCCACCAACAAGTTATATCCTTCCTTAGTAGTTATCACGAGGCCTTGCTTGATCTCCATAAGTTTGGAGAACAAAACTGAAAATGGCTTCAACTGCATAGCAAAGCTAACTAAAAACCTACCTTGATCATCCTTCATAATACCTCCACACCTTGCTTGATTATTATTATCTGAGAAAGACTCGTCACAATTTAGTTTCACCCACCCTTCCATCAGTGGATACCATCTAGCTAGGGGCATCTATGATCATTAGTTACATGCCTTATAAATCGTAGCTCATTAATTATTAAAGCTCCAACCAATACAAGCCAAAGAAAAAAAGCGAATTCTCTATAGCCACTTCCACACAAGATCAAAATTGGGAAAAGTTGGTGAAATTGTACTTTCAATAATGTTATGGTAAAAGCCCCATCCTTCTCACAGTCCCAATGCACCTTATCGTTCATGTTGAGTATTAGAGACTGATGTTCCATGACCAAACATATCATAAGGGGATCAATATTTCATCCCCTTCTTCGTCTATAATTTTTTTATATTTAACTTTATTCTAAGCATCTTTCACAATATTATTTTTAATTTTTAAATTTTTTTATCTAAATATAACTAAATTATTAGATAATTTATTTTTTGTAGAGAAATTTAAATTTTATTAATTACTTAAAGTTAACAGAAAAATAAAGATTTTATCAAACCAGACTGACTGACACAAGTCTAAAAAATTCATGATATAACTAAACGAAGTGTGAAAAAAAAATAATGTAATAACATTTTTTTTTTGTAACTGAATTTTAATTATTAACTTAAATTTATTGAAAATTAAATTAAAAAAAATCAAAACACATAATTTTAAATAAATTTTAATTAATAATTAAAAGGTGTTGCCTGATGTTTCTCTTTTAAAATTCGTTTGAAGGACAATTATAAGAAAGATTTTGCAGAATATTAGTAAGTAGTAAAATGGAATAGTGCTTTAGCATGCGGAGAGCAACAATCTGCAACTAATCTACATCAATCTCCAGATCTCCATATCGCACCCATTTCTCTCTTTGCTGAACCATAGAAATTAGAAATCCACAGCATTGGAAGGTGAGGATTGAAGGTTTCCTTCTCTCTCTCACACACACACAATTCCTGTTATCTTCTATTCAGACTTGAACGAGTTCGTTATAGTTTGAGGTAGCATTACAGATTGTTACAAAAGCTATCTTTCTGCAGCGTAAGTGGCGTCGTAATTTTTTTATTTTTTATTTTTGTCTCTCTATTCTCTTAATTAGTGAAGAGAGTGATTTATTTCCCATGGAGCAATTGCTTATAATACCATAATCAATCTGCAGAGTTCAATAAACCCTAATTCCTTCTGCTGCTTCACTCAGCAACTCTTTCCGATGAGGGCTCTTAAGCTTGGTTTGTTGCTTGCTTTGGCATCTGGATTTGCCGCCATTTCTATTTACATCACTGGACTCTCTGATCCTTTTGTATGTATGTATGTATTTATTTATATGTATCTTATTAATACTGTAAGAGTTGAGTTCGCGTGCCTTAAATCTGAAATGGTTGTAACGTATCCATGCGCAGATCCCAATTATCACCTCACAGATGAAGACACGCAAGCGTTGCTTTCGCTGCATGACAATTTCCAAAAGTGTGTGGTGAGGTTTCCCCTCTCTGCTTCTATAGTTTTATTAAAATTTTATTCATTCCCCTTTCACAAGAGTAGTTTTGTTTATTGGTTTGTGTTGCTGTATTTGCCTTTAAATTACACTGATTGTCATGTATTGTTTTCGTGTATAGCACACAATGGAGTTGCTTTATGTATCACTGTTCTAAGTAGTTAATTAGGTGGAGATTGTAGACCTTTGGAATTTGGATGCCAACGACATTTTGATAGAATAAGATGTCTGAAGATTGAGGAACGGTTAAATTCTGAATACACTGGTATTGATGAATTTTGGAACTTAAATACTGCTAGGGAACTTTTCTACTATGTTTTGAAATATTTTTTTTAAATGTTAAAAACTGCTGTATTTTCTTTGATTGCACCCTTGGGCTGTATTTCATTCAGAATTTCTGGTTTCAATGACTGTTTTCTCATGGTTTCAACTCTTTATGCATCTTTTAAATCTTGTATTCTTGGTATGTGTTTTTTGGATGGTTATCCTGAGTTGTTAAGTTTGTGTTTTATGCAGAGTGCAAACGGACTTGGTCTAAAAGCAACTAGAGGCACAGATTATTGCCAAACCTCAATAAATTTCCCCAGTGACACCATCCCCAAATGGGTAAATATTCCTAATCATTCACTGTTATTTATGATGGAAGAAAAAGGTGTTGGTTCTAAAAAATATGTCAATTATGGTGACCTACAACCTGGGGTAAAGAGGCTTCCTCCTATTTGGAAGGAAGTATGGGTAGTTGTATACTTAATCATGTGGTTTAAAAGTAGCCAAACAATTAGCCCATTTTTTTGACATTTGGTGATTTCTGTATTGACAGAGGGACCCCAAAACTGGTGAACTTGAAGCTCTGTCTTTTGATTTTAATCTCTGTGAAGCTGTGGCTACATGGGAACAGGTAAGCAACTCAGTCTGTGTTTTCATGGTCTATCATTTATTTCATGTGATATAAATCCAAATGCTATGGATATCCTATTTTACAGATATTCTATTGGACCCCGTAAATACATATTTTACAGAATAGGAATATAGAGGTAAGGTGGAATAGTGGCAGTTAGTTATGCATTTTGCTCTGTTTTAGAGAAAGAAAACACTTTTTCTTGTAGGAGCTGAGGCTTGGGGTTAGGTTGTAAAGAGCTTAGGCTCCATTTCTGGTTGTTAATAAAATTTAGATGCCAGTACTATTTCCTGGTGTTCTATCATTTTAGTTGTGTCTTGACCTGTTTTCTCAGGTGCGAAGCAGTACCACTATACTCACCAAGGAATTTATTGATTCTTTACCAAATGGATGGGAGGAATATGCATGGCAAAGGATCAATAAAGGAATTCTTCTGTAAGTAAATATGCAACTGAATTTTACTGAAGAGTGAAGTAATTGTGCAATGTAACTAAGCTAAACTAAATTGTGTTTTTATTCAGTTATTAGAAATGAAATACAGTATGCTTTGTAATTTGTATACCAGGTTTATGAACTTGCTAATTTCAAGACCTCAAATGGTCGGAAGTTTTCTCCATCCAAAAATGTAATAGTGAGCTTTATATCCAGAAATAAGGCATATGATATGTTACTTGAACTAGGATACTCTATGATTTGTCACTCCTAAGACATTTTTAATTGGTTGTTAAGAAGCAAACTTCCTCTAGAATTAACTAATAACTAATATGACAAAATCCTTGTTATGAAATAAATAGACCATAAGTCATGAGATTTACAAGGGTCAGCTATAGGCCAGCACCCTCATACTCTTGTAAAGTAGACAAAACCTTTTTTTGTGCTATCTTTTCCTCTCAACTCTAATTGCTAAATACAACATTAGCTTCTCAATTTAAAGCATAGTTATCATGTTCCATTGTTTATGCATTAATAAATTGTAATTACTTGTAGTAGTAAATTAAGGGGTTCTTATATTTATAAGGAAATTAAAGTTAGTTGAATCAAAAATTCAATCTTTCTTGTTGCAGCAACCACTGCAAGAACAAGACATTATGCATGGAGAAACTTTCACTAGTTCTCCCTGAAACGCCACCATACTTCCCGAAGCAGTTTGGGCGCTGTGCTGTTATTGGTAATTCAGGAGATCTCTTGAAAACAAAATTTGGAAAGGACATAGATGGTTATGATGTTGTCATTAGAGAAAATGGTGCTCCAACACAGGTTTATTGCTTGACTGGGTGTTTTTTATTTTCTTTTATATTGTCCCAAAAATTAAGACCTTGTCAGCTTATTATTATTTATGATTGCAGAACTACACTGATTATGTGGGTAGGAAAAGCACATTTCGCCTTCTAAACCGAGGATCTGCCAAAGCACTGGATAAAGTTGTTGAATTAGATGGTATTGCCACTTAAAGTTCCACTTGCTATAATGCGATGATGAATTACTAGAACCTTACTATGAATGTTGTTTCTGCAGAACAAAGAAATGAAGTCTTAATAATAAAAACAACAATTCATGACATCATGAACAAAATGATTCGGGTATGCTTCCTTGTCTGTGAAATCCATCTTCTAAAATCATTACTTTATATTTGCTATGTTATGTTAATGTCACACATTCAATGTTCCACTTACAAAGCAATTTGTTTTTTGTTTTCTGCAGGAAGTTCCTATAAGAAATCCTGTATACCTCATGCTAGGTGCATCCTTTGGCTCTGCAGCAAAAGGAACTGGACTTAAGGCTCTTGAATTTGCTCTTTCTATGTGTGATTCAGTGGATATGTATGGTTTCACTGTAGATCCTGGTTATAAAGAATGGTATTATATTCTCTTTTGGCAATAGTATTTCTGATTACATACTTCTATCTTTGGAACATGAAAATCACCTGATCAATAATTATAATTTCTTTTAGGACAAGATATTTCTCCGAATCCCGTCAAGGCCATACCCCATTGCATGGTAGAGCTTATTACCAGATGATGGAGTGTTTGGGAGTAAGTAAATTATAGTTGTGGAGGTCATAAGTTTAAGTCATACTATTGACTTTCCTTTGGCACCAAAAGAAAATAGATTTTCCTCATTATTGGCTGAGAATTATGTTAATTGTTGAATTTTCAGGCTTAGACTATATCATATATCAATCATAAGCAAGAATGTGTATTTTGTTTTGACTTTGCGCTTAGTAGTACGAGTGTAATCATGTTTCTTGTTTTTCAAATCTGATTTTGTCTATCTACTGCCATTGTCAAGCTTATCAAAATCCATTCTCCCATGCGAGCTGATCCAAACCGTGTTGTAAAATGGGTTCCAAGCCACCATGTTATAAGGGCTGCCAGGATTGCATCAGAGAAATTACTGAGGTAAATGATTTTTTTTTCAATTTCCGCCAATTTTTGTGATCCTGAAACTTCTTTTCTGTATGGATTTCCCCAATGAGCACAAGCGGATTGGTCTTTGACCTGTTTTAACTGAAAAAAACTAGAAGGTCTTGATCCTTTTGCATAACTTACTTCATTTGGTATTAGTCATATGGTCCTGCTAAGTTCACTATTCTGTGACCCTTCAAATTGTCATTCCGACTGTAGAAAGTTTGAGATATCAAATAGTTTACTAATCCATGGGCTTACAGTATTGATCATTGACACCTAATGCTATCCGCAATTGTCTGAACAGTGGACATGGCATGTTACTTATTGTTGTTCAACATTATTTGAACTTAATGATGTGGGTACAAATTGATTGCATCTGAGATTATTTGCACTTTCTCAAATTTATGATATTTACAGGAGAGCTGGAGCAGGATCTGAAGATCCATTGGCTGCATGTTCCATAATTAAGAAGCAAGTGAAAAGAAATCTAGATACAGTTTCAAAGCTCAGAAAAACGGCACTTGATCATTTAAGGTATGTGAAGAGCACAACCATGTATCCTCTAGAACATAGCCCTGGACATGGGTTGCTTTGCACTGTGCCAACTGATTAAACTGTACCGAGATTTCAGCTTGTGCTGTTGGGAAGCATCCAACCCTTTGATTTACAAAATTTTCCATTTGTTATTCTTTTTCCAAAATATATTTCATTAGCCTGAAAAAAATCTCGATGAAGCTTCCTACTCTCACCGGTGTGGCGGGAAGTCAACGAAATCTATTAAATTATCCTCATTCTTTTCTTCTTTTAGTTTTTGAAACTTTTTAAAGGACTTAGATTTGTTAGGGAGAGGATTACAGAACAACTAGTAAATTATTTTTGAGGCATCTGTATTGCTTAGTTGAATTATAACGAGTTGAACTGTAATGAATAACTTTTTTGGTTAAAAAATTAAGTACTGTCCTTTTTGTGTCCGTTAAAGCTTGACACGTTCCTATATGCCCTGTTAATTGTGATTTATGAGTTTGGGAGTTTGAGTTTGGAAACTTTAGTTGAGCCAATTTGATTTTGTGTATGCATGAATAAACATCTGCAAACTTGAGTTGAACAACCTTGATTTTATATAACATTTTATTTAAAAGTAAATTCTAAGTAATGTGATTTATGATTGAAAACTTTTCACTTTAAAGTTTGTAGTAAAATTTAGTATAAATTTTTTAATTTAACATAAAAGGTATAATTTATCATGTTAATTTAAACATAAATTTAAAGTCAATATCAATTATGTTATAGAATTATGAAATATGGTTGACACAAATTTCAAACCTTGTTTTAAGTTTAAACTTAAGTTTAGGGGTTTTTTTAACGTTCATCTAAAGATGCGCTTTGCCGGCTGAATTTTAGTCGAAATTGAGTTTAAAGTAACATGACTTATATTTGCAATCTGTTAGGGTGTACTGTCTAATCGAATTATGGGTAAAAATATTGACGCAAGTAAAGAGGTTAACTTTGAAACCACGAACCAAATATGTTTAACTCGACCACAACTTGTGTCCGAGTCTCGACCTGTATAGCAGCGTCAGGTGGCAAATGAGTTAGATGAGCAAATGCAGTACTTTAACGATACTGATTAAAAAAAATTTAGAAACATAAAAAAAATTATCTTTACAATTTTTAATATGTTTTAATAAAAAAATTAAAAATTATTTCTTAGTTCTCTAGTCAATACTTTAAAGACAAGTATTAACAATACATTTTTAAGTAAAAGCCAGGTAAAATATTAGCTTTGATGGCCGACTTACGAACCAAAACAAATTTACCCAATTCTTTTTATATAATGTCTATTGTCCAAAATATGTCATTTATTATGTAAGTTAAATTACGTGACACGTAAAATAGAATGAAATAGGGCCGTTAAAATTTTTATACCAAATAAAAGATTAAGAGGATATTATATGTCTTTTGTAGAAATAATAGACTGTATGAATTAATACTCAATTTAAAAAAGACATAAATGCTGCTTAATTTTTAAAATATTAAAAAAGATAATTTTTTTCAAATTTATAAACGTAATAGCAAGCGCTTAAATTAGTACCTCTGTTAGAATTTAATTTAATTTCATTTAGTAACTATTTTTTTCTATTAATAATATAATAGTTAAAATGCCTTCGGTTCACAGTCTCATGCCCTGGGCCTGGGTAAGTGTATCAGTTCCCTAGTATTCGAGATCTAGATGTAGATTTTGATGGCTTCAAATTCAACATTTCAAACTCAACAAAAGCACGTGGGTCCCTTACCAACTTTCCCTAATCACGTGGCACAAAGCAAGAGCTTAGCGTTCCATTTTTCAGACGTGCATGTGGGAGAAGGAAATAATAATAACAATTTTTGCACATTTCACAAATTCAAACGTATCCAGTGATGTGTATGATCAAATATATTTAATGGGAGATTTATTAAATAAAAATTAATTCAAATTATCGAATAATTTCAAATAATTTATGTTAAAAAAGGTATTATTACTATTTCTAGTGAAAAAGCACAGTGAAAGTGATAAAGCATTTGCCTTGTGGGACCCTTGAATGGTCAAATCAAACAAATTAAATGATATTTAATCGTTAATTCAATTCAACTTTCTGTATCCAACTCACACTCCCAACCTCAATTTCTCTTTCAATATCTCGCCAACTTATCTAACCCAAAATATCGCAACATCTACACGGCTGCATCTTTACCGTTACAAATGTTTGATTATAACTTTTCATTAAAAATAGTAATAATTCTAATTAAAATAATAATAATAATAATAATGATATTACACCTAGTTTTTATTTAATTTTAAAATATCTTAAAATAAAACCAATTTCAAATCTAACCATTTTCAAAACCAAAACAGCCATATTTGAACCTTATTTGTGAAAAGGCAGACTTTCATATTAGTAATATTCTTTCTTCCTCGACAAATGATATTTCAAATCTTAATCTTCACATGCTGTCCAAATTATTAAATATTTAACTATGCTAATATTTGTCAAAATAATCTTATAAGATGGCATTTTAAAGTCTTAAAATATCAAACTTTATTATTTACCAATTAGAATGTTTTAGTACTTTATAAAAACTACTTACTAAAAATGTATTTCGATAATAAAAATATAAATTCACATAATAATTTTATTAATTAATAAAAAAATTTAAAATATTAGTTTGGTTCTTATTTATCTATGTAAAAATATATAGATAAAATAATGTAATATTCAATTAAAATTACTTATAAACCTTTAATTTATTTTAAATTAATGAGTTTGTTAACTTCATTTAAAATTATTAAATGCATATAAAGATACTACTAAATAATAATAATAATAATAATAATAATTAACATATGATCTTAAAATTTTATATAAATATATTAAAATAAGAATTATTTGAATAAAATAAAAAAAGAAAAGTAAAAGTATGATGTACAGTACTTGACATGTTACGTGCAATAGTAGCATGGCACGTGATCAGCATAATCCATACAGAAGATTACAAGAGGGAATCTAAGAAGGATGTTCCCGAGACATATCGTAATATGTGAACCTAAGTAGCTACCCCTACCCTTCTTCACTCACACGGACACCACTACTATTTGCCACACCCATTTTTTATTTTTTATAATAAACAAATATGTTACTTGGCCTCGACGGGCACGATAAGTTTGAAACTGTGGTGGTGAAAATTCCAGGGGTAACTTTTCAACTGCTGTATATAAGTAAATTGAATAAGATCTGTGATAAGAAAAGATAGGGTTTTATGGGTGGCCAAGAAATGTTCTCGACACTTTTGCTGTTTTATGGGTGGAGTTGAAAAGTTTTCTTTTTTCTCTAGATCAGTGCTCATTGCTCTATTCTCTTTTGATCTGATTATGGGTTTATGTTTTGCACCTGTTTTGTTTGCCGTATGTTGAAACCATAAATCTGTTAGTTTCATCAATTTTAATCATAGGTTGTATCTTTTGGTCGCATGTTTATATGCATGTGTCTTTTTTTCTACATAGAGTCTTTTGGGTTTGGTTTCGGTGTTATTGATGAAAGATAAGAGAAAAGGGTTATGGAGCGGAGCTCCTTTGAGTCCAATTGAGGGTCTTGCTTGGTTGATTAAGCTGCTAAGCTATGGATCCCACAGTTCTACCCATAACACAACTTTTTTGTGGTAGTTCTGCGGCTTCCATATTTTGGGAGCTTCATTACCTGTTGTTAGATCCTTATTTGGATTGAAGGGAGCTCTTCACTTTTATCCTTTTTGTTTACCCTAGCATTTTAATCTGTTTCAAATATTGATTTATGTGGTAAATCTTTTTATATTTATGTTCTCATCTGCCATCTCTTATGTTTAACCAAGATCTTCAATTTGCTGTTGAGGAATAATCAAGCAGGTTAAAGGGGTGCACGTAATTGATTATCTGATTGGATCTGTGCATTCATAAAGGAGGCTCAAGTTGAAGTTGAATTTTAACCATCTTTTATAATAATGTTGCTGATTCAACTGTAACTGACTAACTGTAGCATTGTTTATTTCAGTCAACTTATTTTGCTGCACATTTTGCTGATGTATTTTTGCATTGGATTTTGTTATGAACCCAATCATCCCATGTTTTGAGGATAGTTGAGTTTCGTTACCTAAAACCTGTTTATGGATTCATATCAGTTTTGAACATTCTAGGAATTATGCCAACTTATCTACGGTTTCCACATTAATATTTACGGATATTTTTTTAAGATCTCATGTCTTTCTATCTATATAAACGATGTAATTTTGAAACTATTTATCAAAATAATGTCAAGAAATTATTTTACTCGTCTGGTGGTATTTTTTGTAAGTGCACCAAAAATGTTTGTTTTGGCCTCCCAAGTTTGATTTTATACATTTAAAATTAATAAAGTTTTGTTATAAAAATAATTATAGTATTAAATTAAAAATATTAAATAAAGTAAAATGTTTTAGTTATTAATAAATTATTATTAGGAGTAGTAATTTCAGTTGAATTTTAAATTAAAATTAATATATTGTAATGATCATTTAAAATAAAAATAAAAATAAAAATAAAAAACTGATTTATTAAATATCTTTATCTTGAAGTTTCTCGTAAGTTGTATATTTTATGAATAATTTCTATACTATAATATTTTAAGTTATTAAATAAAATAAAATATTGCTGAGAAAAATGAACCTGAAAGTTCCAAAAGAATAAGGTTAAAGTGGCTTTATTTATATAAGTTTTGCGTGGAAAACTTCAGAAGAAATAATATAAAAAGAAAAAATGATGATTTTTTTAGTATATGTAGTCTTTAGATGTATTAAAATTTGAGTAGTTGCGTATTTATGAAACTTAACAATTTATCTGTCAAAATTTTAAGTTTATAAATTTTTAATAAAAAACTGTAGAATAATAATATTAAGAGTTTTTACTTGAAGCTGAATGGTATTAAATTACGTTTATTTTTTATTTTTTATGCGGATGGTCTTAAGAATAGAGAATATTCTGGACTCTTTTTATCGAATAAAATAAAAAGATGATTGTGTGAACTACAAGAGAGTATAAATAGTAAGAAAAAGAGATCCTGTAGCTTTTTAAAATAGCATTTTCCATATCTTGCATGAGCAAATTTGGAATATTAATTTTAAGTTTAATTTTGAAGTATTGCCTTTTTTTCAATATTGATACTTAATTTAAAATTACTCTAAATATGAATTTTAAAATAATGATTACAAGTCAATAATTTTTAATTTCATAATTTTAAGTGAAGTTATTACATAAATAAAATTATAAATACACGTTTGATTTGGGTTTAATTAGATTGGCATTTAAAATTAAATCTAAATTCAATAATTTAATGCAATGAAAATATGGTTTTTATAATTTTATTTTTTGTATTTGAATAAATTAGTTTATGAACTCTCGAATTGTCTGAATTTATTACTAAATCTGAAGAGAGGCGAGTGTTGTTTGAATTTGGACTTGCATGTTATCCAACAAGATCGAAAAGAAAAAATTACCAAACAAAAATCTACCATAATTATTATAAAATTTACTAATTGAATTTGATTAAAATGTATTTGAATAACTATTTATTTATAATAACTTATATCTTAAATTTAATCGATTGAATAAATAAAAAATAACTTATTTTAATAAGATATATAAAAAGGTTATTGAAAAAAACTAAATAAATTTAAAAAATTAGAAATTAATTTTCATAAGCCCAAAATTCTCTCTAAATCGATCCAGCTCAAGCTATTTAAAAATGCTAGAGATCCAAATCCGTGTTTATAGAAATAGACGTTCCTGACAATAGATCTATCTGACTCACCTTTATTGAGTGAAAATAAAGTTAATCTAATTCAACTCACTAAGTCAGTGAATAAGCTTACTAAAAAAAATAATTAAAAAAATAAAACGTCCAATTTTTTTTTAAAAAAAAAATCAGAAAACATCTCATACAATTTTATTTCTATCAATTAGTGCTAGCCCTTCTAAACAAGTAAAAAGTATTAACTAATCATCAAGGAAAATAAAAATAGTTAAAATAATAATAATGTAAAAAAAATGAGTTTGGTTCACGATGAGTTGCGCCAATAAAATATGCAAATTGAGTGAGCCATTTACCCAAGATGCTTATGAACCCAATTTTTTTACAACTCAATCCACCAATCAGCAAGTTGGCTCATGGGCTAAACCCTAAACCCTCCCCCTCTTTCCCCAATGTGGGCAAAGGTTTTCTTTTTAAAGATTTCATTCACGTCTGCTTCTCTTCCTCCCAACCAAGTGTGTGATTCTTTTTGATACATACATAAAATATGTATGTATGTATCACGATATTTGTTTTTAGGGTGAGCGAATGGGTATCTTTTTCATGACATTGAACTAAACGTTGAGAGGTACAACAGCGATTGAAGTCAAGTTTTGAGTTGAACAAATTCATTACTTATACAAAACTAGACATCAGAATCTCATAATTCGGAATTCGCCAATTGGCCATTTTCTGGGACGGCTTCCAAGTCCCAGCCTCTGAAATAAAAAAGAGAACCAATAAAATACCAAAACTGGATGAAATAATCCGAGAAAACCAAAATTTACGCAGTAGTCACCTTTCCGCCGCTTCTTGTTTCATTTCATTTATGTGACTTTCAACTGTGGCACACGCAGCTCTGATGTCTGAAGTTTTCTGACAGAGCTCCTTCCATTGCATGGACAACGCATTAAGCTCATATGCAGTATTTTGCTGACAATAGTTTAAAAGAAAAGGGCCTTTTAATTAAAAGGTTAAAAAAATTTAGCATATGAAAGGGAAAAGGGTGGGAAGAAAGTCGCAATCACCTGATGGTATTTCCTTTCACGATTCACTTTTTCAATCTTTTCATTTTGTTCCTGGGCTAATTTCTGCATTCTAAAAATAGAGAACACAACTATAACCAACCATACAAAATGTAAACTATGCACACAAACAACAGGAATGGGAGTTTTTAAGCTCAAGCATCATCTTTTTAACCTATTTACAATTGTAGGTAAGATGAACATGATGTGCACACGTGTGTGTGCATGTTGAAGCAGTGTTTTGAGATAAGAGCAAGAGATTAATTGCACTCATGTTTTATTAATTTGTCTTCAAATATTTTCTTAATTTAACTTAAACGTTTTACTTTTAATCAATACTTTTTTATTAGTTTTTCATCATTAATAGTATTATAATAAATAATAGCACAAATGTTTTATTAATTTGTCAAACAAATGCATAATGTGAGATTATATTCAAGACTTCAAGTTATCTAAAATGTGGGTAATGAGTCCAGGTGCATGGATATAGGTACCCAGTAGGTAAGGGTATTGGAGTAGCTATTGAGTTGCTAGCCACACAGGTATGGATCATGGTACAGGTATTTTATTAAAATGTGGGTATGGGGACGGGTATGTTACTAATCCTAACCATTGTCATCCCAAACCCAAATAGAAGAAGAGTTGAATAGAGATGTCCGGGTTCAGATCATGCAGTAAAACCTGGTTCTGTTTGGCCAAAACACAGTTCAGGGAGTAACGAATGCAGCAAGGAAGTTAGTTCAAGTAGGGGAATGGATTTTGGGTATGTATAACCCACCCCCAACAGGTTCAAGACAAAATGGGAGATATTTGCTCAAACCAAGACAAATTAGCCAAACAACTTGTGCTGTGAATTCAAATAGCAGTGTGGGCAGCAATGGCCAAACAGGGAGCCAATTGAGGAAAAGGCACAAGGAATTTGCCATACCAAGAATGTTTACAGAAGGGAAGAAGGACGCTGCTTCTAATGTGGACAGCCATTCAGTCCTCTCCACAGATGACCTAAGAAACAGGTTTAGGTCCTCATTTTGCAGGAAGATGATAATGGAATACTAGAAGGGGAAATTTAAGTAGTTGAATTGGCAGAGCATTTGGACTCAAGTAGCCCAGTTAGTGGCCTTGAGGACAAGACTGCATCTGTACAATAAAGCATTGATAGGACAGTCATGTGTGTTTAGTAACAGTAGGATAGTTATATGATGTGTTGTATGGCAGTTATGCATGTAGATCTTAAATAGGATGTGTGACCTATTTCTGATAATTGAATGCCACATTACTGAAGTTTGTTTGAAGAAGGAGAAATTTTGTTAGGGCTTAAGGCCTTTGTTAGTGGTCTGCACAACAAAATCTAGATTAAGTCCAGAATTCTTTCAATTAAATCTTACAGTTTGTGAGTTCAAACTCTTGAGTCTAACAAATATGATGAAAGCACAAACGCCTGCATGATAAATACAAGGTCATATATAGTAAATTATTGAATTAAGAAATGCTCTAAACCAGAGCTTTGCTAAATCTGTTCAAAGTTATTCTAGTGATGCACTTCAAAAAGACCCAGGTAAACCATATATCATGGGGAGAACCTAGTCAGACCTGAATATGTGCTAACAAACTAGGAGGCATATGTTTCAAGGATTAGTCTTATATTCCTGGGCAAGTTGAGATGGGAATAAAATGTCACCATACTTGTTTCAAGATTTAAAGAAAAAGACTCCCACCTCAAGAGCTAAACTTATTCACATGCATATCTTATTAGGATAATTCCCACCAAATCATACCTATGGAGAAAGGTGGGTATAGTTCACTCCCATGGCAATGATTAATTGTGCGTAGTGTGGGTACTTTTGGCTTGTAATCATAATAATTTATGGAATAAGCCATAGAAATCTGCATTTAATATTCTAAATAACATGGAATGGGCAAGATATATTTCTAGAAATACCATTCTTAAAAATATCATATTCACTCCAAGGAATCTTACTCACGGGAATAGAACACCATTGCCTGAAACAAACACCCCCTTAGGAACAAAGGGGGAAATGCTTCAAGCACATCTGAGGCTGTCTGCCTCAAGTAACACTCTACTAATGAAACTTTCATTTACCCAAAGTCAATCTCAAGAACCAAATAAAAATAAAAACTTAAGCTGTTCACTGGAGGCAAGAAATTTAAATTGGAAAAGAGAGAGAGAGAGAGAGAGAGAGAGATTCTAATTGCCAATCATATGGACCAAGGCAGGCCTGTCTGATGACAGGACCTACATTTGCTGATGTATGAAGTAGGCAGAAGATGCACAAGCGCTGGTGTTCAAGCCAATAGTCAAGAAAACATATTGTTGCCACAGAGGTAACAATGTAGAATTCAACTGTTTATTTAAAACAATCTAAATTTGACCCACATTTATTCGATGAACAAACCTTGTTAAGTACACTTCCAATCGTTGATTGTGTAGTTTCCAAGCATCAGGACCATGCTTTAACAGCAAATCCAAATTTTCTGTCCTGCAGGGATCATTCAATTAAACAACTGTAACCAACTGCCTAACAATAAGTTTTTAAGAACATTTCATGCTGCATGAAAGACCTAAATTGAGATTGAAAATATAATATTTATTTTCTCCAAAAAAATTCTGGAACACTTCCCTTTTGGAAATATAGTATTGGTTAATTTCTTTGGGTGTGTGTGTGTGAGAGAGAGAGAGAGAGAGAGAGAAAGTGAGTGGCAGAAAGCACCAGTATGGATCCTTTAATGAAATCATATGATACAAAATAGTTTGAAAACTATCTCTTGTCCAAGATAGTACATGAAATTCTACACAGATAACATAGAACACCCTTTACAAACAGCCAGAACACACTAATTATTAGTGATTAAAACGTTCAATATAAAGAAGAGAAACAAGGCTCGAGAACAGAATGAATCTTGATAATGGAATGCTGTCAATTGCACTGCATTTCTACTTAGTAATCCTGTCCATGTCTCGAGCTATAAAACATTCGATGCTTGTAATGTTTCGATATTTCCACAACTAAGTCTTAATAACAGCATATATATTATATCAATATATCCCCTTGGACAACAACCTCAAACAGGAAAGAAACATAAAAGCACACAAACTACTCAACAATGCATTCTATAGCACACCTCAACATCTGGTATTGCAGTTGGCGTTGAGCTCTGGAAAGAGCTTGCTTCCAAGCAGTTTCATCATTCCTTTTATTCGCCGGCGGCATTTCTAATTCATATCGCGATCTATCAAGAGAAACAGGAGGCCTTCCAGCTCTCACACGTTCGTACTCTCTGGCAATCATTGGGTAATTCTGGAATTCAGATAGCAAAAGCAAACTCGTAAACAAACTAGGGCAAGACATTCTTCACCAACACCAACTTCAGCACATGTCTTTCAACCAGGACTCATTTATCTCAAGCCAACAGTATATTATATTGCGCAGAAAGCACTTAAATTAAACAACGATTAGGGTAAAAAAAGAATTACAATTATTATTATTATTTTTTATTTATTACGTATTTAAGAAAATGTAGAATGGATGCTATGCAAGGTTTTAGAAAATAAAAATAGAGGAAAAGAAAACCTGGAAATTGGAGTTGGGAAGAGGAGGGAAATCTTTGAGGAAATCAGCGGGTTTCTTAGAGCTGCGGCGCATCTCATCCTCGACGAGACGGTCAACCTCGAGTTTGACCCTTGGGTCAGCGTAGTCGTCGTCGATGTAAGGCAATGCATCGATGATTTCTGCGTCCGAACCTCTTTCCCTACCGTAAGACGGGGGAGCTTCCAGCATTGGAATATCCCCGTTGCTTCGATCTGCCATGCTTCAGCCTCCAGAGAGAGAGAGAGGGTTTTCCTCTGCGCACGCCAGCAATCACAGTTCCGGCCGAAAACAAGAACGAGAAGAAGAAGAAGAAATATTGTTTTGGGCTATGTTGTCAATGTGTCCTTCAAGCCCAAACCCAACACTCCAGATACCAAAATATTGAAGATGGAAAAATCTTGTACGAAAAATGAGAGAGTTGTGGTTAGTCATTTTTGTTCAAAGTTTTTCTTTCTTATTTCTGTAATTTTAAAAAAATTTCAAGTCATTAATGAAGAGTGAAAAATATAATAGCAATGCTGTGAAGTGATTATTTTCATTAATGTTGTTAAAAAAATCAGATTATTTATAAAATGTGTTTTATACTATACAATATATTAAGTAATACGTCAATAAAATGATAAGAAACTAATTACGTATGATTTTAAATTAAAATAAAGGGCCATATTGTATGTAAAGCATATGAAAAAAAATTAAAAAAGGATAATTAATAACATTTAATTTGTCTCAAAATGTTTCAATTAAAAAAATAAAAATGAAAAGTGAAAATTTCAAAATCAATTTCCACCACCTTTTGTTTATTAGGTTTTACACCAAATTCTTAACACCATCATTTTCTAGATTATTTGGATAAATGACTTGAAACCTATTTGTTTACACGTCCAGAGTAATATGCAATTAATTTTCAATGAATGGTGGATGGCTATTATTTTGTGGGTACAAAAATTGAGATACATTGGATGGTAGTGATAAATTCTCTCTTGTACTTAACTTCTTGTAATTGTAATTAATAACTTCTCTTATTCTTCACTCTCTCTTAAATCATCACCATTATTGATTTCACATTTTTTATGAATTCTAAAATTCTTTTTCAACACATTATTTAAGACTCAATTTTTGACGTGTGTAACTAAACGACCAAACTTGAACCCCAAATAAAACATTAAAGGACTAGATAAAAAATAAAAGTTCCAAAACCAAATTAAATGCTATATTAAAGTTAAGAGATCTAAATATTTAAAATAATTAAATTTAAAACTTAGGTAGAGTACATTGCTTTTGTAATTACGTGTGACATGAATATTTCCTTTGTTTATGTAGCTATCGCTTCAATGCCATTTAAATAGCGATTAGCGAAAGAGGAGATTATTTAAAACCAAAACGAGTCTCTTCGGCAATAGGGAAAAATAGGCGATTTAAGGAGAAAATGTAAATTCAGTTTTATCTTCACTTTTGTTCTTCTCGCGTTCATGACATTAAACGAGGGGGTTAAAAGTTTTACACTAGTCCCCCCAGCAATACCTTATTTTATCTATGTTCTCATTTGTTCATAAACAAATGCGTAATGCAAAATTTTGGACATCATTGAACAACTCTATCATATAGAGAATCATGATGTAGAATCTACAAAAACAAAGAACAAACACTGGTATTGTTAGAAAATTTGAAAGGCCAATCTAACAAGCACTGAACAAAAGAAATGGATGAGATGATAGAGTCATTTCCCGTGTGTACAGCACTGATAATAAAGCAAACTATAGTCCTAAAAAACCCGATTCCTCCAAACGCCAGGTTAGAGCCAATGGAGGAGTATTATGCATCACTAATTACACCAAATGGGAAATGTCACAATGAAAAGATGAAAGCTAACAATTTAGCTCCTATATCTTTTGAAACCTCGTTTAATTTTTTGTACATTGCCCGATGCCTTTCATGCAATAAATTTAATCTTTTTGGTTTCTTCTTTCATTTGAAACATAAATATTAATCACTATGCACGTGGCATATTTGCATAGAGGAGAGTGAAAAAAAGTTCAACCTCGTGTATATTTTTAATGATTTGGATGAACTGATTTTTGCTGGGTTCTTCAAGGAGCAAAGGACACATCTGTGCAACTTGAGGCAAAAGTCTGGCCAATGGCAGGCCCGCAGTTGCACTTCCTCCGCCAAATTTAGCCCCCATGAGCTCCACCAGTGCATCCACCATGGCTTTCAGAGATATCTCTACAATGCTCCCAAATTCAGCACTGCAAAGAAAGGATATAACTATTTGAAATATTTAAGAAACTCAATAGTGAAATAGCATCAGTCATTGTCTGTCAACAGCGCATTTAATCTCAAATAAGGACTGCTATATATAGACATTTTTTTAATTGAATTACTTCATACAAAGGCATCTTAGTGGAATGTGGCCAACCATAACATAACATCAAATGGGAAACCAAGCCAGATAAAAGTCTTGTTTGTGATTGACTAATGCAACATAGATCCTACATGAAGTTTCATTTTATATAAAGTTCGGTAAAACTTTCCCATGCACTAAAGATTTCCTTCTCAAATAGTTTCTCAGCACTGTCAATTAGTGCATCGGTCATCCCTACTTAAATTTAGACTTTGGCCTAACTCAATTTCATAAGTTAATTTGTAAGGTGAGAAGTAACCTTTCAAAAATTTTTATTATCATAAACATCTAGAACTTGAAAATTGTAGAACCGTTTTTTTTTTTTTTAATATTGCATTGGGAAAGCCAGGGGATTAGGTAGGTTGCACTGAGAAATCCACAAGGCCATGTATGTCTCGACAAAACCAGGTTAATTGCACTACAAAAATTTGTGAGGCCATTTTTTTTTCAATGACTCAATATCAAATTTATAATAGGCTCTTGTATCATCTTAAATTTGAACTTTGACCTAACTCAACCGCAAAAGTTTGTTCATAAGTTGAGGAAAACTTTAAATCTTTATAAGTTTTTTTTTCACCATATGTAATCGATGCGAGACTTTAACATCCCCCACGTTACAAGCAAAGAGTTCATGGATATGGTTCGCCCAGGTGTATTGAGTTTCCAGGCAGTTGCAATTAACCAATGCATCAAAAACAAAATATTTACCTTGATAATACTGCCCATGTTTCCATCATAAGTTGTTGAAATTCAGTCATGTCAGATGGAACTAGGTCATCACTGCCAGAGGTTGTGGAATATGATTTGGCATCTTCAGGTATCATATACTTTACCCAGGAATGTGGACTCCTCATGCTCATGAAGGTGTTGAGTATCTGCATGATAGTTTCATGAAGTGTTGTGTTGTTGAAGAGAGTACTCAACAGCTTTCTGCACATTGAAATAATCTATAATCAATTTAAAATGGGTCTTGATCATTAATCAATAATATATCTCTAGATTATATACATGATGTCAATACTTCAAAGTTCTGACTAAATGATTACCGCTAATGATTAACTCCTCTCTCTTTTCACACATACACATGAGATCAAGAAAGGTACAACTTTCAGTGAACTATTAAATTATATATTAACTGCCAACTTCTATAGGAGGCTGCTCTAGGTTTTGCATTAATATGTTGATGTTGCTGAACTTTTATTTTCACCAAGTTTATTAACTATTCAGGCAGGTGTTTAATCACAATATCTGGTTAAACTGAAACCAATCGGAAACTTTATGGGTCTTCAGAAACTAAGTAACAGATTGAAAGCTGAGAAGTTTTAAAACACAGACTTTGCTACTGACAATTCCAATGTCCACAAATAGAAAGAAAAAAAAATCATAGTGGCTCGTCTACACACAACTAACATTGAGACTGTTATATAATATAGAAAAGGTTAAAAAATTAATGTTTATATATCTGAGACAAGCTTTTTAATGATTGATAGAAACATCACCCTTTGAGAACTTCTTTTGTTGCTGCCTCCATATCAGAAATCAAGGCAGTCATACCATGCTGAGAGAGAAAATCAACACTATCTAGAAATTTCTTCTGGTCTTCCCTATCAACCACATCTCCACTTTCCTGCATATAAAGTGACAGAGAAGAAAAGAGAACACCTTTCAGGTTCAATAAAGGATGTCATGTGTGAACTTGGTAAAAGTATATTCAAAGTGAAGTTAATTAAGCATGGCTCTTTTGCTGTTAGTAAAGGTTAACCATATGAAGACAATAAATACACTCCCCCAAAGAATTTGACTGGAAATCTTTGAAATTCTGATCTCCCATGAAATTTGACCATATATCACTCAATTGAGCAAAAGGCTCAATTTTAACTACAGAACCTAGTTCCAAATCCCTCTCTTCCCCTTTCATCCCAGAACAAAGTTCATCATTCAAACACAATCTTAAGATAACAAAAGAAACCCAGAGCATAAAAACAATAAACAACAACAGATAATGCACTTGAAGAAATCCACTAATAGTTGGTTTCCGTAGATTTGCTGCCTAAACATTTTATTTTTCTATCACAACTACTGAAGTGTGATCAATTATTCAAGCTGGAAGTTTTGCAAATAGTAAATAGAACATACTACCTCATAACCACAAAAGTGTCATTAAGCATGCTAGCAGTTAACTCAAAATTTTGGGAAAAAGAAACTGGAAAACAAGGTGCTCTGTTGTAAATTTTTCTTTTGATTTCTCACTCATGCTATGAGAAAACAGACTGACATACATACAAATCAATTCCATAATGACAATTCCCTTTGGAAAAATACAAAATGTCCTCAGACCAGGTCTTCTGTTTGAAAAGCATCTGGATATTATATGTGATACCATGGGTCCATGGATAGAAAATGATGTTGGTTCCTTCATACTACTTACATACCCAAAGCAATCAAATTACACTCAACAGTCAAGAAAAATTCATCATGTATAATAAGAAAGAAGAAAGACAGTTGTTCTTACCAATGAATCATAGATTCCAAGGCTTCGTGCAGTGTCAATGTATAGATGCCTTCCAAGTATATTGACTTGAACTTTTGTATATAAGCTAAGCATTGTTGTTGCCCATACTGACAATGTCAATCTTGTAAAACCTAGGAAAAAAGAAGTAGCACGGATCTTTATGTTTCAACTCCTCATTGATTATAGCAACCAGGTGAATTAACAAAACCACATAACTATAGGTATAATAAATGTGGATGCCAAGACACGATTCATACTTAGAATTTTGAGTCTACTCCATAAATCTAGTTTCTCTGATTGTGTTAAAGTGTTTGGCTGACCCTTTCCCTGTATTAACCTTTCAAGAAGGTGAGAAAGATCCAACTCTTCTGCTATTCGACAACTTAAGTCGTGCATAGCATGAGGCAATGTTACATCAGAAATCCTCTGAATATTCTCAAAGTGAGCTTGCATCCTATCATTGTCAATTACAAAATAAAAGACTTGCCATCAACAATCCTTGCTTTTAGACAGGAAGTTGGAAATTTAATATCATATAAAACATATCTATCAATCTATCTAATTATATAAAAACGTGAAGCATTGAAAGTGGATATTTCACTCAACTGAGCCTTCACAAGCTCCTCACTTTCCCTCTGAACTGCGAGCTCTCTTTCAAGTTCCTGAAGCCCATGCCTGTGAGCACCATAAAGCTTATACAAAAAATACCCACCTCCTAAAACACCAACAGTGAGGTAAATCTTCCTCCTATGCCGTCTCCACAAATCCCTAAACAAAGTAATCAAAATAGTTGACAAAGAAGCCCTCCAGATAATGCAGAAATGCACAAAGGACAATCCCAAATATGCATCCAATTAAAGGCAGCCTCGCCATTTTGATCACAAACGAACGACGAAAACAACCCATGTCATAAAATCGACACAAGTTTACAATTTGAGTAACAATAATCAAATTGTCCATCAAACATTAACGGAAGAACTAGAAATGAAGTTGATTAAATAAACAGGAACCAAGAATGACAACCAAGTTGGAAACTTTACCTCACGGAAAGCATTTTGAAGATATTAGGAAGACCAAAAATCTATAAGTATCTATGCTCTGGCTCAAAAATCACGTTAGAGAGGGAGCAATGGAATACTAAGGAGAGTGGTTAAGAAGGAAGGGAGCATGGGAATCCACACCCCAAAGAAGGATAAAAAAATGCAGAAAAGCAAGTGGGTGTTAGAACACAACACAAAGACAGGGACAAAGGCGAAAATTTACGAGGAAGTGACTTGGGCGAGGGTGCGAGGTAGCTAGCTCAACCTCGAGCTTTCAGAAATGAATCAGGGGAATGGGTTTTTGTGTGTGTTCTCCGATTCGGAGCTGAAAAGAATAAAAATAAATATCAAATGGTATAATATGCACAGCGGATGATATAAAAGGAAGAAACAAAAAATGCATATATAAATATAAAAGAAAGGCATGTTAATAAAAAGTGAATAAAATATACATAAAAAATGCGTGGCAGCAGAATAATATTATTAACACGAACAAAATAGAACAATAATTAATTTAAACTTTTACATATCTAAATTTTAATTTCGCTGTATATTGTTTTTAAATTTAGTTTATTTTCTTGGGATCGGTTCCACGTTTTTTTTAAAATTATTACATTTTTTTATGAGAAGTTTAAATTTGAATTTTTTACATGAAATCTAAATGTTATAATTAAGGTGTAATTGGTAAAAACATAAATATATAGGGATGGGATAGACGAAACTGTGAAAATAAGTAGAACATTTTAAGTTAATTAGTAATTAATATTTAACTTGAATTGTTTCGATATTAGATGAGATGCGCTGTATTTTAAGAAAAAATTCAAATAAAAATATAAATAATATGTAAAATTATAAGTGAAATATACATAATTATTTTAAATAAATAAGTATAAAATTTATTAGTTTAGATTTAAGATGAAAATTTAATACAAAAAAAAAAAAAAACAACACCGTAGTTAAAAAAATTGGAAGGTTTAAAATAATTATTAACTTTAAATTTGTTCTATGCACTGTTTGGACTTATTTGTATTAAATATTTCATATTTAATTAATAAATATTTAAAAATATTGAATTAAAATTTGCATAGAGTATCTATAATTTCACTACTAATATGAGGACTTGGTTGTTAAATGATTTGGGAATACTTATAAATTATTTAAATTTGTAGCATGTATTTACTTTCGTGAGTCTCTGATTCAAATCACTTAAACATTTTCATAAATATATATAATATATATAAATAAAATATATAAACAAAAATTTTATATTGCATTCATAGTAAAATTCAATATCGTATAAAACGTAAAAAACGTGTTAAAATATTGTTTTAAATTGTCAATTATGAGGCTACTTTACATACTTGAAATAATAAATAACAAAATAACCACTATTAATAAAATTTCATGTGAAAACCAACGTCAAAAGAGAGCCACTATGAAGAAAAAAAATCAACAATAAAAGAGGGTTTTGCACAAATCCAATGCAAGTTGAATGATAGTGATAATCTTTTAATTCTTCTATAATTATTTTACATATTTTTTCAATAAAATTTCATGTGTGTTTAAAAGCGTGTTAAAAATTTTATAGTAGTATTAAAATAAACGTAAGTTGATCTATGTTATAGAATGAAATTTAGCATACTATTGATTAAAAACTTATTTTTAGAAACATGTACGAGTTTATTTTATAAATTATAACTGAATACTATTTAATTGATATCATCAAAAAAGTTAAACAATTATATTAAATATAAAGTTTAATAGCTCAATCCGAAAGGATAAACTTTGTTATTGTTTATGACCAGTTTTGAACAATAATTCCTAACGGATACTTCCATCTTACCAAAAAAACTCAGATGATCATAAATGTGTTTTTACCAAAATAAAACATACAATAACATTTGAGAAATAAAATTAAAACCACTGAAATATCTGGATTTTCAATAAATAAAAAATCAAAAGTTGACACATAATTTTTTTTTCTCACAACATATATCCTATCTTTCTTCATTTTCTATAAAATAATTGAGATACATGAAATATGTTATCTGTTACAAACAAAAATAGCAACTGAAAAAAAATGCAATTAAAATGTATCCATGATATAAAAAACTATCATTCAATGGCACATCACCATATCAACAGAAATATTAGTTTTTTATAATGATTAATTTAAAATTTTATATTTATTTTACATTTCAACTAGTTTATAATATAAAAATCTTTATACTAATGATACAGTAAAATTAAATTCATAAGAAAAATAAATATACTATCATTAAAATTAAAGTAATAGAAAACAAAATAATGAAATGCAAATGCTTGATATAAAAAATATTTAAAATTACCCAAAGTTTTGTTAAATCTACTTTAAAATAACACGCAGTCTAATCTAATAATAATTGAGAGTTTTCAATGTTCAAAGTCCAAAATTTTTGGTGAAGAGTAAAATCAAAATCATTGTAAATTAATGGCTTAGCTTCACAGTTGTAATAATTTTAAAGTGTAATATATGTTGATGCAACTAAGCCATAAGAGTTAAAACTCGTCTAGTGCATGAAATCATAATTAACATTCAGAATTATAATTTTAATTTTAATTTTATTAAAATTAAAATTAGTTCAAAATTATAATTCTAAATTTGACATAATCAAAGAATTAAAACGTAAAATTATAATTTTTAATTGAAATCAAATTTTATAGTGTAGTGTAAGATTTAAATTTTTAAAAAATAATTTAATTTTATATTAAAATTTTATTTAATAATTTTTTTAAAATAATGTGTTAATTAAATATACAAATAATTATTAAATAAATTATCAAAGATGATAATTTAATATTTCTTTTCAAAAATCATGACACAATATTTTTTTTTATGTATAATTTATTATTAAAGTTTGATATTATATTAAGAACCATCTTTCTCGTAAATTAGATGAAAGCATATAAATACTCATAAATATAATTTAATTCTCAAAATTAAAAAATATAAATTAAATATAAGTGCTTACGATAACTCTTATTTTGAGATCATAAGGTAGAAATATTACAACAGATTCTTTTATACTTACATGATAAGTATCATGTAGTCATCCTCTTCCACATAAAATGTCTACAAAGCTAAAAAAAAAAAAAGCTTGTTTAGTGAGATTTAATTTATTATAACAATTTTCATCAGTCTCGTGATATAATCACTTCAAAAATATACTTTTTACTCTATCTATATCATTTTGTTGCATCTAGTATTAATTTTCTCTTTTTTGTTTCTTATACTTTCAATAATTCTTGAATTAATTTCTAATGTTTTCTTTGATGTTTAACATTAATAGTTCAAGAAGAATATTAAATAATTTATTATATAATTAACATAAACATATAGAAATGGCAATGGGTAAAGTATCCGATGGGCACCCGCAAAATTTATCCACAATGGGTAGGGTATTTACCTGCTATACGGGTATGGGTGTGGGTAAAAACTCGCAAATTTTAATGGAGATGGATGCGGGTATAGATATCTAAGTACCCACCCCGCCCCATACCCGCATATATATATATATATGCTTGAACTTTATTTTATAATTATGCATTAAATTTTTATATTATTATATTACTTATGTGAAGTTATATAAGATTAATATTAAAATATAATTAATAATAAAGTAAACCAAAAAATGTATTTTAGTTTATATTTTTAATAGAAAAATTTATTTACTATTTTATATCATTTAATTAGGCTAATACAATTTAATTATTACATAGTTAATATGAGATTGACTTTTTTTCAAATATTATTTATATATGACACACATAAAATATTTTTTACACAAATATTTTTGTTAATAAAATCATATTGATGTTTAAATCATAAAGTAAATGATAAATAATAAATATATTGTAAATATTTTATAAATTTTACAATCACCTACTATTACCGTAAACTTATTATTTATTAATAATATTTAAATTTTATTTTTATATTTTAATTTAAATAATATTTTTCTATGCAACATATGTATTACAAACACAACTATAATCTATTGAATCTAAATAATATTATTTTTACAATTTATTCACGTTCAAAGAAGTTTTTGAAAAGATATAAATATAAAAAATTATTGTTAATTTTTATTTGTTAATTTTTTCAGATAAAAAAGTATAATTTTTTTAATATACACGTATATTTCTTTATTATAAAATTTTATTATAACTATTTATCTTTTATTCAAATTCTTTCTTTTAAAATTTATATACATTATAAATATTTAATTCATTAAAATAAATTTTCAAAAATTTGTATTTTTTATAAAATACTTTCGTATAGTATATGAGTTAAAAATACTAGTATTAATATATATATATATATATATATATTATTTTTATTAAATATATTATTTTTCTTACAATTTTAAATTCAAAAGTTAAAAACAATATTTCATGTATCCAATTTCTGTTGTTAATATTAAACTTCTCTACTCTAACTCTATTCTCATTCTCAATGTCTGTCTCATTAAAACTTAACAACTATGAAACATTATTTATTAGAGTTAGTTGTCAATGTCGTCACAAGAGGTCACTAAGTGATATCACACAAAGGGACAACCATTGTACAGATCTATTTCGTTGTCGCTCTAACATTATCAATCGATCAAATCTCATACAAGATAGGGTTATCACTGACAAATAACCAATGTGTTTAGTTTCATTTATTGTTTCTAAGAATTTTAGTTTAAAAAATTATTATATTAAGATACATTTAACATTTATGATCTTTGAATATTTGTTGTTATCTATGTTTGTACTTTGTTCGGCAACTACATATTGAATTTTTGTATTATTATGCTATTTATGTGAAGTTATATAAACATATTTTTTTTTATAAATATTTTTTTTTCAAACAAGCACGGGTAATAGGTACAAAATGGGTATATGAGTACCCAAAGGGTATGGGTACGGGGATTAATATTCATACCCACACGGGTATGGGGCCGGGTACGAGTATTCTTTTAAGACAGGGGTATGGGGATAGGTACTATAGTACCCTACCCATTTCTATCCCTAATAAACAATGTAGTTTGCAACAAGTACAAAATAATAATACAATATATTAGAAAGAAAATAAGAGACGTAAAAAAATAATAAGGAGAACAATAAGATGAGAAATAGAGAAAAATCACTTTTATTAATAATCAAATGTAAGACGATGAAAAAGAGACTAGGAAAACATAAAAAAAAAGTGGTATTAATGTAGTTAAAAAGAATAGAGAATACGTAAAAAATATCAAGAGGAAAAAAATGCTTTGGGAGAAAAGTATCAAGAGAAGAACAAAAACTATGTAAATGAGAAGGTACAATACATGAGAGTGTATTTGTGAATGAATTATGATATTAAGAATTTAAATTCTTAGAGTGCAGGTTAGGAATTGAAGTGAGTCAAATTTAGTTGTTATAGAATTATATGGAATTATAATTATAATTTCAAATGGACATTCAAACATGATAATTAAAATTCTGAAACCCAATTCTAATTTCAATGTCTAATTCCATAAACTAAATGGGCACTTTGCATTGTTTCAATACTGGCAATGTTAAATTTGTCAAAATAAAACTTTATTGAATTTAATTAAACAAATTTGCATTTGTTTTTTTTTTTTACACTAAAGACTAACCCAATCTCGAAAAGAATCAATACACGAAACTTGATCAATCCATAAAGGTATAGCACTTTTTTATCCTATGCTAACAGCTTGATTCTCTCTCGCTCTCTCTTTTTTTTTTTTTTGCAATGCAATAGGTCGAGCTATTTTCGTAAACCCTTCTTAGTAGCTACCCGTCGCTAGCAGCATTAGAGCCTCTATCACTAAATTAGTGAGCTTTGGGAAGAAAATATCAAAAAAGGGAGGGGAAATCTCATTCACAAAAAACTTTGTTGTTAAAAAAGACAGAGTCACACTTGATTTGTATACTAAATTGATGCAACATTTAATAACCAAACAATCAATAATAAAAAAATTACTAAACTGTCATTTTGGTCCTTGATAGAGTTTGCGCCTTGCACTTTATCTCCTAAAAAATTTAAAATGTCATGTTAGTCCCTGACTTTCATCTCCGTCGTGCATTTAAACTTTTAAACCCAAATGTCATAATAGACAGTAACAGAATGCTGACTTATCACGTTGAGTGACACGTGTCGTTGCTTACATGGTAAAAAGATGCTGACGTGTCACATTAAGTAACATATGTTATTGATTACGTAGCAAAAACGATGCAGAATATGGTATAGTATATGTTATTGGTATGATGAAGCTTTATATAAGATGTGTTGTTAAGAGTAAACTACTAGACGTGTTGTTTGATGATGTTGCAATTTACAATGGGTTAGGATAACAATAAAAGTTTCAATGTGACTTTTCTATCATTTGACGAGTGTAAGAACTCCAACATCTCTTCCCTTCCCTTTCCCTTCTTACAAAGCCACCAAACATCTTGCAAATGCAGTTTCACATAAACATTTTCTATCATCTCCTCTACTATATCTTTTTTTAATAGAAGCTCCGCCATCGTTCTTCTTTTTCTCTCTCTTAGAGACTAAAATGTTGGTCAAAGACAATCTCAGGGACTAAAATGCTTGTTAGTGACAATCTTAAGAACTAAAATACTTGACAAAATATAATTTTAAGGACTAAAATAAAAAAAATATATATTATACCACATACGACGTTGTTTTTGTTACGTAATCAATGACACATGTCACTTAACATGACACGTTAGCGTCGTTTTGCCACGTAAGTAACGTGTCACTTAACGTGACATGTCAGCATTTCGTTACTTCTATTAACAGCGCTTAAGTTTAGGAGCTTAAATGCACGACAGAGATGAAAGTCAGAGACTAATTTGTCATTTTAAATTTTTTAAGAACTAAAATACAAGGCGCAAACTCTCTCAAAAACAAAAAAAACCAAATTTAATGTAATTATTTTAAGAGTTTAAATTCAAATGTTACTTGATAGAAACCTATATTCGTGAAATGAGAAGTGAAAACTTATTTTTAATGTTATATGAACTAGTAAATTTTTCATCCATCTTATGAAATTTTAAATTAGAATAGTATACCAGTGTACACAAAATTATAATATCATCCTAAAATAAAAATATACATTGCAAAATTATTTCATAAATAATATATTTTTTAAACTTAAAATAAAAATCAAATTTTTTAAATAGTGAAACTTATTATAATAAATATAATTTTTGAAACAATGGTAAATTAAAAAATTATTCTCTCAATATAAAAATAATTTTATAGTATAATAAAAAAGAAAATAATTATTTTAAAAAATTATTAATTTTTTTAAAACTATGAAATATTCTACAGAAAAAGTAATGTTACTAAAGTACATAATATTAAAGAAACCTTAATCTATCTCGCAGATAAAAATAAAAATATTGTCTGATTGCGCACTTTGATGTGGTGAGTGAGTCTATTATTATAAATTTTTTGTATACATAAGAACTTAAATCTGAAATCTTACTTAAGTGATACCAAGTTGATTGTCACTAATAATATTAAAATTATTTAAATATAAAATTTAAACTGACCTTAATACAAAAAAAAAAGACTTATCTATGAGTTTCTTAGCTTAATTTGTTTAAATAGTATAAAAAGGAATTTTATTTGAGTAAAATAAAACTATTATGAGACATTAACATGATTGTTTAAATTCAAATTTAAAATTATAAATTAAATTAAATTTTTTTTTATGACGTGATCTGGGTTTATTTTATTCCATTATTGGGCCAAACTCAGAGTAGATGGATCACAAGATCGGGCTTGGTTAAAAAAAAAGTGGTTAACTGTTATCTATTCCCAAAACCCTAATTGAGGTTCTCTTCTCACTATATATTGCCTCAAAGTGATTCAAAGGGCGAAAGCCTCTCGCAGTCGCAGAAACACAAGCGTTCAATCCAAACCCTAGTAAACGCAAAGCGAGAGAGAGAGAGAGTAACAATGGCAGAAGGTCTCGTTCTTCGTGGTACGATGCGCGCTCATACCGACGTGGTGACGGCGATTGCCACTCCGATTGATAACTCCGACATGATAGTTACTGCTTCGCGCGACAAATCCATCATTCTCTGGCACCTCACCAAGGAGGAGAAGACCTACGGCGTTCCTCGCCGCCGCCTCACCGGCCACTCTCACTTCGTCCAAGACGTGGTTCTTTCCTCCGACGGCCAGTTCGCCCTCTCTGGTTCCTGGGACGGTGAGCTCCGCCTCTGGGACCTCGCTGCCGGTACCTCCGCTCGCCGCTTCGTCGGTCACACGAAGGACGTTCTCTCTGTCGCGTTCTCCATTGACAACCGTCAGATCGTCTCGGCCTCGCGCGACCGCACAATCAAACTCTGGAACACCCTCGGCGAGTGCAAGTACACGATTCAGGACAGCGACGCTCATTCCGATTGGGTGAGTTGCGTTCGCTTCAGCCCAAACACTCATCAGCCCACTATCGTTTCAGCTTCGTGGGACCGAACCGTGAAGGTTTGGAACCTTACCAACTGCAAGCTGAGGAACACACTCGCTGGACACAGTGGTTATGTTAATACCGTTGCTGTTTCCCCTGATGGGTCTCTCTGTGCCAGCGGTGGCAAAGATGGGGTTATTCTTCTGTGGGATTTGGCTGAGGGGAAGCGTCTGTACTCTCTTGATGCTGGCTCTATTATTCATGCTCTCTGCTTTAGTCCTAACAGGTACTGGCTCTGTGCTGCCACTGAACAGAGCATTAAGATCTGGGATTTGGAGAGTAAGAGCATTGTTGAGGATTTGAAGGTTGACCTCAAGACCGAGGCTGATGCCGCTACCGGTGGTAACACCAATAAGAAAAAGGTAATTTTTTATTAATTATATTTTCTCAATTATTCGCTTCTCTTTTCCAATTACTTATATAACGTTGGGTTTCGAGCCTTTGATCTTGACGACGGACTTCAATTATTAGTCATGGACACGTCTGTATTAGGTTTAGTTCAATTTATGCTTGCTGAAGTTTATAATTGATGTACTGTTGATAATTTGAGTCGTTCTTGTGGAGTGCAGTTCCCTCGTTAGTTTCTTATCTTCAATTCATCTTTTCATTTGATTTGTTGTGTCGTGTTCATAATATGTATTTTGCTCCTTGGATCTGAAGCATTGTGCAAATTAAGGGAAGAATTGCGCCTAGAGTATATCCTTCTTGGTTGTAGGTTTTTGCTACTTGGTTGCCATTTTGAATTATAGAAGTTTAAGTTTGCTTAGAAGTTTTGTATGACTTTTGTTATTTTCTGTGTCCATTTAATGAAGTCTTGAAATGAAGTTGTTTTCTTTTCCCCGCTGTAATGTCAATGGAACAAACTATTTGATGAGGCTCGTGTGATGATGATTGGGTTCTAGTTCGTTGGATGATGGGTGTGGAAGTGTTGGTCTTCTTTTTGTTCAAGACGTTTGAAAACTTTGCCTGATAAGATAGATGTTTTGGTGGATGGAGTGGCTGACTTTTTTTTATTTGTTTGGTACTGGCTTGCAGGTTATCTACTGCACAAGCTTGAACTGGAGTGCAGATGGGAGCACTTTGTTTAGTGGCTATACCGATGGTGTGGTCAGAGTCTGGGCAATTGGACGTTATTAGGTTAAGTTTTTTGTTTAGTGATTTCAGATGCGAATCTGTTTTTGAATTTTGGGACAAAGTTAGTTACTGTTTTACTGTAGAATCGATTTTTATGTTCAAGACGCGGGGGCTTTGCGGCCTTTTATTTATTTTTAAAATGTTCGTTTTGGTTTTACTTGTTATATGGATATTTCAACATCTTGTTTGTTTCTTCTCGAGTTACCAGTACCTTGCAGTGTGGTGGATGTAATTTCACCTAAAAGAATGACTAAAATTTTTATTTATTCCCTTCTTTTTCAAAGCATGGGACCTCGCTTATAAAATGAGGTTTCATTAATAATTCTTGTGTGATGTTTAAATTTAATTTTCCTCTGTTTACTAATCGTTCTTTTTAACTATTTTGGTAAATTCTAATTATTTTTTTAATCACTTTACACGGCAAGAAATTGTGATTTACTTTTTTTTATTCATTGAATGTTAACAAATCGCTCATGCTCTAATTTCAAACAAATTGTTAACAATTTTAGTAACATGTCTCATCTTCACATCCGCCCTTGTAGTTTGTATCTGAAGGTTGTGCTTCTCTGGCTTGTTATTGTTTAAGCTGTGCTGATTGACTGCTACAATGGGGTTAATTTAATTTTCCAGCTTTGTTATGGTAATTATTTGAATCGTTCAATGCTAACTAATGATGCTACTGATTTTTGTTGTGAGATTGGGCTGCTGTTCAAGTATGTGATCTTAAGTTTAAACCTTGTCAACACTAAAATCTTGGTTTCGTTTAGGGCCGGGGTTAAGCATTATGATTTTGTTATCATTATTAACGGATATGTTTTCGTTTCAAATTTGTTCGGTTACAAAATCTCCTGAAGCAATACTTTACGATGTGGTGTTCTTTATTTCATTTTAAACAAAATTTTATTTATTTATATTGACGTTTAATGTAATTCTTTTTTTTTTTTTGGCTCTAATGGTCAATGTGAAATTTTAATCTTGAATAAGAACAGAATTAAAAAGCTACCACAATATTGTAATTAAGTTTTATTCTATAAAAGATTGGGTCTTTGTTAGGTCAGTTATTTTGCTGAACCGATTAGAATAAAAATCGATACCGCCATTGATAGGCCTACCGGATGAGGCCCAGTCATGCTTGAGAAGGGTTTAAAATATGGGCTAATTTGCAGTATTATGTATTTTTTCATAAAATATGTAAGTGTGTAGATTTTAAAGTCAATTTAATACTGTTATATTAAAAGGTTGAAAAATGTTAATTTGAAGAAGTCAGATATGACAAAAAAAAAAAAAAAAACCTGCAGTTTGATTTAGATTAATTAGAATAAACTTTTGAATTAATTAATTAAATTCAATTAAAAGCTTATTACTCATTAAAATCTCAAATTGGTCTTTGAAAGATACAGTTCTTTAACTTAGTTCCTAAAAGTACAAAAAATTAAAATTATATTTTTAACATGTAGTTACCTCGCATTATCGTGATGTCTATTTTCAAATTTCGACTTAACATACATATGAAATGTTATCGGACAACAACACATTAATTTAAAGCAGCTGACATTTGTTAATGAAATAAAACTTAGAAGTATTTAAAGTTATTTTTATTCACACTTAGATGTATTTAAGTTTTATTCACCCTTAACATAGATATTTTGTAGCTGACACAGTTGAATTGGATAAAATTTTTACTTGATAGATTTCTTTTTTGTTTAAATTATCATTTCCTGTGTATTGGATCTCTTAGATTATTTTAATTTTTTTTTTCAAAATCTACAATTATAGCATCGAATTTCATCTAAAATTAAAAATATTTCAAAATTTTCTTTCTTCACATGACAATTTCATAACCTATAATCTTTTAAATTTTGATCAGAATTTAATTTTTTTATATCTAAAACCTATCAGAGTTTTTAATTATTTGAATTAAAATAATAATTTAAAATATTAAATACAAGTTAACAAAATTAAATTGATTTAATTTTAACAACAGAGAAAACTAAAAGAAAAGAAAAAACTGAATGCATTAGATAATGTAAATTACACCCTAAGAATCATCAGCCTAAAGTATGTACATATATATAAGCTAAGGCTTAACTGAATTAGTGCTTTCTACAGTTTGGTTTTTACAGGGAGAAATACTATTATTTTGTTTTGGAATTTGGTTTAATTGTATCAAAATTGAGAAACTAATGGACCTATTAATTTGTCACACTCTTCCCACACCAATTGTGGAAATATCTCAATCAGCAATTTCTAAATGAGGTAACCTACTATATATAGAGGCTATCTCCACTACTTTATATTCATCATTAGTTTCTTCATGTTATTACCCTTTGATTTTTCCCAAAATGCACGACTGTTTAATTATATTTAAATCCACGTAAAACCGATTGGTTCTAGAAATTAGAATGGGTGAGCTAGATCATCAGATTGAACACAAAAAAAAAAAAAAACAACAAACAGAGACAAGTGAAAGAGAAAGAAGCTTTGACAGCATTGAAGAGTTATTGCTCTGTGTATTGTGTTCCCTGTGGGAAAGGGACATATAATTGAATGATTAGCAGCAACCCAGGTATTGCCACAGATGAGGAGAGCCCTGCAATATTTATGTACGGTATGTTTAAGACTTTGTTTGTTTTATAAAAAATGTGATTAATATATATTTTTGTGATTGTATTAATGAATTTAAATATAAAGACTCTTTGATTAGTTAGATTTTTAAAAATTTAATTTTAAACTGAACTTAATGACATTAAATAATTTATGTAGCTGCCCTGACCTCATCTTTATTATTGTATTAATGAATTTAATTCTTTTGAATAAAAAATTATAAATATGATTACTTATTTTTTAATATTGAAATAATATCATGTGAGGGGATATTTTTTCTTTGGGAATAACCATAAATAGATATTTATTCTAGCACATGCTGTACCCTTCATGTTGATAACACCTTAGAAATAATAAATGTTTGGTCCACTTGAATTCATGAAACTACCATACCAAACACATCACTTTACATTTATAGAGAAGGGAAACCCCAAAAAAGATATACACTAAAGAGAGATGATGCCGTATCAATTGTGATCAGATGACCAAAATCGTAAGAATATAAATTATGTAATAACAAATATGCGTAATTGATATTATTCGTAATAACAAATATTAAAAATTACTTGCAAAAAAAGGAAAATTCTCATGAGGATTGAGCAGGCACTAGTAATTTGGACAATAAGTGTAACTTACTTGCATTAGAAGTTACCAAGTGTGGATAAGGATTTCTAAAGTGAAAAACTAGACAACTTCTAACAAGTGTCTCGGCTCAAGGGATAAAATATCCATCGAAGCATTGAATGAACTGAAAGAGAGGTAGGTTTATGTTAACATCATCACACATTCTTCCTCCTATATCACCACCAGCTTCCCCCAAAGTGAGAGAACTCAACACCCATAAATTCTTTTTTATCAACAAAAATTATTTTTACTCTTAAATTTATGTTTAGACATAATCTAAAGACTAGCAATAGTATATAAAATGAAAATTAACTATTATAAATTCTCATTTACCATATTTATAATCAGGTTCGACTTAGCACTTACAATTATAAATTAACTTAAATCATTGAAAGTTGCTTCTGAGAAATTCCACACAAATATTCACTAACCTTCCCGAAGAACTCATGGCGTTTTCTCTCCTCTCTGCACCCTTCATTCACCCCCAACTCCACCCTATTGTGGCCAAAATGACCCTTTTTGACACCATGCTCTTCTATGTTAGTAGCACCATTTCTCTGTCTCTTAGTGTGTTTGCAATTTATACATGTTAAAGGTTAAACTAAAGTAATATTTATAAATATAGTATAAGTATATGCATGTTATGATTTGTGTAGGTGATGCATTTTGTGGACAAGCTTGGATTGTGGCACAGGCTACCAGTGTTGTTGGGGTTGGCATACTTGGGAATTAGGAGGCACTTGCATTGTCGTTACAATCTCTTGCATGTTGGAGGAGTCAGTGGTCACAAGTATGATACACAAGAGTATGCATATAGGACGCCATCTGGTATGTGCAACCACCCCAATGACCATTTGATCGGTAGCCAAGGGACTTATTTTGGCCGGAACATGCCGCCGGCGACCTTAAATTATGGGGTATGCTAGCTACCTATGAGCTTTTGGATTTGAAAATTGTTATGATTTGTTCATGTTTTTTTTTTAGTCCCTTTCAACGGTATTTTCTCTCTCCTATTAATATTGATGATTAATTCGTCATGTGTGTATGTCTGCAGTTATTGGATCCTCATCCAACTGTGGTAGCCTCAAAACTACTAGCGAGAAAGAATTTCAAAGATGCAGGGAAGCAATTCAACATGATTGCTTGCTCATGGATACAGTTCATGATTCATGATTGGATCGACCATTTAGAGGACACTGAACAGGTAATGATTGTTGTTAAAGAGATTCTGGCACAAAGAAAATTGCAGTTGTACAAAAATGATGGAAGAGCTACTGAATCTGCCTTGTATATTACCTTATAAAATGTGTCTATAGTAAAATGTGACTTATTAGTCGTGTTAAAAACACTACAAAGTAAAAAGAAAGAAAGACTAATCTTGTCATGTAACTCTGCAAATCAATTTAACCAAGGTTTTTTTTGTAATTTGGATCTTAGCAAAGTTCATAATGCATATTTCTTGCATCATTCTTGGAACAGGTGGAAATTAGTGCTCCCGACGGTTATTCAAGTGGGTGTCCTTTGAAGTCTTTCAAGTTTTTCAAGACTAAGAAATTCAAAACAGGCACTTCATGTATGAAGTTTGGCTTCCTAAACACTAGGACTCCTTGGTGGTAAGTAGGACCTAGATACTGAATCTTAGATCTTCATTACTGATGAAGCACAAGTTCATTAAATTTTGGAATAAAAACGCCCTCTATGTGATCCAACATAGTGGAAGAATTTTTGGTTGATAGAAGAATTTATGCAATAAATGAGATTCTTGGAAGAACATCCTCAGTTTAATGTATTGCTGTAGTCTACAATTTCACTTAATTTTTCTTCTTGGAATAATAAAGTAACTGATGGCAAAAGTTGTTCAGAATTTTTTAGATTGATTTTTTTTTCTTCTTTTGGGGTGAGTGGTTAGGGATGGAAGCGTCATATATGGGAATAATGAGAAGGGCATGAAAAGAGTGAGGACATTCAGAGATGGAAAGCTGAAGATATCAGAAGATGGGCTTCTTGAGCATGATGAGAAAGGAATTCCTATCTCAGGTGATGTTAGAAATTGTTGGGCTGGTTTTTCCCTTATGCAGGCCTTGTTTGTCAAAGAGCACAATGCCATATGTGATATGCTAAAGGTAATACTTAACTTCCTTCCATTTCTTTCATATCTTGTTTCCATTAACTGGCTTGCACTAACTTTGCTTGAAGAATAATGCCTGGCATTGCTCTTTGCTTGTAGGTGCACTATCCTGATTTTGATGATGAACAGCTCTATAGACATGCAAGATTGGTGACTTCATCTGTCATTGCAAAAATCCACACAATTGATTGGACTGTAGAACTCCTAAAGACTGATACTCTTCTGGCAGGGATGAGGATCAACTGGTACGTCTAAATAGATGTAATTCTGAAGGAGAGAAGCTACTTTGATATGATAGCAGTTCTGTGCAACTGTTACTGAAATTCATTTGTTTTATTCTAATAGGTATGGATTTTTGGGGAAGAAATTTAAGGATTTATTTGGACACATTTGTGGACCCATACTCAGTGGATTAGTCGGTCTTAGGAAGCCAAGAGATCATGGAGTTCCCTACTCACTTACTGAAGAGTTTGTTAGTGTTTACAGAATGCATTCACTCCTACCTGATGAAATTGTTCTTCGAGACATCAAGTCTACAAGAGGAGAATACAAATGCCCTCCAATACTTGAAAAGTATATTGTTATCCCTCTCAGTGATTCTAGTTTTAAAGCTCATATTTTACATTCTTTTATGGGTTTTTTTTTTTTTTTTTACAAAAAGGTGCACTTTGGTAAATGGTTTAATTAGTAATTGTTTCAGTTCTTATCAAGTGAGAGCTTAATTATAAGCTTGATTGTGATGCTTCTTAAAATAAGCTAAAAATAGCTTATTTTGCTAATTTCTCCATGAGGCTTATTGAAATAAATATGAAAATTTATAAGAAGGTTATAAGCCACTTTCATAAGCTAAAAGATGAGTCCTTCCAAACATCCCTAAAACCAATTTGCATGTTGGGAGTTACTTCCATCTCCCTGGAATTTCTTCCTGCATTTTCACTTTGAAGTTTCCTGCTTTGTGTGTAAAGCAAACATGAAAACCTTTGAAGTTCAATTGCAAATATGTTTTTCAGAGTGCCAATGAGGGATATGTTGGGAAAAGAAGGGGAAAGAAGTCTATCAAACATAGGAATGAAGCAAATGCTAGTATCGCTGGGTCATCAATCATGCGGCGAAGTTGCTTTATGGAACTATCCAACATGGTTAAGGAACCTCATTGCTCATGATACTGATGGAGAAGATAGACCTGATCCGGTTGACATGGCTACAATGGAAGGTAGTACCCTTTACACTTATTTTAATACAGTATCCTCTCTAAGCATTAATTTCAAATCTTAATTTGATCTAAAATGATGAATCTTGTATCAGTTTATAGAGACAGAGAAAGGGGAGTTGCAAGGTACAATGAATTCAGAAGAAACCTACTAATGATCCCCATTAGCAAGTGGGAGGATTTAACAGATGATGAAGAGATCATTGAGGCTCTCAAAGAGGTGTATGAAGATGATGTTGAGAAGCTGGACTTGATAGTGGGTCTCCATGCAGAGAAGAAGATAAAAGGCTTTGCTATCAGTGAAACCGCATTCTTTATTTTTCTAATGATGGCCTCGAGGTAAGTAGTGCACAGCACTAAAGTATGAAGCAACAAAACATAACAAAAATTATCATTGACTTGCAGTCTTATGTGTTTCTTTGGTAAAAACTATGATGTTTAGGAGGCTAGAAGCTGACCGTTTCTTCACAACGAATTTCAACTCCAAAACTTACACGGATAAAGGGCTTGAATGGGTAAACAGTACCGAGACTTTAAAGGATGTGATTGACAGGCACTTTCCTGAAATGACTAAAAAATGGATGAGGTGCTCAAGTGCATTCTCCGTTTGGGATTCAATGCCAGATCCCATAAACTACATACCTCTATATTTGAGACCAGCCCCATAATGATGTTAAATTTAGAAACTTTCGGTCACATTTTAGCCCTTCAAGCATAGTTGTCTGCCCCGATCCTACCGTTAATATATGTATAGATGATGTACTACTTTTCATCTTTTGCTCTGTATACTACGTAAATTTTGTTCCGATATGTCCCCCTTCTCCTATTTAAATGGCACCCATATTCTTTAAACTTTTACTTTTAAATTCCACAAATGGGTAAAATTTATTTTTCTATCTATTTATAATATGTTAAATATGAAGCAAAGACTTAACGGTACATATTAGCAATTTGGTCTGCGTTATTTTGTCTAATAAACAGTTGGTTTTAGCTATCGCCTTCAATTCAGACGATAACATAATTCATTATTCAATCAACATTTCAATACTATGTTTACATTTAGAATAATTTAATTCTGAAAACGTATGTAGATCTCAAACAAATTTTTTCCCTAGTTTTGTTTTTTTATCCCGTTGAATAAATTAACAACATAAAGAATTGCATTCCAACTGCAAACAAAAGTTTTGTTTTTTAATCACGTTGAATAAATTAACAAACAACAAACGTACACAATTGCATTCCAACTACAAACAAACAATACAATCAATCTGGCCTCAAACAGGAGCAGCCTCAATCCTCAAGAGAGGGTCTACCGGCATTTGAGAGGGTAGAAATTGTTGCCTGTGTTCTTCAGCACTTGTAATACAAAAACTCGCACTATCCATATTGATCCCCTGTAATGTTTGTACACAACAAGATCCTTTTGACAAAACTCTGGCACAACTCTTAAAAATATCTGGTAACAAACTAGTTTTATCCAGAAGAAACCAAGATAAATAGTCATGTACACTGGTACCATAATAGTCCAGACTCGCAAAAAGCACCTACTTTTAAAAATGGCAACAAGAAAATGGGGGCTTCATACTGCAATGTCGAAAGTGTCTATCAACTTGATGCTTGAAATTTGCAATAAGCCCTTTCTGTGATATGACCAACTTATGGTGATAAGCATATCCGCGTCAGTCTTAATTTTAGAAGCCTTCTAAAGGAATAAATGCACTTCTCTTCCAAACTGACCTTGATCTATCAAGGAGGGGTTATCCTCCAAACACGGATAAAAGCATCCTCACCTGAGCTAACCAAACTATACTCATCAGTGAATACTAGCCCATAAACCCCGCCTAAGTGAGCACCCTTTATGGTAATCCTATTAGATGCAGGCTGGTCAACTTCATATACGATGACACACATGTCAAGTGATCCTGTCGCAATCCTACAGCTATCAGGGGACCAAGCAAGGCAGTTTATCCTAGCAGTATGGTACAACATGTTCTTAAGCTTCACCTGCAAAAAAAATGTGCAAAGGTTACACAAGTAATCACACAAATTTCCTGGCATCACACACATCCAAAAGCACCAGCACATTAGAGAGTAAGCAATAAACATAATACTTTGCTATCAAAGCTGTACTTACCTCTCGGGAGGCACGGTCCCACACTACAGCTTCTCGATTGACATCCCCTGATGCAAACATTGAAATGTCTGGAGAATAACGTATGACACTAACAGCGTCCCTATGTTTCTCAAGGACTGCCTCTTCTACAAGAGTATCACCAGAGATTGAATATATGTGCAATTTACCATCCTGTCCACCGATAATGGCTTCACTTCCATCAGGAGAGACAACAGATGCTGACACAGTAAACCCAAGATTAATGGTTGACACAACTTTGGTACCACGCAGCATGACAACTCCAGAATCAATTGAAACTAGAGCAAGTTCAGGAGAAAGAAGTGCAACACTCAAGTCCTTTGGTTGACTTCCTATATCAATAGCTTCAGCATCTCCACACTGATCCCCATGTAAAGAAACTCGACATATCTGATTGTCAAGAGGGAAAGGAATTTGAGGGATAAGAGAAAGAAACCAATAGTTTTTAATAATTTTCAAATATTGCAGATGCCTTGAAATTTAGCCCACCACCATATCTTATCATAAAAAAAATCACCAAATGAAGACATGCCACAAGGGCTGAAACGGCTTTCTGATAAAGGTATGAGAATATCATAATATAAAACACAAACAATGATTTCTTAAAATACCTTCTTAGGAACATCAACATCAACAAAGCTTCATTTCAGCAAGTAATGTCAGCTACATGGATCATATATAACACTAATTTTCACAGATTTTTCTAGGAACAATAAACAACAGAAGTGATACTGATCAGTAAGCAAAATAAAATTTTCCAGGTAATACCAAGACACAATAAGATTAAAACAATATCAATTGCCATACTGTAATATCTCCCAATTAATAAAGATATTGTTAATGTTTCAATTTAGTGAAGTTACATAGAACAAGTAGGGTAGGGGAGAGATATGCTCCTTACATCATCAAGGGGTCATGAGAAATAAACAAATTGGGTAGAAAAAAGTGTTCCATCTAAGAACAAAGTGATGAAGTAGTGAAGAATAAAATGAATAAGTATCTTCATACTTTCTAAAATATATTTCAGCTTGTTTAATGGCTCTCTAAATCAAAAGATTTAGCCATGTGATTAAGATTTCTATCAAACTGATAAAACACCAGGAATAAGAACTTGTGCACAAGTAATATTCATTCAAGAGCAGCTGGGCCAAAGGTCAACTGGGGCCTCAGACTCCTCAAAGACAGCTATTCTCAGTCAACTAACGTGATTACCCAATTGTGCCTATGACACCTTCCTCTTTCTCTTCCAATAACCAATTTGCGAAGTCACCATAACTAATTCTCCTCCCCTATTCCCTTTTGTGGCCTTCTGGAATAAACTTTCCAGATCATAGGCTTCTTTGGGCTTGGGCCCAAATCCAATAATTGGTCCAAGTCCTGTTCCACCCATTTTCTAATCCAGCTCCATATCCCAGTATCCTATCAGAAACTTTACTACCGATATACTTCAACTTCACACATAGAATTCCATATAAAGAATTTATTTCATTGCATAAAAAGAGCATATTATTTAAAATTTTTGTAAGCACCACTGATTTTTTTATCCAATGAAAGAAATGGAAATTGAGTAAAATGTAGCATAATGGCTATCATTCTCAAATTAGCATTAGCCAAAGAATATAAGCAAATCATTCACCTTATTATCGAATCCAGATGTAACAATCTCTTCTTCTACAGCTGCTAAGCATTTGATTTGAGAATTTTCCTTTCTTTGTAGTTTACTGCTATATCCAATCCCTTGAATCCATTTAACTATTAGGCCATCATAACTGCTAGACAAGAGTACTCTAGGGTTACTTCTAAGCATAGTTAAGGAGGAAACATTTTTCATATGTCCAGAAAATGCTGTCGGAGCTTTATCAAGATCACTTGCTAAAAATATAGATATTGTTCCACCAAGAGAAACAGTGACAATATAATCATTCAACCATAGACAACCCACTAGCATGTCTTCAACTCCACCAGAGCCAGGACTATTCAATGTTTTCTTCACCTTTCCATTATTGTCCTCAGATATGTCCCATACTTTTGCAGACTTATCAGCAGAAACAGTCAGCACCTGCAGACAACATTACAATTGAAGATCAGATTGTCATTGCTCAAAATGTGAGTTAATCTCACAGTGAAAGGGGACAAAGAGGTTTGTGCCAAAAAGGACAAGTAGAAAAAGCAATGTGGGTAAAACTAACAATTCTACAAATACAGCAGTTTAAACACAAACTCAAAAGTTAACTAGCGTGAGAATTTCACTAGCTGAACCATGTAAACTAGATCTAACATGAATTTTGCTAATTAAACCGTGCAAAAAAGATCTCATATGCCAAAAATATTGAGTAACAAACAATCAAAATATGTATGACAACAAGTAAAACCACAAACATCTATGACTTTTAAAAATTCAAATATATAGGTCTAATAGAGTGTATGGATTGGTGTCAAATCTATTCAAAGGTTGATCTATTTTAATGCTACAAGTTATAATTTTTACATTAAAATGTGATTTAATGTAATATTTTATGTACTTTTCAAACATACACTAAGCTTAGGAATTGCTATCTTAATTAGAGAGAGTGGAAAAGAACTCCCCAATTTACAAAATAGAACACATACACCACAAATCTTCAAGGCTTTGCACCTCACAATGCCCCAAAGGTTAGTTCTCTCACAAATGACAAGATATTTGGCCCTCTCAACCCTTTTTCTTAATTATAGGCAACATGTCCTGTTTCTCTAATTATCCCAGTTTTCAACTAACAAACACCCTAACTAACTAATTATTCCAATAACCTATCAGTTTATCTATACAAAGTTTCGTTAAATATGATAGAAAATTTTCTCAAAAGACGAGATGACAAGATAAGCCATAATGGAAAAAGGTTAAAACAAAAAAGGCATCGCTTAAAGAGCAACATCGGGGAAAATATATGTTAAGCTAGCAAAAGAAGTGAGAAATTTTTTGAACATCTATCCTTAGCTCTAATGTATGTCACTTTTAACTAGTATACATCATAAGTTGTCTTCAAAATGTTACCACAGCAAAACATTTAAAGGAAACGAGTTATGTATGAAAAAGGAAACTATTACAAAATGTTATATATGAAAGTATACTATTCCTGATCAATCATTATGTATTAAAAAGAAGAGAAAAGGAGACAAAGACACCTGGGGATGGGAGTTTTCGCCACAATCAATAAAAATACTCACCTGTTTTCCATCAGGACTCCAGCTAACAGCATAAATACTACCAGTATGACCACCTTCAGAAGACAACTCACCAATCCTTTCTGCACTCTTTCCATCGAATATAATACCCTTTTTGTCAGAACTCACACTTATAAATCTACTGCCATCGGGAGAATATCTCACACAATTGACAAAATTTGAATGATCCCTATACACAACAAAATCATCATGATATCAGTTAATATCAAGCCTAGTGAAACAAACAGAAAGAAGCAAAGATAAAAGTAAACCGAAAAACCAGATACATCATGAATCTGAAGAAAAATTAATCCGTTGGTTAACACAACAAGAATACCTATGAGATAACTTAAATCTAAAGGGAGGTCCTTCATAAAAGTTGACGAGAAAATCCTCTCCACAGGTAACAATGCGAAAAGGTCTCGTGGGTTTATAGGCA